AAATAATATTATTATTATTGCTCTTTATTTATTCATCTGTTACATGGCATTGTTAGAAAAAGTTATTGGGAAAGAAAGAATTTTTTAGCAAAACACGGCATCATTAGTAGTAAACAGCTTAAACTTCCAAGATCAAAAAGACCCCATCCACTTTAAGACTGTAAATTATTCCAATTTATTTCCTAACTAAAATTATTAATAATTCTTTCCATTCTATTTTTGCAGTAATTTAATTTTTTTAAATGTAAAATATAATTAATTATATTTAATTAGTTTCATACTATTTTATTCATTATATTATTATTTAACTTTCATCAATAGAGTTATATCCTCTAACCTCAATCATTTTTATCAATTTCTATCTTTATATTTTTTTTTATGCATGTGTTTCATTCAATGTAAAATTTGTGGTGAAAAGTCTACATCTTCTCTCATTTCTCTGCGTTACAGAAGTTCAATTAAAAACTAACCCTTTGATTTTGTCAATTCTTTTCTTGAACAAAAATCATTTATTTAATTCAATTGAATTATTAATATGAAATTTTTTATTTGTATGTACTTAAAAACTTTGTATTTCATGTCCAAAAAATTTTATTAGGAAACACTCTGAAGAAGCAAGTCTTATCAAGAATTTTTGTTTGACCTACAGGCTTTATCACTTTCTTTTGGCCTCTTGTTTCAGTGCTTTTTTCTGTGGAAAATCATTTAATTCAAGCCTTTTTTTATTCCCATGCAAGTAAATTGCTTCTGAATTCGCATAAATTGAAAAACTTTTATACTTTTTAAAATTTATTAAAAAAAAAATATTTGTATTTAGCAAATGAGATTTCACCTTCTTCATCAATTCATTTCTTGTCATTTGGGCTGACGTGAAAGCTCGTCAAGATTTATTAAGTCTGTGTGTCTCTCCGCGAAAGACAAAAAATAAACCTGTGTTTGAACAAACGCTGTGAAAAATGCGATTGTGTGCGCACGCCATTTCCAGCCTCATTTAAAGCTCCTGGAAATTCCAGCAGCAAACAAGCTCATTTTTTCCGCGCGAGGCTTTATTTTGCTTCTTTTTTGTCATGTGACGAGGAATTTTTATATGCGCGTTTGCATGTGCTCGCGCAATTTCGGACACTCGGCGCGTACAAAAAGAGCAAAATACAATAATTTTCTTTCTCGGTGGCTGCAAAAAAAGAAGAAACTCTTTCGCCGAGCAATTTTCGCCTGATGAATGGCGCGCTTTACTATTTTTTGTCCCAAACTGAGAAAGTCGCTCTTTCTCCGGTCAGAAAACTCTCTACATGCTCATTTTGTCTGCTGCTGCGAAATTCAAGCACGTTTCGCCCATTATACGTCGCTCGTTTAACTCTCGTGTGTGCTTTTTTATTTAGAAATTACCGGCAATAATAGTAAAAGGGCGGCCATTCAAGCCAGGGTGGATTTGCTGCTTCTAACCACTTCTAACTTATTTCGCCTCATAATTTTTAAAGCTATGCAAAAGCGCTTCGATTTTCTACCTGCCGCGCGAGCATTCCTTTTTATTCAGTGGAAAAATGTTAGGGGTACTTAAGTGTGTAATGCCCTCTTGTATGGAAATGCTTTTTACCTTAATACCTGCTTTTAAGCTAAATTTATGTTTCTACAATTCTTGTGTGTATAAAATTGCGGCAGAAAAGTTGTACTTGTAACAATCTAGTGAACAAGTTGTAATCTTTTCACCGTGGCTCGTATTCTTTTCTTCCATTTTATTCTTCTAAATAATTTCAATCAATATCAATTCAATTACAATTTTATTCATCAATAAAAAAGCGAAGAAAATGGTGAGTTCTGATTTTGGTCAAATAAATTTTATTGGTGACAATAAAATCTAAAAAATTAGTGTTAATTTGTAACAATATGTGTTTTTCACTAAAAATTCACTTGCTCAGGAATAAGGTTCCAGCCCGCAGCCAAGTCCAATACAAGTAGAAGCAGAAATTGTTTTCACTGAAAAATAATTATAAATAAGTGACGAATTACCCATTCACGGAAATACCGACTTTCAATTCAAAGATTCAAAATCATGAGACAACCCTAAATAGCAAATTAATAATTATTATTTTCCTTTACATAATTTTCATTTATTTATATCTAATTTTTTTTATTATTCCACTTAAGCAAATTTAAGACCTTACTTTCTGCATAACTGTTGTTGTTGTTTATTCAACCACATTGTTTGCATTACAGTAAAAGGTTTACTTCCATCTGACTCCCATATTAACAAAGAAAAAAAAACAGAAGACAACTTAATTTTTGTTTGTTTCAAAATGTCCTAATTTTTTACGCTTTTAAAATGTCTGTTCGTAATTTCATATGATTTAAAAAATTTATCTAAGTCTTACTCAAGCGAACGGAAATCTGACCAAGCTCTTCTTTTTATCGTTCACAGAGTCATGAAAGTTCTCAAAATTAATGAAAATCCATAGAAAAGCCGAGAGGTAAAAACCCGCAAACAAAGCTTTTTCTTTGCACAATAGGAAAAGGGCTAAACACGCAAAAAGGAAGGAAAGCGCTTACTTTTAAAGGGCAGAAAGGGAATAGCGCGCGCCTGAGATAAATATTTGGGCTGAAAAAGTGGCGGCGGCGGCGACCGTTTAAACGTACAAACACTCGCGCCAGACGGTTTAAATGGTGTTGTCCCTTGACATCGGCCCAAGTACAGACCTTGAATTGCATTATTATATTCCACGGACCGCTTTTCCGCCTCGTCTCCGCGCATTTTTTTTTATTTTCACAGGCGGGTGTTTAATTTGGGCTCGCACAATTCTTCATCCAGCGGCAGCGGCTTTACGGCCGGGGAATTGTTAAAACTTTTTCATTTCATTTAAGCAAATCTCCCGGGGAATGAAAAAGGAAAACAGAGAAAAATTATACGCGTCTGTCTGTATATGTGGCGATACAAGTCGGCAGTGAGAAAGTAATAGAATTATGTCGGAGCTTTTTTTTCACTCTCTCAGGACACCTCGACGTGATAATAAGATGAAAAGGATTTGCTCTGGGAAAAGAAAATACACACGAAAAGCGCCTCCAAATTGAATGAGATTTGACAAAAGTTGAACCGAGGCCAGATTGAGCATGTAATAAAGTTGGGACGGAAAAAATTTGCACAAAGTGGGAGAGGAAAACACGGTTCAACTCTTCCTGCTGCTTTTGCAGATGCTCTTGAATATGGAGATTTCCTATCAATAAAAATTATGGCTCTGCAATTGCTGCCGTCTGCGAAGTTTACCAAGAGTTTAAATGCGCAGGGTGTCTGATGATTTCCCAAAGTTTCTTTCTATTACATCTCAACTAGAAAGCTGTTGGGCAAAGTTTTGAATTTGATGCTCCAGTGAAGTTATTCAAACTGGGCGAAAATTTAAATTCAAAAGATAACATAATAATTATTCTGAATTGAATTACACTTAAAAACATTTTCATTTATAATTGTTTACTATTATTAAAAGAAAAAAAAATAAATTAGAAATGGGAACTCTTACAAAAAAGCACTTACTTAATTGGATCAAAATTAATAATGAGCTTGAATAAACAGGTTACTTACTCACTTTGTTTAATAAGTTTTCTGTTTAAATGGGAGAAAATTTAATATACTTAATAAGAAGACAAATATTTGGCTCCATTTAATGAAATTATATACTTTTTTAACATTAAGAAATTAAAAAAGCCCTCAATATATACATTTAAGATTTTTTTTTTTTTAAAGTTAGAATTTCTTAATTCTGAATATCGCATTGGCCATTCAAATAGAAAAACTCAACTTCAACTTCACCGACGTAAATCTGAATAGAACAAAAAAAAACTAGGTCACGTTTTATGCACTTCACGTATATCAAGCTGAATTAACTAATGCTGAATGGCATCGACGGCGGTCGGATTAACTCAAGCATTCCGAGAAATGCCAATTTCATCATAGAGTTTCATTCAAACAATACTCGGTCGATAGCAGCCGATAATTGACAGGTACAGGAACATAATCTGAGCCTGTTTTAAGCGTCTTATCAGGGCCGCGATTTGACTCGCAAATTGCTCGGCGGAATAAATTATCACGGCTATGAAACCGAAACGCTGCTCGTTAGCAGTTGGATTTTCAAAGCTGCAAATGTCAAACCGGCACGCATGGGTTCGCTTTGAATAAAAACGCACACATGCTTTGAGCAGAGAAAGCGCACATTTCCCTCGTCATTTAGTGAAATATCCAGTGCGTGCCTATTTCACTCACTAAGCCAATTACCTAATCCAACGTTTCAAAGTGGGTGTTTATTCTTCTCCCGTGCGACAAAATAAGAGAGTTGAAATGCAAATTAATTTTCCGTCAGATCGGATATTATTCCGCTTAATTGAACGTCGTCATCAGCCAAAATTAGCTCTCAGCAAATCCCAGCGGGTGCGCTTTGCTGATACTGCTCGCGGCCTCGCGGGGAGCCTAATTAATTAATCTGCACCTCCCCGCTATGCACTTAAGTTAGGGAACTTCAACCGCGTTAGCTGTTAAGTCAAGTCTTGAAATTAGTTTATGTTGAAATTTCTAAATTATATATAAACTTTGCTGTCAAGGCTGCAGGGAACGCGGTATGACGGAGTAATTTAATTTCAATTTAATTTTTCCTCAAAGCGTGGTTTCCCATAAAGTCCTTATATGCTTGAACCATAGTTAAGTTTTCAGTTCAAGTCTCTCCATCTCCATGGTTATTAATTTGAAAAATTGATCTAGACCTCTCAATTTGTAAATTCACACTGATAAATAATTTAAGAATAAAAGTAGTATATTTCTGAATACAGGCAAAATATTTCTTGTATGAAGTTATTGAAGTTGTCATAAGAATGAATCTTTTCAATTACATATGATATGATCTCAGACTTATCTGACAAAATATCAAATGAAAAAGATAATGGGGATCGGTAAGATTAAGTAAGTAAAGAAGAAAGTTAAATGATTAAATTCTGCCATGTAATGAATTTGCAGATTAATTTTATTTTTTTCAGCAATGAAACAAATTTTATACTTTTCGTTCATTAAGTACTATTTATTCAACTTTAGTCTCAACTATTAATATTTCATTTAATTCTCCTGTGGACTAATTTAATATTCAATGTTGAATCCCCACAGTGGATGGTCCTTCACGCTGAAAAAATATGTTACATTGTTAATATCTTATCAAAATTCTTATTCAAAAATTAATTAACCTGTCCAATCCGCACAGACGACCATTGCAGTCGAATGAAGTGAGGGTGTCAACCTCCTCTTTGCTCAATTTGAAATCGAAAATGCTGAAGTTCTCAATGATACGCGCCTTGGTCACTGACTTCGGAATCACCGAAACTCCTCTTTCAATCTATAAATTTTTCAATTTTTTATTTAATTAATTTGATAAAAAAGTAACACCAACCTGGTACCGGAGCAGAATCTGGGCAGGAGATTTGTTGTGCTTGTCGGCAATGGTCTTGACACGCGGGTCGTTCAGCAAATCAGGGTCTCCGGCCTTGGCCCAGGGCCTGTCGGGAGAGCCCAGGGGCGAGTAGCCGGTCAGAATGATGCCTCGATCGGCGCAGAATTTCTGCAGTTTGACTTGCGGCAGGTACGGGTGCAACTCAACCTGGAAATTATTATTTTATTTTCCAATACTTCACCAATAATTTAAAATTATCAACAGACTTTTAGTCGAAAAAAATTACTAGGAAAATTCTAAACTGAATTTTTTACATTTTCAAATCATTTTTTTTTTTAAATTACTTGAAGTGCGACCGGACGAATAGTGGCCACTTTGAGAACTTCGTCGATCTGGACGCTGTTGAAATTCGAGAGGCCGATGGACTTGGTCAGTCCGATGCGGACGCACTCCTCCATCTTGAGCCACGTGGTCGTGTAGTGAACCTGGCTGTACTCGATGTTGCCGTCAGGGCCTCTGGGCATGAGGGCGTCGCCTCCCTTGTAGGCCATGGGCCAGTGGATGAGGTACAGGTCCAGGTAGTCGAGCTGCAGGTGCTTCAGGGTTTTGCGGCACGCGTTGACAACCCTGTCAGTGTCGTGGTCCGTGTTCCACAGCTGCCATAAAAAAATCGTAATTATGGATTAATAAAAAACAATTTATAATATTGTTTTTTAAAAACATTAATTGAAGCACATAAATATTTCGTAATTTAATTACCATTCTATAAAATTTGTTTATAATTAACGATTAAATTCTCTTTAAGAAAATTATAACTTGTTTAAATTTTGGAATTTAAATTCAATCTCAGTGATTTTTTTTACTTAATCAAATTCATTTAAACTAATGCAGAAAAAGTGATTATTTTGATATTTCTGTGTTACGTAATCGTGACTTTCTTTAAACGCACATTTTGCACAAAAGAGCAAAGTTCAGGCCACTCCGAAATTTCTCATTTTCGCGCATTGCGCCCGCGGCAAGTTTATTTTTAGCTCGTGGTGTTTGTATATATGTGACATTTCACTCACTTTGCTGGTGATGAAAAGGTCCTCTCTGCGGACGACGCCCTCCTTGATTTTCTTCGCAATCGCAGCTCCAACCTCACTTTCATTTTCGTAAATGTGAGCGCAGTCGATGTGTCGGTATCCGGCGTCGATTGCCGCCTCAACGGCCGCCTCCACTTGGCCTGGCTTGGACTGTTTTTTTTTCGAGTCATTGAAATTTCCAGTACAATTAAAATAATTGTTCGTACCTTCCACGTGCCGAGCCCAAAGGCGGGAATGGTCAGTCCGTTGTTGAGCTTGATCAGTGGCACGGCCATCCTGCTTCCTTTTCGTGGATTGAAAGTAGCGATTAGTAAACGTGGCCGGTTCTTATACTCGAGAGAAATTATCTTATCTTTGTTTAGTTTAGTGCCTCTTAAGGTCTCAATGAAGCTAAATCATGCCGGCCACTTATCTTTTGCTTGTGGATGATTATGCGGATTTAATTATTCTATAATTTTTTTATTCCTCACAAAAAAGTCTTAAAAATTTAAATGAAAATGAAAAATGGAAGTTTCTAATGCATAATAAAATATTCAGTGTCACTTTGAGACGGTGAGACTCTCTCTGTCTACTCCGCGGATCACATTTTTCTACTTTTTTTATCCACTCTTGTCGTCGAGTGTCAGCTGGCGTTGCGAGAAATGACACCTAACAAGGGCATCATTTCCATATCGCTACCGAGACGGAGGGAAAAAAATAACAGGCTAACACGTGGACGTGTCTGTTTCAGGGAGTGCGATAATAGATCACCACACGCCGTACTGGGAACAGCCCTTCTCGCAGCCTTACTTCGAGAACTCGACCAAACGCGACACGACCACCACCGTCGGACAAACAGCCTACCTCCATTGCAGGGTGCGGAATTTGGGCGACAGAGCTGTGAGTACACTTAATTTTCAATAAATAAATAAATATCATAAATATTTATATTAATCCATGAATTTCATTATTTTTAAAGAATCTCTAATTAAAAAATAATTAGTATTTACCATCGCAAAATATAAACTTGTAGAAAAATAATTGTTTTTTTTTTCATGAATTAAAATTGATTTAGAAACAACTGTTAATATGTCTAATTTTTTTTTTGTCTTTGAGGAAATTAAATTGCACAACTAATTTCACTAACATATAATTTGATATATATATTAATAATTAATTTAGAGCGCCTCATGAATACATTTATTTTATTTCAAGTAACTTAAATTACATAATATTTTTAAAAAATTAATATTTTTGGTATATTTGTCCAACATGAATTTTTATTTAATGCATAGCAATGGACCGATACAGAGATTCGCGGTTTAACCTGTAGATTGCGTATTTTTAACCATTTTTATATAATTAATATAATTTGTGTAATAATTTTTTATAATTTATATATTACTTAAAAAGTTGTTTTTTGAAATAACAAAATACTCTAATATTATTTTTTTAAAAATACTGAATTAATAATTTATTTACATGATTATAACATTATTTTTTTTTAAATAAATATTTTACAAATTAGGATAATTAGGTCTTGAAAATTTTTATATTTTAAATCATTTGTTTGAGTTATTAATTGACTGTTCTCAAAAATATAATTATTAATAAATTTTGTTAGAGTTTGATATTAAAAATAAAATAGAAACAAATTACCAATGTTTATTGCAATAAAAAGTAAAAAAAACTTTTATTATGGGAAAAGATCTTCAAAAATACCAATGTAAATTCTTGGGAAATTATTCTGAATTACATTCAACTTGAATTTCTGCAGAGGCAGGAGGATCGTCACATTAGATTCGGACGGAATTAAGGGAAAGAGAGCCGGCAGTGGTGAAGGGCCACATAAAGGCAAACTGCTCGCCCTGCAGGAAGCAATATCCGCGCACTTTATGGGGGTTTCCAAGTCGACTGCATATTTCCAGTTTCAATTACGAGGTCGTAATTGGGATTAAACGGGGTGAGTTGCGAGAGAGAGAACGTTAATTAATCGTAGCCCGCGTGTTTTAATTTCGTCGGCCGGCGAACAAAGTGCGAATCGGGACCGGCCTGGGAAATTAAGCAGGCACCTATGGCAGTATAATTAATAGACTTGCCGATAAAATGATTAAGTCCATTAGCAACAACCGTGCTCTGCCGGTTGCCTGCCAGCCCGAGTATTATGATTATTATTACGTGTGGAAGGCTCGAGTCGGAACATGTGATAATTTCCCAGCCTGCAGGAGGATCGCGAGCGAGAGAGAAGAATGTGCTGTGCCGCCGCGTATAATTAATAACGTCGCCCCGTCGCAATGCACTCATGCGCGACTTTAATCACCTCGCGCGCCCTTAATTGCTTAATTTATGCTTTTCATTCGTGACTCCGGCCCAAATCGCATATATACCGTGATTCGCGCGTCATTTAACTCCAAAAGAGGCGTGCGTTTGTAAATAAATAAAAGATGCCTCCTTTTTATAATTAACGATGTGTTCTCGTTTCCCATTTTTCTTTCAAATTTCAGCTTAATGACTCTCACCTGTAATATGAACGAGAATTTTGTTCAAAGAGGTGGAAAAATAAAATGAGTATTTTATTTAATTTTTTTAATACAAGCAGAAGAATAAACTAAAGCTTCTGACTCTGCAATTCTCTCTGATAGGGATATGAAAAAAACTTAAAGAAGATGATCCCTTTGAAAACCTTAATGTTCAAAATGAACAAAATTGGATTATAAATCTCAAGTATATATTTTATTCGGCTTAAATAGAGGGTTTAAAACCAAATTTCGGTCGAAAAATATGGAATTTCAACGATTTTTTACTTTTGAAGATAAAAACAACCTATTCTCTTTTTGTGGAATTTCACGACCAAGGATGGCGAGTAAATTTTAAGTCGGCTTTTCCACGATGGGTTTTTTAAGGGAAAAAATTAAAAAAAAAAATTAAAAATTCATATCTATATATTCATGAAAACGAAACATAAATGAAAATGGCACCATTCTATATGACAGAAATTGAACCTTGGTTTAAATCTGGTTTGGATCTGGTTCAAAACTGATGCCAGAACAGCTGAACCGTTTCTGCACTAGTTACGTACTATTTTTGAACCAGGTCTGAACTAATTCCAAATTTTAAAAAACTTTTTTAAGGAAAAAATTTAAAAAAAAATTAAAATTCATTTCTATATATTCATGAAAACGAAACATTAATGAAAATGGCACCATTCTATATGACAGAAATTGACCCTTGGTTCAAATCTGGTTTAGATCTGGTTCAAAACTGGTGTAGAACTGATGCCTGAACAGCTGAACCGGTTCTGCACTAGTTACGTACTATTTTTGAACCAGGTCTGAACTAATTCCAAATTTAAAAAAACTTTTTTAAGTAAAAACTTTAAAAAAATTAAAAATTTATTTCTATATATTCATGAAAACGAAACATAAATGAAAATGGCACCATTCTATATGACAGAAATTGACCCTTGGTTCAATTCTGGTTTGGATCTGGTTCAAAACTGATGCCAGAACAGCTGAACCGGTTCTGCACTAGTTACGTACTATTTTTGAACCCAGAAAACACGCTTTTCTCTATTTCTGTCTAAAGATTTGTAAAAAAAAAATTTAAAATTTTTAAAGAATTTTTTATATTAAAGGTAAATAATTGTTGTTCATTTGTAAGAAAAGTAGAAATTAATTCACGTATTAATTTTTTCCAGAAATAATTCACTGCTCATTAATTATGGCTGCAGCCCGCAGCCGAAACATGTAGAACTCCATTGTTTTTCTGAAATAATAAGCGACTAAAAAACCAGTCGAATAAAAGCTGACTTAAAATAAAATGTATATTTTCAGATTTTTTTTATCTTAAAACCTTATTTTTAATCATAAAATTTCATTTGAAAATTACTGTTTGCAGAAAAATATTCCATTTAATATATTTTCATCAAAAACAGCTTAAAAATTCAAAAATTCGTTGAAGTACAAAAGAACCAATTTGGCTTTTTTACACACCTAAAATCACCTTTTAATCTATTTTAGGTGAATTTTTCACCCGAATTGGCTTCTATATTTTGCAAAAAGAAAAAATCACTAATTTTCTTCTGTTACTTTGAATGAAATTATCTTTCAATTTTAATTTCAGTCAAAAAAAAACTAACTAAGGATGTTTCTATTTCTATCTTAACCGCAAAATCCATTAGGCCATCCTAGCGTTGATATCAAATCGATAAATAGCAATTATTTTGACAGCTTTCGGGGTTTCAACAGGACAATTTGACCAAAAGGTCGGTCACGCAATGACGTTATAAAGCTATGCAGGATGAAATATCAGAGAGCGTGTGTGTTTGTGTGGGAATGGAGAGTGGCGTGTCGTCGTTGCGCCAATTTAGATTTAATAAACACGCTCGGCTGCAAAATAGTTGTAGTACACGGCACTAAAATAAACCGCATTACACTAGATACGACTAACTAATTTAGCCATCGAGCGGGCGAAATTTCAGCGCAGAGAGCTCGGGACAATCTGGGCTCGTGCGCGCATTCCGTCCACCACACCTCGTAAACCTGCGGCCGGAATCGCGTAAATAATTCAATAATTTAACGCCCCAAATTACGACTCGCAGCGCCTCTTCTTAATTTACGAGACAAAGTGTGCGAGAGCACTTTCGGGTCTTGCAGCTAATTAATTTTGACGTTGAAGAGATAAAAATGTCACACGAGTTGGCAAGCGGGCGTGACATAATTTATGGCGCGCGAGCACCGGTCGTATATGCAAATTTGGTTGGAGACAAGGAAAGTGCGCGGCGCTGCTTTTGAGAGCTCTTCGCGCTCTTTCACTCTCGGACTCCGAATAAGTAGAGAGCGGAATTTTTAATGCGCGCGCTCAATAGTGCCGCGTGGGTTTGCTGCGGGGAAAACGCAAATCGTGAAATGGGAAGTGCAGCACTTCAACTGGTTTTCCTCTCAATAGGCTCTATTTTCATTCACCAAGTTCTCAATTGAGGAAACCAAGCATTGATGTTCATCAATTATTCCTTACGGTGAGGTCAAATCAAGTCTGTAAAACGATATCAGATATTTTTTAGCCTTTCAAGACCAATATTATTTAATATTCACTACCAATATGACTTGATTTCCATTTAAAAATTGGAAGGCAATTTTTTTGGTAAATTATAAAATTGCAAAGTCTGTACGACTATTGTGGTTAAAATTTCAAATTTTCCTTCAATAATCGGATAAATTTTCAATTTTTTTCTATAATTTTGTTGTAAATATTTTATTTACCTGTGCCTGTGAATTTTTGAGTAGCGCTTTCATTGTGAATTAAAAGCATTATTGATTTTTTATGACAATAAATAAAATAAAATCATGCGATGAATCACGATGAATTTGCTTTTTTCCATATCTTGTATCTAGAATTTTTCTTATTCAGTCATGATTTAAATGATTGTGACTTTTTTTATTAATTTCTACAATTTGTTTTTTTCTTATAAATTCAAAAAATTGAAAAAACTGCACAGTTTTTGATATAATTTAATTCCAATAAACTTAGATGTGATTTTTAGCTCCGCTTCTAATCTCGCATAGTGAGCTTTGTATTAATTAGGTCAACACTGAATCACAGAACTGCATTGACAGTTACTTAGTTGTGTTGACCTTTTGAAATCTCAGAGCGACTCGGTTTTCTCTCTGAATAAACTCAAAAGCGGGTCATGTGTGTGTACATTTGCCGTCGTCGCAGCATCTGCTTATCCCAGCCGGAGCTCACAGAGAAACGCAGTCGGTCGTCAAAGGATTAGCCACGGATAGATTAGCGCGCGCTCGTCATTATTCCGGCAAAGTGCAAACATTGCGGGTAATTTCTCAAAGCCACCAGCAGCGATAAAATTAAACGTGAATTAATCACGCTCGCCTAGGCGGGCGCGCGTCTAACCGGGTGTGCGTGAGTGTGTCTCTTTCGAGAATCTGCTCGGAAAAAGTATTTTTAGACCAACCTCCATCAACGCAAAAAAGTTTTTTAAATCGACGATTTTTCCGGTTTTCTCCTTCTTTAGGTTTTTCATATTTACATAATTTTGTTACCATATTTTAATGATTTTTATAATTAAAAACAATTAAAATATTTTAAAGTTCTTATTTATTTGACTTAAAATTTCAATTTTTCCTGTTTTTTTCTTGCAATTGATTTTCAGTTCTTTTTACTTTTTCCCTGATAACTATTCTTCTTTGGAAAGTGCTCTAGAACATCAATCTTCTTATTATTTTTTTTCTTCCGTACTTCCTTTTGCATCTGATTTCAGCTCTCGTACATCGTGTGAGAATGAGAAATTAGTCTGACTGTCGCCTCCTTTGTTGGCGAAAGCAAATATCGGACAAATTTCCCTGCCGTCGGGAGGAAATTAAACTTTTTCTATCTATTGAATGCATAAGAAAACTCCTTCCAGCTCATTATACTTGCATTTTTATGAGAAACTTTGCGCCGCGTCAGCAACTCTCGACGAACGACGAGTTTTGAATTATGCATCAGCAGCCGCGTGTATATTTTGCGACACACCTCGCATGAATATCTATAATGCTGATATTACCGATAATAAAACAATAATGCAAAAATACAAAATTAGCCCACCTTGATATGCTAATATTATTCATTATTAAAAACAAAGATGAAATTCAATCACTGAGAAAAAATTATTTATGGCTTTTTAAATTTTTCGCATAGAAGTTTATGTATTTATATGTATATCTTTTTATTTATTCTCCGTTCAATACTTTGAAATACAAAACATCTTAAAACAAGTCAATATACACAAATTAATCAAGATAAAACTGTTAGTACTAATTTAACCATTAAAAGTTACTTCAAAAGTCGGTTAATCAAGATTTAAATCCTTACTTTCAATTATTTTTGCATTAGTATTTCAACTAAAGGAAGAATTGTAATTTTAGGTGAAAAATTTGATCAACCAAAACGGCTTAAATTAATTAGTTTAAAAAGATGTAAAATTAATTGTCTCCTGGAAACTCTTCAATTTACAAAACGTTTAAATTCTAATATTATCAGTGATCATGTATTCTTTTCTTTAAAAATCGTTTGTTTTTGCAAATCTGAAATTTGAACGCTTTTTTTAAACTTTTGAATTCGAGTGTCCTTGCAAGCTCTGCACAAAACCCTTTGTTGAAGTTTGCTTAAAAAAAATCATTTCGTTTTTCCGTTCAAAGAGATTTGTCTGCGCGCCCATCTTGGGGCAAAATGAGCCGCAACGGCGGCAATTGCCAAGGCCTCGAGTCACGAAACGCCGAGACAAATTGGATGGAAAGAAGAAGGAAAGAAAAGCCGGTCGCGCGTGTAAACACCGCTGCCTCGCTCTTGGCCCCGCGAATATCGCGCGCCGGCAGTTCATGCATACTTGATGCCATTACGGGCGAGGAACAAAGCGACTCCGATAAATCATATCACTGAGGAGCCGCCGGCGAAATAGGAGCTCGGAAATTATGAAACATTGGTCTGGGTCCCGCCGCCGTCCATCAATCTACCTTTATCGAAACCGGCTCAGCAACCCACCGACCGTCACTGGATTTATCCGATGCGATTATTCGATTTTTTTTGCTGGACACGAGATTGCACTCCTCCGAGCTGTGTGCGCTGGATTTTCCGCTTTGATCTCGTTCGACCACCGCAATGGCTGGTTTAATCTGGATTACGTGTTTGGAAACTCACGGCACCGAACTCTGCATAGCGCTGAAACTTCCAACTTTGAAAGTTTTGGCAGTATTTTTAAGATTGATTTTTATTAAATGTGAATAATATTATGAATTTAATTTAAGCAATATTTTCTATGTTACTTTTTAAATACATTAAAAATGTCAAAGTTCTATCATTTAATGTTCTTTTTATGAATTGCAGAAGCGTAAAATTAAATACAGCTGATCCTGAAATTATAAAAAGATCAACACTGTGAAAAATGAAGCTCCAGAGAAGTTGCTATTTTATGGTTAAACTGGATATCTTTCTACATAAAAACTAACAAAAACTTTTGATTTCAACAATTTGTAACAAAAATCTTTAGAAAATTGCATACTTTTCCCCACTTATTTTGAAATTTATTTGGTAATCACACATTTGGTATTATAAAAATCACATAGTAAGAAGCTAAATTGTGACAAAATAAATTACTTATTTTTCTCGTTCCTCTTTTATTTTATTTTTTATTGTCCTAAATTCAATTCCACTAAGAAAAAAGTTTCCACCTGAATGCTTTTCTAGAAACATATAATATGCACAAATTATAAATAAGATATTTTATAGGAAAAACAAACAAATATTTGAGCCGTTTCAAATCACTGTTGCAGGTATCGTGGATAAGAAAGCGGGACCTGCACATCCTGACCGTGGGCATCCTGACCTACACGAATGACCAGCGTTTTCAGTCTCTGCACTCGGACGGCTCGGACGAGTGGACGCTCAAAATCAGCTCATCGCAGACGCGCGACACCGGCGTGTACGAGTGCCAAGTGAGCACCGAGCCCAAAATCAGCAGCGCTTTCCGCCTCAACGTCGTCGGTAAGTTCTTTTGCAGGCATTTTTTCTTTCATTCGAGCCGCTTCTGAATTGCAAACGATAATTCCCATTTCGCAATTCAATATGGGAGGGGGGAGGTGCAAAATTTAATTAACTCTTTGATGCCGTTGTGGACTGAAAAGCCGGCGCTTTAGTATTGGCATTATTTATTAACACGCCGTGCCGCGTTCGCACTCTCTTTGAGCTTTCGAATTGAAAGAAGCGACGATTCAGTCGAGCGTGAGTGTAATAAATTTCGCTCCGCGAAATCTGATTTCCCGCAGCAAGAGGGATTTGCGCCGAGGAGCGTTTTGCTGCTTTTACGCAACGTTTTGATTGAAAACGAGGTTTGCTCTTGAGCCTTTAATGGATAGAAGATAAAATAAAAAGTGTAGCAGCAACAAATCAAACGCGAACTAAAGTTTTTGGCGGAAAAAATTTAATCACGCCAAAGAGACAGATTTTAAATAATGACTGCTAAGGATGGAAAAATAGGTGATGCATTTGTTGAAATGATCTTCAATGTACTGATAAAGACAAAATATATAATTCTTATGTAAAAACTGACAAATTAAAATCACATTAAATCTCACCTATAAAAAAAAACAGTTTTTTTCTTTTTGCAGAATTTTTCACCAAATTTAGAAAATTAAATAACAACTATTTTTCCACCTAAAATCACCTATTTAGATATTTTTTTTTTTTGCCAATAACCAATTTTTTTTAAACAAAATCCACCTAAAATCGTCTATTTTTACAATAATTGCCTACTTTAAAAAATCTTAAAAATACTCAAAAAAACACAATTTTTTTGGTAAAAAATTTCTCTTATTTTCCAAACTTATTTAAGACGAAAAACACCTATATATATGCCTCTTTTGCCCATAGAAATCACCAATTTGTCCCAACGCTAATGATTATCATATGAAACACAAAAATGTTCAAAAATTGCAAATTAACTTAAAATTGCATGTCGTACCTTTGCAATTTCCCCTCTTTTTTTATAAAAAAAAGTCATATTAAAACAACAAAATCACAAAATGATATTAAAGAATGAAGATGGAATACTAAGAAAGATTAAAAACTGAAAGTACAAATTTAATAAAAAAAAAATACCATTTATGCTTCAACCATAATAAAATCTTATTAATTTAATTTAGCCTCCAATCAAAAATATAAATTTTATTGCAGGCTTCCTCTAGCAATTTTTTATTCTTTATATTGAAACTAAATAAAATCTGAATTTAAAAATTAGTATCAACAGCAAAGGCTCACTTTTTCCCATCAAAGTAGTTCAAATTTCTCCACATTATAGAAATTAAGGCCATTTAATTGCTTCAAATACATTACAATTATTTTCCTCCCCTATTTGCCCGTTGATTTGCGTTTTAATTAATTCTTTGTTCGAGTGTGTAAATTAGTGTGCGATTGTGTCGTTAATCAAACTTGGAAATCCGATTGCAAACGCGGTAAGACGATATAGCGAGCGATGCAGCGCCTGTAATTTATCGGCAACATTGTTACTGGCAAAGCGAACGAAGAGCCTTTGAAGTGTCTTGCATGCCGTGTGTTAGCTCGTTAGGCATGTTCGTTATCACTGCGGTTTCTCTCTGCATTGGTCAACCAAAGAAATGCTCTCCTGGCTGATGGGCTGTTTGACTCGACCGCAGCGCGCACGTCTTGTTAACTCTCGGCGGCAACTCCATTGCGAGCCACCCGAGCTGACTTGACTCGAATTACCGCGCCTTTGAAATGCACCGGCTCAAGAGCAGCACAAGTGCGCGATTGACAAAAGCAGGCAAATGTCACGGAAGCGAGGACAGAACCATATTCCTTTGACACTCATCGTCGAATGTATAACATTTTGATATTTTCACAACTACTCCATTGTTTATTTTGGTCGGTAAAAGTTTAATCAGATTTCGGTGGCAATTAGCTTCTGAATAGAAATTCGTGCTTAAAAAGGGATAAATTAGGAATAATATTAATTTAAAAATATCTGAAACCAAGCAAAACAGTTTTAGGGTTTTTCAAAAAATAATACAATTTTTTTAATATCAAGATTTTACAATAAATACATATCTTTGCAAAATTATGTTGAATAAGATCACTGATACGTTGAGTAATATTGTAAATGAATTTAATATGGCCAAAGATTATAACAATAACAACTAATAATAATAAGTCAACCAGCTCACTGAGGCGGAAGGTTTTTTAAAAAGAAAATTTAGCGAAATTCTTGCTAGTGGTTGTACCATTCGTTTTGTCCAACAATACCTTCTTCTCAATCAAGTTGTTTTCGAAAATTGAATGTGAGAAATGTGATGTAACAAATGGACAATTAAACAATAATTATAAATTAAAAATAAAATATACTTGGGCTTATATAGTTGACGGAAAATATTTACCGAGTATAAAAATGGTTCTACTCAATTTTTATGGAAGGAAAAATACAAAAAAACCAGCAAAAAAAAATGTATTAAATCATTTAATTTAAAAAGGTCTTGAATTTTAAAAACCCTTTCACGCGGAAGTTCAGTTTAGAATAAAATTTTATCAGTATTTTCCTGATAAAAAGGAAAAATCATCAATATTTTATATATTTAATCCATTTCGATTTTATATCTTTAGATTTTCACATTTTTATTTCAGTTTTGCTCTACTTATTAGTTGAAGGACAGCTTATTGTGTAGGCGGTCATTAGATAAGCTCAAAACATGGCCGATTTCAAAAACCAAATCAGCAAATTTAGAGCATTTCATATTTTCCAACGCCAAAATTTTATCCCCGTTTCGCAGCATCATATTTTTTTACCCCATTAATCCGGCGATTTTGCCGGGAAATACGACCTTCAGAGGCTTTGCTAAGCGCAATGTTTTTTTTTCGTACTTCACATTTGCACGAAATACGCCAATCTCTTTGGCGATGTTGAAATTCGCAGTGACGTCAAGCAATTTTTCCAGGTCTCAACTCGCATTCGCACGCAAATCACGTGCGCGTCGTGACATATTACAGCACGAAAGCTGTGTTGAGACGGGAGAAGCAAAAAAATAAAACGAATGTTCTCATTCTCTCGCTGGCTTAATTAAAATTCAAATGTCGAGATTTGTTTGCGTATCCGAATACATTATTTCCTCGTCGGCGAATTTTCTTAAAATCCAATCGCTCTGCATATTTCTTGTCGAGAAGAGAAGTTATGAAAGAAAACAAAAATTAATAAGAATGCCCTCCCACTGCGCTCTTTCTAATTAATATCCACTGTTGACTTTAAAGCAAGCCCATCACATTTCATTAGCGCAGTAAAATTAGAATATAAATTAAGAATCGCACATCTGCTCTTCTCTTTGCAAGCTCAGAGCAGCAGAAGAGAAAGCAGAGTCTGTTTTAATTATTTTATTGGCTTTCCTTCGTTGCAGGGAAATCAATGGAGAAATTATACGTTTGTGGCAAGAATAAATCGATTTTAGACTTGAAAATGAAAAAAGTTGGCCATAGCAAATTTTAATTTTTAGTGGATAATGTTGTAAAAATGAAATGTGCATAAATTTTCTTTGACAGAATCAAAATTTATAGTTTTTAGAAGGCGTGAAAATTGGAAATTGACGTTGAACTGTTTTTCAAGACGGTTTTTTTGTAGTACTTTCCTTTAATGAATTTTTTATTGTGCTAAATAAAGTTCTCTTATTCATTTCAAATAATATAAAATGTGCTAAATTCTCCACTTTTTTTGTACGGCGTATTTATTTCAATGAATAAACCACGAATTGAGAATAAATAATTTTATAAATTAAATAAAAGAAATAAATAAACTAAATCCAAGCGACTGTTCTTGTCACACTGGAACCATATTTTTTTTTTGCACTATGATTTTTGAAAGAATGAAATATTATATTATTACTGTTGTTTATTCGTCCAATTTTACGTCTCACTGTTTACATTCAATTTGTTTTGAATCAATTTTTAAATCAATTCATATAGAAAAGCAACTTATATAAAATCTCTCAATTTGCAATTAATCTGTAAAAAAAAACGATTTCTTGTTTTCCCAGAAACGTTTTTTTTTTAAATTATGATGAGCTGAGAAAGCAATTGTGTGACACTTTTGGACTAATTCACTTCAAAACAGCTCAGCCTCTTTTACGTCATCCGTTTGCGTCGTCGAGTGGGATTTTATTTACAAAGCCGACCGAGCAGGTAAAAAGAAGCAATTCTGCACACGGAGGTCGAGTCTCTCTCTCTCACTTGTGCCACAAAGATTGTGTGATCCGGCACTCGAGTCAATTCCTGTTTGCCCGCACCTAATCACACGGCGTGTCAAAGCGACCCGTGAATGAAAGGACTCTCAATTGACGCTTTTCCTTTTCCTCTCCGGCTGCGTTCCTATTTCAATGCATGTTTTTTTATATTCTTGCAGTGTCAAAAGCCAAGATCATGGCCAACCCGGAGCTGTACATCAAAAGTGGCAGCGACATCAACCTGACGTGCATCGTTCTGCAAACACCGGAGCCGCCGTCGTTCATCTATTGGTACCACGGTAATCACGTCATCAATTATTCACAACGCGGGGGCATCAGCGTGGTGACGGAGAAGCAGCCGCGCACTTCGCGCCTCCTCATCTCGCGTGCGCACGCCAACGACTCGGGCAACTACACATGCTCGCCCTCCAGCTCGGACGCGGCCAGTGTCATGGTCCACGTCCTTAATGGTATGTTCATATTATTAAATCATCGCTTTTAATAATTTATTGCTAAATTTTACTATTATTAACTAATTTTATTGAATTCCGTGTGAATTAATTCAACACGATTCATTTTATTCAACATCTAATTTATTATTTTCAGTTTCTTGAATCTTTTATTAGAAATTAAATAATTATTATTGTAAAGAAGAAAATAAAAACCAAATGTTATTAGCTATCAATCTAAATTTTTTACCAGTTTAAATTGCTCAAAATTTAAGAATAAAACTAAATAAGACGTGCCAAAAGTTTTATTGTTAAATAAAAATCAATCACGCGTCAGGCGTCTTTTGCCTTCATTTCTTGCTAAATTTCTGAAAACTTCTTCAGTCAACATTTGTGATTGATTGAATTGCCCGAATTTCCATTTATTTTAGCATTTTTTGCTCCGCCCAAAACTAGCAAAGTTTGGCCCAAAGTGCGTTGCCTCGGCAAATCGAGCGAGACACTGTTTTTCACAACGTGTCATTCAAAAAGAGCTCTTCTCTTCCGCGGAGCCGTTTTCTTCCCCCACTCGTGAATAATTTATGAACAGATTTTTCAAGTCCTCCGAAGAAACTCATTTGTCAAAATCTTCCCCTTAATTTATGCCGAGCCGCGAAAGCAGTCGCTGATTTCAGGGTTCTCTCAGCCGAAGCAAAAATAAATTCGTATCGGTGCCAAAATCGGTTGTTATTGTTTGCAGTGATATAAAGTTTTTCCGCATAATATGGCAGAGACTACAAATTTTTCCAAAACAAAATGACATAAATAAAAGTGATGAATTCAGTGACAAAGCTTTTGAATAGCAATTTAAATTTGCTTTTTACACAATTATTCTAAAAACAACAAAGAAATAAGGAGAAATTAGAAGAAACTTTTCTTAAATATGAGAAAATTGCAGATGTTGATATCTTCAATTATTAACTTTCTTGGTCCATTTAATTTGAGAATGGAAACTTCCTTGATGAGGTAAATGCGACTGTAGGCAACCCGGTGGTCCGTAGTGCTCTGCGGGATGCCTATACACGCCTATTGATTTTCTTGGCTCGCATGACAATACGCTCACCGCCGGTTGGACAAGAACTTTTTTCATAAAAAAAATATATTTTCGAATAAATATTGAAAATAAAACACGGTATAACAAGCAAAGTTGAAAAGAAAGCAATCCTTTTCCGTCCAAAACGAGACAGATTTTTTTTGTTTGTTTGCGTGTTTTCCGTCAAAGACCGAAAGTCTCAACAAACTGGCAAGTGAAATTGGAAACGTCATTATCTCCCATTATAATTCGTCCAGGCTGACTTTTGACAAACTTCATAATCATATTTCCAGCCGAGTCGATCTCTCTCGGCCGCGTTGCTCAACAATTGTTGGCTAAACAATCGATATAAACCACTGCGCAGTGGAAAACGTTCCTTCTTTGGAAAGCAATTCCTCCAACTTCTTCACTCAGACACGCATCTCGTCGGCGTTGATAAAAAAATCTGCACATATATCCGCTGAGAGCTAGTTGTGTGTGTAGGTGCTAAACACGCCATCAGAATTGCCCACACCTTGAGCCGAAAAGCTGCGGCTGATCTGAATTTCAAATCTGCCTTGCGCGATCCCCGAAGGCGACCACACAACGCGCGCATACCGATCGTCGGAAAAGAGAAAAATAAACGAACAACTATTTCTGCCAAAGCAAATATCCATTCACGAAATAACTTCGGGGAGGAGCACGCCTTACGCTACATATGTTGTTATACCAGACTGCTGAGAGAATAAAGTAGCTTTTGTAATCCATACACATGTAATATCTTTAAATTTTCATGGAAATTTTAAACAATCTCAAATTAAGCTTGCCTTTTTTTCAAATATATTATTATTTTCAATGTTGAAGTCAATATAAAATAATTTAAGCTGAATTTAGTGAATTGTGAGTTTATTCAGTAAATATTTTAACAACATTTCATTAATAATAAAAAAACCCTTGCGCTAACTAAAAATATACAAATTAAAAGTAAAAAAGATTTTCATGAAAAATTGGATTTTACAAAAAAAGAAAATAATAAAAACCTTTTATCGAGCCTTTTTTTGCGAAAAAAATGCACTTATTTTACAATATTTACATTGCTATTTATTTCTTAGATAATTATGTAATCTTAATTGGTCTTCATTTGTAAATTGAACATTTTTTTCCTCACAATTTTCAATCTTAAAAATAATAAATATTTTGAAAATGATTTTACTCTATAAAATTTAAATGATAAATTCATTGAAATATCATTTAATTATTTTGTAATTTTTCTATGAAAAACGTGTAACTTGTGTTCATGTTTGCAGGGGAGCACCCGGCGGCGATGCAACACGGCAACAGCGGCGGAGCAACTACGGCGGTGGCCGTCTCGCTGTCCCTGCTCACCTCGTCCCTGCTGACCGGCCAGCTGCTGCGCGGGGTCACCAGGTGATAAACGTGCAGCCGGTGCTGATCAGACCAATTAATGTGCGGAGGCCCGTGATTGATTGAGTTTTGTGCCGCTGATTGATCGCGGGGGACCAAGTTTGGCGAGGCCGGCGGGGCCTCGAAGGGCGGCCCAAGTGCGGTGCGCGGGCGAGTGCCACTAACCCTACTCAAGTACCCTATCAAAGTGTATTGCATCTCATTTGCTGTTGTTGCAAGTCCCGTGCGTGTGTCAGTTTCAAATGAAAAAGTAATTTTTTTTCGTAATTTACACATTTTCATTGCAGTTTTGGAAATTTTAGTTTGGCTGCAAACAAATAATTTGTCTATGAGGGATTTTATTTTATTTTTCTGGTATTTCCTTGCCAGGTTATTGCTAAAAATTTAATTTTATATCATTCTTTAAAAAAAGCAAATTTCAAATCTTTCTTTTAATATGTGACTGGAAATGAAATTGTTTAGCAGAACGTGAAGAAATTTGTACCTCAATTATGGTGTATAGAGATCGAAGGTGAATAAATGAGAAATTTATATATTTCATTTCTTCCCTGCTCTTAAAAACTGTAAAATGCTGGTGCAAATGATTTGTTTCAATGTGAAATGTGAAAATTTGTTTTCTTCTCCAAAAATGTGGAACTGCTGAAACCAGATTATAGCATTTTTTGAACTACCTGATTGCAGTTTCAAAGTATGCGTGTATGTTGGTGTTTCGGTGGAGAAATTGAGGAAGTTTTCTTTCTAATTTCGCGTTCAAATTACTGAGGAGGCTCCATAGAAGTGTTAATAAGGACAATTTTTTATCCGAAGACAAATGCGTAATTGTAAATATAATAAATACATATGAAAGAAAAGTAAAAAAATACTATGACAGTGTGACCTGTGGGGAAAAGATGCACAAAACAAAGAAGAGATCAATTTTTCCCAAATGAAAAACTTAGCACGAAAGATTTGTGATTAATATTGATTAAGACGAGAAAGAGAACCGCCGTTTTTTGTGATTTTTGTTTTGTTGTAAGCAAAAAAATGAACTTTTTGCAATGAACATGAACAGGTGTATCCCCAAAGTGTATTTCAACTTTCCTGCAATGCCACATTCATTAATTTTGTATTAGTTAAAGGAAAAAAAGAACGTAAACATATTTTCATCGTTCAAAAAATTATAATAAAGTCCCGATAAATGTTCTACACATCAAGTGAATCATTTTTATAATAATGCAAATTGATTTACAAGCGTTTTGATGACCCCATGTGTGGCGCGCAGGAAGCCATGATAAATCTCCAAAGCAGTGTTTTGACGCCCCTACTCGAAATTAATTGTTTTCCGTTGTCATGAAAACAATAAATAAAAATAAAATATCATTTGACAAACAGGTCTTTATGGTTTAATAATGGAACCCCTTTGGCGCCAACTCATAAATTTTGTTTTGTCTTTTTTTTGCAAAAGGGTTTTATTTCATTAATCCGAGCGCGACAAAAGCACCGAGAAATAAAAGGGTTGATCAGCACAAGAGTTGAAGGAAAAGAGGATCCGAGGAAGACAAGTTCGGAAGAAGAATTATTGTCAAAGCTCCAATTCGTCAGCTCTTTTCGCGCAAAAAGCATCGGCGCTAATTAATCTCCAATATCAATGTGTCACTGCAGCATGCGATAGATTAATCATTTTCGCGCCTCTGTCATTCCTCTCGACATTAGAGAGATCGAGCTGTTCTTTTTCTTACACGCTGATAGTGAGAATCGCATAACGCGCAAATCAATAAGTAAATGCACAAAATTAACTTCAATGGTAAATTTTATCCAAATAAGAAAAGTACCTCACCTTAATGCGCTTAAACAAAGAAAATATATTTTAAAAAGAAATTTGGTTCAAAGTTTAAAATATCACAAGTTTCAAATTCAAGAGTTGAAATAATTTTATCAAATCAATTTAATTTTAGGTTCTTGTATAAACTCAAAATTATTCATATCTTTCGGAAAATAATTTATATCTTCGTCAATATTTATTCTAGGTCCAATATGTATCATATGATCCACGATCCAAGTGCAATTTTTTCCAATTTATTTAAGATCATTATTATTTTTACAATTTCTTGCATGGAGAGTAAGATAAATTTTGTGCTTTTCCTTATTTTTATATATTGCAATCCTCTTACAACTGAAGGGTCCAGGGAGACCTGCAACGAGTTGAGAATTTAGAGTGATCAGCAAAAAAAAGAGCTTGATTGGTGATCCTCTCTCTAGTCTGTGTCCAAAAAGGTTGTGCTCCACCGGACCACCATCTCATTATGCTTCCCAGTCACGTGCAGAGTGGTATAAAGAGGACAAACAGAAAGTAGAATTTGGCGGTGGAGAATTTTGCGGAATTTCGTATGTATGAGAATTAAACTCTTAAAAATTATAAATAATAAAATATAAATGGAAAAATCTTACATTTTTTCAATTGTTTTGACGTAAATTCACTTAAATAAAAACCAGCTTTGATATAAATTAGCTCGATAATATCAACTGATAATATCAACCACAACCAATTTGTCTCTTCCACAGCTGCCATTACCCGGGTCCCGGATCCCGGATATGCGTATAGTATCCAGATAAATTTATGCTCTTTATCTGAATAATATTCGGGTAAAATTATCCGTTGGTAAATTAAATTCCTGCCACATATGAACAGAAGTATTTGATCCGAAAAATTGCTAAAAATAATTAAGATTTTTTATTGAGTAACAAATGTATAAATTCGCCAGCCAGAAGAATGTTCGGATCGCGTTTTATGGTAGGGCGTAGGACGAACGCATAACAGAAAATAAAATGCATAAAATGTTTATTATATTCTCTCTATTCTGAAAAGAAACTACATACAACTAGAGAATGTACAGAATGCACCATAATGATCGTCGCATGAACGCAAAAGTCCCATGACGCGACTGAAATTCGCGGTTTCCTCGACAAAAAGTAGCCTCGCTTGGTTACTTGCGGCCGCAGCGCCATAGTTGCGCAGAAGCAAATTCCGCTTTCTGCGCATTAAAATTGCAGCTCTTTGTGACGAATCGAGACGCAGTTGATTCTACGAGTCATCCAGCTGGTGAAAATGGCGGAAGGACAAGACGGATCCAAGAAAATCACGCTAAATGTCAAAACTACCAAGGAAAAACACACGGTTGAGGTCGAAGAAACAGCCTCCGTCAAAGACGTAAGTTTTCTGCAGCGGTAGAGACGGTCGGCCGGCGAATTTGTTGGCCCGGCGGCCAAACACGGGCGTCGACACACGCCCCGTGCTCGGTGCGCCGAATTGTTTTGCCATCAATATTCCGGCTTCTAACCACGATTTCACAATTAATTCTCGAAATTTCGGTATTGCGTTCTTAAAATCCTACTAAAATTTGTAAAACTTTCTCTGATTTTACTTTCAAATTGGTCATTCGGTTGAAAAACTGGAAATTCTTCCTGACTCATTGTCAGTTTTAAATTGCCCATTGCTAATTAAAAACAATTTATGCGTGAACGACGTAAAATTATTACCATTTTCTTATTATGGATGCGTAATTTTCAATTTCATTTCATTTAAATTTTTTATTGATGAAACTAAGAAAATAATCTTGAAACCGGTTTTGCTGAGACTTCTTTTGAGATTGAGATTCGCTTTTCTTGCTTGATACATATTATGACATAACAACACAAACAACCGCAAGTTTCATGTTTCACAATATTGTCTCTTTTGCAGTTCAAGGAAGAGCTGGCGAAGAAATTCAATGCTCCACCCGAGCAGCTCTGTCTAATCTTTGCTGGCAAGATCATGAAGGATCACGACACGATGCAGACCCACAACCTCAAGGATGGACTGACTATTCACTTGGTGGTCAAGTCTCCACCCACCAATCAGTCATCGTCGACATCCTCGGCACCAAGGCCACCAGGTTAAGATCACACATACCTTGCTAATTTTATTTGTTTCGAATAATTAAACAGCGTAAATTGATATTCTGCTAAAAGGAAAAAGTCATCAAAACAATTTTCTTACCCAGCAGTAATTTCATAATAATTTGCTTCAGCTTTCTATTTCTGGAGTGACACTTAAATTAAATATTGCAGCTTTCTAATTAATAATTACAATGATTTGATGATTTCTAAGTGTAAAAAAGTAGAAATAAACAGCATTTTTTTTGTAGAGAATAATAGAAGTTAAAAAAATTTCATCGGGAGAATTTCAAGCCCAAATTTAAAAAAAAAGTAAATTTACATTCCTTGCCCTTTATTCAATAATTTCATAATGAGATTTTTTTCCACTAACAACAAAATAGAAATCGAAATTTTATTGAAACTTAACCTTCGCTCAATGACCATATGATTTAATTTTTAAAATTGACTTTCAGCTGACATCAGTGCTACTCCATTTGGTCTCGGCGGTATGGGTGGCTTGGGAGGCCTCGAAGGTTTGGGGCTCGGCTCGCAGAACTTTGTCGAGCTGCAGCAGCGGATGCAGCAGGAGCTGCTGTCCAACCCGGACGCTCTGCGCCGTCTGTACGACAACCCCCTTGTGCAGCGACTGATGAACGACCCTGAGAACATGCGCAACCTTATCACGTCAAACCCGCAGATGCAGGAGCTGATGGAGCGCAACCCGGAAATCACACACATGCTGAACAACCCGGACCTGTTGAGGCAAACCATGGAGTTAGCCCGTAACCCTTCCATGCTGCATGAGCTGATGCGCAGTCATGACCGCGCCATGTCTAACCTCGAGTCCATTCCAGGTATGCAAAAGCCTCTTTTTTTGCTTCTTAAGTGGACTAGAACAGTTTGAATTATTTTATTAGTTCATTATATTTGTTGGTAAATTTGTTGCCTACGAAAGATTTTTAATTTTTTTAATATTATTTTTGGTAGTAAATTGTAATTTATTTGCATCAACTTACAAATTTGTTTCTATTAAATCTTTGTTTATAAATTTATTTTAACCTTGTTCATGTTAATAAGCGCCTCAAACAATCTAGTCACTCAAGCTTCTTTAATTTTGTTCAAACTGTTTAAATCCGCTTTAAAATCATTGGATCTCTAAATAAATTATTTTATTTTTAAGTTATACTTCTAAATTGTTAATCAAGGGCAGCAAATTAAAAATTGGATTCTTTATGATAGGTGGTTACAATGCCCTTCAAAGAATGTACAGAGAAATCCAAGAACCCATGTTGAACGCCGCTAGTGAGAGTTTTGGTCGCAATCCCTTTTCTGCAACAGGCGGCAACACTGGTGAGCAAATTGCCAAAATTAGTGAATTTAGACCTTCTTGGATAAATTTCTAAAAGTCTGAAAGTTGCTCCATGCAAATCAAATCAAAATTTATGCTTATTATTTTGAACAATGTTCAAGAAAAGAAGATATTTTGACTTCTATTTTGACCTAAGGTGCTGCGATCAACAATCCTCAGCAAGGCCAGCTCAACAGGGACCCTCTTCCGAATCCGTGGTCCCCAAATTCTGGAACTCCCGGAGAGAACCCTGCATCAGCTGGCACTGGAGGCCCGAGGCCAGCAGGTGGCCGCTCGATCCCTGGACTGGGCATGATGAACTCGCCAGCTATGCAGAGCATGATGCAGCAGATGATGGAGAACCCTCAGTTAATGCAGAACATGCTGAACGCGCCCTACACCCAGTCGGTGATGAATTCGATGATGTCGAACCCCGAGCTGGCTAATCAGTTGATGGCTAATGCTGGTTTTCTCGGAGATAATCCAGCCATGCAGGTAATTTTTAAATAAATTGCTGATTTTCTCCATTTGAATTTTCAAACCAATTATTATTTATCAGGAACAAATGCGGGCCATGATGCCGAACCTGCTGCAACAGATGCAGAACCCCGAGATGCAGTCGTTGATGACGAACCCTCAAGCGCTGAACGCCATCATGCAGATTCAGCAGGGCATGGAAAACTTGCGGGCAGCTGCCCCGAGCTTTGCCACTGGCCTTGGTCTCCCTTCGATGGACAACCCGCTGCTGGCCGGTTTGGGTGGCCTCGGAGGTGTGGCCTCGCCAGCCACGGCAAACATCCCTTCTAACCCCACAAGTCCTGCTGCCGCAACGACCACCCCTGCAAGCACCGACGCACCCAACACAACCTCCAGCTCCACCGCACCCTCTGCCACCCCTGGCATGCCTAGTTTAGCCAACAGCGACGTTTTCTCCCAGTTCATGGCTCAGATGGTAAACTATCTTTTTCCAGCATATATTTTGTTAAAAGAGCCTTAACTTCGTAGATATCCACAATGTCCACAAGAGACCCGACAAGCAATGCTCCTCCTGAGGAAAGGTACCGAGCTCAATTAGAACAGCTTACTTCCATGGGATTTGTTAACAGAGAGGCTAATTTGCAAGGTATAATTTTTTTATTAAATTATTGTCAAAATAATAATTATTCTTTTGTTTTCAGCTCTTATTGCTACTTTTGGAGACATCAACGCAGCCGTGGAAAGGTTGCTGCAAAATAGGCAGCCTTCACAAAGCTAACGACGTGGCTTTCTCATTTCTGTACAATAATGTTTGTTGTAAAATATGAGCGATTGTAATACACGAGAACACACACATATATTGATGCCTAATGTTATGATTTCATTTATATAATTACAAAGTTATTGGTCGAGTTTGTGTTTCCAGTTTTTATCCATTGTGTCTTCGGTGGCTCCCAGGGAAAATTTGTCCTTTGCTTTCTCTTGCAAAGTGCAACTTTTTGCTCCGAGGAGAGACGAACGGTGTGACACTAGTGCTCCAATCACCAGTTTTTGGTGCCAGTACACTTAAAAATATATCTTTAATGCTATTGTAATGCATTTTCATCCATTTCCAGTTTGCATGTCTTGCAGATAATTAAAATCAATGTTGTAAGCAGAGTTTATTTGCACTTGCAAACACAAAAGCTTCTCGATTCTCATTTCATCTTGTGTAGCTAAATTCTACCTACCGATGAGCAAATCAGAATCACACCACCATTTAGAATGTGTATTGAGAATTATTATTACTACAAACACTTAAATAGGCCTGTCTGTTATAAGCTGGCGGGAGATACTCCTAATTCCCTGACTGCTGTTTTTATTCATCTTCAATAAAGAAATTGAGACATACATTAAAAAAATTTATGCAATTTTCATTAGATTTATTTCCTTCCTATTATCATTGGTTAAACTAATTGAAAATCATAAAACTAGTGTTGTAGAGTGATTTATTTTTTATTGGTTTTGCCAATTATTACATTTTTTGCTATAGGGTCTTCTGGAATGTTAAGTTTTTGCCGTTAGTTGGTTGTGAGGACATGTTAATCAATTGTTAGCAGGGTGTGTGCCTGTTAAGATTTAATTAGTAGGTGTCAGGCCCTATCTATTTACAACATTGATTCTTCAAATTCCAATAATTAGCCACTCAATTTGAGATCAACTAATTCCTAGACAGTTTTCTACACTTAGGAATGCCAATTAATAATTAGTTACATCATATGTTTCCAATTAATTTACATCATAATTTCAAATATTGTTTAAGGTACGCGTACTCTTGACCAGCAATGTAATTTATTACTTGTTACATTTTTTGTAAGGAGTAAAAGCTCAAATCCCAACACAGAAAATGCTGCAATACAGTAGCCAGTAAAAATAATTTCCATTCTCTGCCGAGCTGCAATCGATTTGTCAAAATTATTTGCATTTCAAGTTTAAAAAGAGCTGGTGGATTAAAAAATAGTCTGTAAGTTGTTTTAAAGCTACACAAACAACCAAGCTGAAATTTTCAAAATTTAGTGTCCCCGGCTGTGGTACCACTTTCTCTCATTGTCATAGTAGTTTCTCTTCTGCTGCCTGGCATCCACCCTCTTGGCATACCAGTCGGAAACCTCTCTCTGGCGACCTTTTTCACGAAACTGAGCTCTCTTGAACTGCCAGTCATTCTGTGGCCTGTATTGGTCTTGGTACCTCTTGTTGCCGTACGAGCATTTGCCCTTGTAACAAGCCTTATTGTTTTCGTACTTATTCTCTTGAGGGTAGAATCTGTCCTTGTTCTCAGGTTGCTTTGGCTTGTAGAATTTGGTATCATTTTTCTTGTATTCCGAGTAGCAGTCCTGAGTGTTTCCCTTGTTCAATTTGCCCTTGATGTGACACCAGCCATTCACCACACTGGACTTCAATTTATTCAGACTTTTCCAGACATCTCCATCAGGCCTCCCCCTGGTCATCTTTTCCGTGGTGTGCTTCACATTTTGGACCATTTTCGAGATTGACTTTTTCACATTGTCCACCATGTAGGTGCTCTGTTGGGCCGTGTTCTGACTCAAGGTCTTGACACTTTGTTGCAAATCAGAAATGGTGGCCGTCAGCACACCGAGACCTGTAGAAACTCCATTCGGAATGTGGCGGTTCTTGACCAGATTCGATCCATAGTTGGCCACTCGCTGCATCACATTTTGGAGTTCTGCTTCCACACGGTTGTAGAAAGAATCAGGCTTGGTTGATCTGGGCTTTCTCGGCTCGTCTGCTGTTTTGGCGAAACGGGTCTGGAAGTTTTCCAGCTGCTCATCAGTGTACTGAGAACCAGCTTGAAATTCCTGTTTTGCGGCAGGTACCGTTTTTTTAGTCTCCACCTCCACCTTTGGTTCTTCCGCAGTCTGCACCAAAGTCTCGATATTATTTGTGTTTTCCTCAGCAATCACTGCAGGCTCAATTTCAACGACCTCTTCGGCAGGGGGCCTAATCACACAATTAGATACAATTTATTTAATACTCGCAAAGTTTCTAAATTTAACTGACCATTCAACATTCTCTTCGTTTTTAATCAGCACAGGCTCCATCACCATTTGTCCGTTGGACCAGTTCCGTCTTTTGCCATTTAGAGCTGTCAAAATCAATTTATTAGGAGTCAAACTAACGAGGTGAGACAACTCACAGTTTTGCAGCTGCTTGAGTTGCATTTTAAGTAGATCATTTTCATGACTCAGACTGTTGAGCAAGGTCCAAGTTTCAGTACTCAAAGGCGCTTCGCTCACCTCACCAAACTTGGGGATGTAGCATTCTTCGTGCATGCCTGAATAAAAAACTTTTTATAGAGTTTTTGCTTTAAAAAAAAATTGTATAGCCTACCAAGGAAATGACCAACCCCGAGGCCGAACACGGAGGCAAGCACGATAATCAGGATGGCGTTCAGAGTAAGGTTGACCTTAGGATTGGGGTGATGAACATACTGCCGTTCACCCTTCTGGCCAAGATCAAGAGGTATGTCCTGGTTGGAGAGATCAGACAGGTCACTTGTGCTCTTCAGGGATACCGAGCCCGGAGAGATGCGACCGCCTTCTGTGACAACGGCAGCCGATTGAGGAACGTCAGTATTGGCCAAGACCTCTGGTTCTAAATCTTCCACTTCATCATCGCTCTCTGTGATGATCGACACACCGTCGTCACTTTCCAAAGGGGCTGACATTTTTATGAGAGAATGTTTAGAATTATAGAGAAAAATTACAAGAAATTCACCTTCAATTGAGTTGTTATCCTCTGTGATGGAATTATTGTCCTGATCTTCCTTCAGAGAGTCGCAGTTTTCCTCAGGCTCGAGTGACTCTTCCTTTTCAGGGCGAGGGGCATCAGTGTCTGCAACCTCTGGCTCCTCATTGTCAGCCTCGTCATCGGCCACTAAAATAGAATAGTTTGCGTCATCTAGCAACATCAGCATAAAAATTATCTTACGCAAGGAAGCATCAATGGCCTCGTCAGTATCCACAATTGTCCAGTTGTCCAGCAACTCGCTGTCACTGCTGTCCCCACCCTCATGGATTTTAGGATCCATCTTTGATTGATGGACCCAGTCGTCACGACCTAAAAAATGACACAGATTACATTTAAATAAAATTGCAATTAAAACCTTAAGTTAATAATGATCCAGTTTAGGATTGTGAATTGATTTACAGATGCGGCAAAAGCGTGCATCAGACAAGACTGACGAGAGCGGATTGTAAAATTATAAAGGTGACGAGTGCTCTCTTATCAATGTAACACACAATAATTGCATATAACACGCTTTTGAATGCTGATAAAAAAGCAGGCAAAAATTGCAAGACAATCAGAAATTACAACTTATTTAAGTTAAAATTACAATATTAAAATAAAGTAAGCTTGATTCCAAACGAATACTGAGCGTCAAATCGTCTAAAAACGGGAAACGCGTGAGAGTTGCTTTTGATGCTGTGCCAAAATTTCTGATGCGCAGAACCATAACAACAAATTTCAGCAGAGGAAAAGCAAATTTTCCCGAATGGCAGCGTAAATCTTGTGCGTATCTCACCCGCGCAGTTGTTCTCCTGTATAAAAGTGAGTTGTTGTTCGTCTATTGGCAAATTTTAGCCGCGTTGTGGCTGAATAATCGGTCTAGAATTTCGTATTTCGCGTGATGGTTTTAATTTAGAACAGCCTCCTGCCTCAATCTACCTGGGATCAGAATACTGAGATTTTAGCTTTTAGCAGGACACGATAGCTTTGTCATTAGCAAGAATTTCCGTGGCGCGAATTTTCAAGTTTTCATGTTATTTCGCTGAAAAGTAAAACCAACATGGCAAGTATAGCGCATCCTTTAAATACTTTTTAACTTGTTAAATTTCATTTGGAGATTTTTAAAGGAGTATTACTATTTGCCGAGGTACTTGAATATCTTTGCAGTATTTTACTGAAATTCACATATCAGATTAATTTTTTGGTAATTTAATCAATTTAATCAATCCAATCAATAATTATTTACAATTTATTGAACATAATTGAATTAAATAAATGTATTCTCATGTATGAAAATGGTTTCCTTTGCTTACTCCCCTTTTTATTGACTATTTTTGTGTCGTCCTCTGCCGTGTTTACCTGTTTACCATTTTGAAAATGATTTTGGATAAATTCATTTTAGCGATGATCTTGCAGCTCTAAAGAATTTCTTTTAATTCCATTTCTAGAAAAGTAAGTTCAGAGAAACAAACGCTCTGGAAAATTTTTATTCTGTCCACACAAGATCCAAAACGTAACACATTTTTTCCTGAAAAACCTTGAATTTAATGACCGCCTTGTGTTGCTTTGAATTGAAATTGTATTTTTATGTAACTTTAATATACTTCTAGATAGAAAAATGAGCAAGAACAAGCAGAATCAGCGAAAAGGGTCGGATCCCTTTTCGCAGAGAACGACGAGGAACGAGAGATTTGCCCAGATGTCGAAGCAAGAGGAGCTCATTCAACAAAAGAAAAAAGAGTTGTTGGCCAAACTTTCGAGCCAGAAGACACCCACCACTTCTACCCCTGTGGCCTCGTCAGCTCCTGCTGCGACTCCAGAAACCTCCGTAGTTCAACCGAAGCCTCTTCTACGAACTGGTGGACTTGGGAAAAGGCCTAATTGGTATTTGATTCATGATCATTCATGTTTGTAAAAAAATTTCAAACCTTTTATCTGTATACAGGTGGAAAAGTAAAACAACATCAACAAACTCAGCAACAGCCGTCACTGGATCCTCAAATCCCACAACAGTGACCCAGCAGGCTCCTCTAAATCAGCAGAAATCTGCGTCACCATCTGGCAATAATAGCCTTGTGTTTAAAAATGATGGCAGTTTCATTGATCAGTTCAAACAAATATCAGATGGTAAGAAATTGTTTTGAGGCTGTTCAATTAGAAAAAATCGCCTATTTATTTTTAATTAAAAAATAATACATTTTTCTGGATTGTGAAAGACCAACTTATCTATTAATTAAAATATTGTTCAACAGTTAAACCTAAAGAAGAACCCAAGGAGTACAGAATGTATGATAATAACTATCAAAGCCAATCATCATATAATGACAGAGGTCAATAACCAGACACTTAAAATCCTGCATCGTTCCATTTTCAATTTTATTCAAAATTTTAGGTTACACATCAGGTCACAACCCTCAATTTTCCTCAAACGCGCCTATGAATAGGCCACCCTCGCCGTACTCACCTTCGAGAACTTCTCCAGACAGCAGCCCGCCCCACAGGCCTCAATACTCAGCGCCACCGCCTCCGACGCCTGTGATGATGCAAATTCCTCCCCCAAACATTCTCCACCAAAACCCGCCCCCATTTCCGCCTCCGATGACCTCAGCCCCGCCACCCATGATGAGCACATCACTCGGAGTGCCGCCCCCAACTGTGATGGTCAGGACGTCGGTACCGCCTCTGCCTGTCAACATTCAGCAGCCGCCTCCGCCGCTGATGAACTACCCTCCCCCGCAGCCGCCTCCAAGCATGAGCCAGCCGCCGCCCCCAATCATCGCCATCCCAAATCTGAGTGCGCCACCCCCAAATATGGCACCGCAGTACCCTCCGCCTCTGATGACCCAGCAGAGTCAGCAGATGACCGTGACCACTGTCACCGTGTCCGTCTCCTCAGGCATACCGATCCTGACCCAGCAGCCGATGGTCGCCTTTGCCGAGGCAGCGCCTGAAAATATCAGGCCTCAAGGTGAGCAGCTGTTGAATGCATTTGCAATTTCTCCTTATTTTTCAGCAGTGGCGAGTATCCTCAGTTTGAAAAGTATTTTCTCATTCCATTTGTTTATTTTCTTGCTTCTTGTCTATTTCGATAAAGAAATTTGATTCGGCGACCATGATTCGTACCAAGCGCCTTCCAATTCATCAGTTTGAAAGAAAGATGGAAATTTCAAGTACCCAGAAGTGTCACCGATAGATTATCCAAAAATTATAGCCATGTTCCATGATCTTTTTTTACTACCTTAATTAAAAAAAAAAAATAGTATCATGTATTGAAAAAAGAATCTAATTATTCAAATTTGAACTTTCTTTCATAAAACAATGCTAAACTTTGTTTCATTATTGTGGAGTTTATTTTATTTTTATGAAATTATTCTAATTAAATACATTTTTTTGTCATTCTGTATTAACAATAGAACAAAAGTTGAGTGAACATTGGCATTATTTAAGAAATTTTATGGGGGGCATTTCTGGGCTACTGAATTACGATTTGATTTGTAAATTATTTAGCGCACTGTAAAAATGCACAAAACCCCAATGAATATGGCTGCTCAGAATCAAATTTGCTGACCCGATTCGCCAATTACTGACTGGAGTTTCCCAGTTTCTCCCGCAGGAGACGTGACAGCTCTTTTGACCCCAGCAAGTAGGCAACTGGCTGAAATGGTGGCCGAAGGTGGTGACGAGATCGAGGAAATGGCTCGCGAACGCAACAGGGACGACCTGGCCATGTGGTTAGTCCGTCCGACACTTGACACCGATCGGACCAACCGGCATTTCTCTTGTGCACTTTGAATGATCGATCATCAATAATCTAAAACCAAAATAACAATTATCTATTACTAGCTGTATGGAATCGCTTCTCACACAGTTCCTTGTTTTTGCTATAGGTTCTTGTACCAGCCAGAAGGGGAAGCGTACAAGCAGTACAGACAACTGGTCAACAACCTTCGAGCTGCCAAGACAATCAAAATCGAGCAACAGCTTGTGCAGGGTGAGTATTTTTTTTTCATTACAAAAATTTTAAATTCAGTCCCTATTTGATTACAAAATAATTTAAAATGATAAACAGAAAGTTATAAAAAATTAACCTTTTCTATTTATGTCAGGGTTTAAAAAAAAAATAAGTTTGAATTTTTGTATTTCAGTGAAAACTGAGATGGACAGCAAAGCATCTAGGAAAAGGAAGAGCCGGTGGGCGCCTGAAGATGACAAGGTCAACGTTGCTGCGCCGGGCATATTGCCTGTTGGAAATGTTCCGATGGGTATTGTCTAATGTTTATTTTCCTATAAACCAAAATTCTTTTTCTTTCATTAGGTCGATTTTGAGGGAATTTGTTTTGTGAATTTCTACTAGACAAAAATAAAAATTGAAAATATAAATAATATATGATATGTTATGTTATCAAGTTACTGAAAACCATCCTTTAATTTTTCTAGAAATAAATGCTGCAAAATAAATTTTCGTTTTTTTTTTTTTTTTATCAACGATTACTCGTTTAATCTTGACGGATATTCTCACTTCAGGTCGAGGTCCACCCCCGTTGCTTTCAAAAGTCACAAGAACCGATCAGAAATTGCTAGCGTACGCGAAGAGCGCGTACGGCACTGTCCACCTCAGCGAAGAGGATTGGAAGAAGTGCGAGGACCATTACAAGGTGCATCTGCTGTATAACGACATGATGCGAAAAAAGGAGCAGTTGGCAAAATTGGAGAGGGCAGGCAAACACAAGTATGAGTACGACAGTGACGAGGATGTCGATGGCGGCACTTGGGAGCACAAAGTGCGAGCTGCTGAAATGGAGGCCACAAACAGATGGGCCGACGAGTTGAACAAACAAGCCGAGGGCAAGCACCACATTGGCGACTTCTTGCCACCTGCAGAGCTTGAGAAGTTCATGCAAAAGGTTGTTTTGTAAATCTTCCTTTTCTTTATCGAAATCAATTTTTTTGCGCCTTCAGTATTCGGCTGCTAAGGAGGGCAAGGATCTGGACATCTCGGATTACAAAGAGTTTAAGCTGAAAGAAGACAACATTGGCTTCAAGATGCTACAGAAACTAGGATGGTCTGAGGGACAGGGTCTTGGTTCAGAAGGACAGGGCATTGTGGATCCTGTCAATAAGTATGGTACCAGTTTCTTCAATAAAAGTAAAGCTAACTTTAATGTTTTCAGGGGAAATGTTCGAGCTGAAAATCATGGCCTAGGAGTGCAACGACCTGACAATGTATCGTCCGAGGACGATGAGTATGATGCGTACAGAAAAAGGATGATGTTGGCCTACAGGTTCAGGCCTAACCCTTTGGTATGTTAGTTTGATCTCGTTTCGATTTGACCAGAAATTGAATTATTTTCTTTTTCAGAACAACCCGCGACGATCGTATTATTAAATAGTTGGATGTAATGAAAATCTGCGCTAAATGTAACCGGTAGTGCTTTTGTTTTAGAAGAGCATTTATGCAATGTTACCCATTAATAGCGTGATTTGAGGCATCAAGACTTGTAAAAACTCTGCCTGAACTGGGCATTTGAAAAGGCAGCAACCTTTTTGATCATGGCGCCGAATATAAATTTTGAACCCAGTTCGGGCTCAAAACAAAACTGTAAACAAACTGAATTAATGCAGGCAGACTTGCTCACTGCAATTTTTGTTTCAGAATTCCTTAAAAATTAAAAAAAGAATATACTGCATTGTAAGTTTTTTACTTTCCAAGCTACCCTTTAACTAGTCAAAATTGTCAAACAATGTTGCAGAAAATGTTGATTTGACCTGTAATTTAATTCATTCAAAATTATTTTGAGGTGGTTCACAAAATATACAGCGGTGTTAACTCTTTTGTAACGTTTATTGTTTAACATGACAACAGCCCAAATGCTCATTAAGTCTGACTAGGTCTGTTAACAAATTACCTCCTTCATCAACAAGTAAAAAGGTCATCAAAGTTATGCACAAATTGTGAAAATATCACATAGGCAAGAAATAAAATTTTGGCGTTGATGGTACACTGAGATTGCAAGTTTGAAAATAATACTTAATGAAAGCTTTGTTTCATTCAATAAATAAGTTAACATTCATTAATTTGTAGCTGTCCTGCATATTGCAACATGTGTGTAAATCTGTCTGTCTTTAACAATATTTGTCTGAACTCAAGGAGGAAATGAATTGAGACCTGCCTCCTGCTTCTTCGCCTGCTTAACCTACATTTTGATCAGGGCAGATTTTTTCATACTAAGTAATTCAATGGGAAAACAGCGGCTCTTAAATTCAACCAGCAATCTTGCGGCAAATCTCGTTGGTGAATTCAGAGCACTTTGCAGAGCCGCCCAGGTCACCCGTCCTGAACTTGCTCTCCTTGATTGTTTCGAAACAAGCCTTCTGGATTTTCTCGGCGTGGGTTGGCAGATTCATGTGCTGCAGCATCATGCAGGCGGACAAAAGAAGGGCAGTCGGGTTAGCCAAGTCCTTGCCGGCGATATCAGGTGCGGTACCGTGAACCTGAAATAATCAAATTACTTTTTATTAAAATGTTATAAAATTTAGCAGAAGAAAAATAAAAATGAAGTCCCAATTTAAATTAAATCCAATTCAAAAGAAGATTTCATCTAAAAAAAATCATTTTTTATTTAATATAATTTCAAATCTTTAATAAATTGTTAACCAAACCAAAAGTAATTCGAATGAAATAAGAATTTAAAAACCATGGAATTTTCAAATTTATATTTCGACCACAAACAATAAAAATTATTATCTTGTAAGATTTTATCCTTACAGATTCAAAGAGAGCTCCGTTCAGGCCGATGTTGCCACTAGGAGTCAGTCCAAGACCTCCAACCAGGCCAGCGCACATGTCTGACAAAATGTCTCCGTACAGGTTGGGCATCACAAGAACGTCATATTGTCTGGGGTCCTGCACCATGCTCAGGCACACGGTGTCCAGGTACTTCTCCTCAAACTTGACGTCGGGGTACTTTTCAGCCACCTCACGGCAGCAGTGCAGGAAAAGGCCGTCGGACATGCGCCTAATATAAATTAAACATCTTTTTTCCAACAAAATAAAATTTGCTTTACATGATGTTGGCTTTGTGAACGGCAGTGACTTTGGATCTGTTGTTTTCCTTGGTGTACTGGAAGGCGAATTCAGCCACTCTGCGTGAGGCCTCTTCGGTGATGAGCTTGATGCTCTGCACAACTCCGTCGACGATTTCGTGCTCAATACCAGAGTATTCACCCTCAGTGTTTTCTCGAATCGTGATGACGTCGACATCGTCGTACAGGGTTTTGTAACCCTCCAAGGAACGGCAGGGCCTCACATTTGCGTACAAGTTGAACTCTCTGGGGAAAAAATTTGGTTTAATTTGATCTCTAAGTATCCGAAATAAAAAAAACTCTCTTACTTCCTGAGTGCCAAGTTAAGAGAACGATGACCCTTGCCAATAGGAGTCATCAAAGGACCCTTCAGTCCAACCTTGTGTTTGTTCACAGAGTCGATGGCAGCCTGAGGAATGCCGAACATGCCGTCAGGACCACGGACAGGTGTCACGTCGACTGGCTCCCATTGAATGGGCACCTAAAAATATTATTATATAATTTTTCAACAAAAAATTTATCTAAATTTGATATAAATAGAATTGAAGATTTCCAACCTCCGCTGCGGCGAAAATTTTTTGCACAGCTGCAGAAATCTCTGGCCCGATGCCGTCGCCGGGAATCAGGGTCACAGTTCGCACCTCGCTGCTGTAGCGACGGGCCATCGGCACAGCCGACGAGAACTGAAAGATACAAGAAGGTGTCATAAATTTTGAAGCAAAACACACACCTTCATCGATTCAGAGATAAGGAGAATTTTACAAAAAAATAATGTTCTAGATTGCAAAATTTTGTTTTTTGATTCGGACGGAAAAGGTGAATGAAACGCAAGTGGGGCGGGTTCCGACTGAGGCGATTTGATCAAAAACTTATTCTTTTACTAACAATTTCAATCAAGGCAAAAATTAGCATGCGAGTTTTGCGAATTCGCGGAAATTAACGACGAAACTTACGGCCTTCCGAACCAGTTGTGCAGCCATTTTTTGACGAAGAGGGCAACTGAAGTTCACGACCGGTCACCGAAGGCGCTGCTATCGTCCTTCCTTCAGCGCGCAGGGGTGTGAAAAGGGGGCGTGGTCGCGCCCTTTGTGATGATCCCGTGGACTATTGATTTCACTTTCTTTTCCACTCTGCCAGCTTTCCCGTTTTCCCACTTTTCCTTCGACACTCGCTCAGGAAGGTCGACTTGAAGAAGTGATATGGCCGACGAAATGGAAAACGAGGGCGTCACAGACTCGCCCAAGAAGGGTAACAAGTAGAGGAAACTCGCAGTTTTGTTATTCGTTCACTTTTTCATTCATACTTTTCGTTAATATTAATTTTCCCTTTTTCGTTTTATTGCATGAGAAACTTTTTTCAATGTCAAATATATTCAAGGCTTTTTTCTAGGTACATATGTAATCATCGTAAACTGACATTTTTAGGTCTTGCCTTACACTTATTTTAACAGGTTCTATTTATATTTGTCATTTTTAAGAAATTTAACCTCTTTTAACTTTATATACTTTTTGCTGAACGCTACGTACTCTAGTACGCGTGTGCAGAAAGTAAGTCAAGGGTGCCTGTCCTGGGAGTGACCCGATAACCTAAATGGTCGAACAGATCCACTTCATCCCTTTAGCCTTATGTTTGCCCTGGTTTACATCCGCATCATACAGTCGTTTTCAGAAAATACAAATATGTATGTACTTAAACGAATTTTATAGATTAAAAATTTTTTAATCTTGATAATTATTCTTTAAATTAAATTTAAAATATTAAAACTGTCAGATGAATTTTAATTTTTTTACTGTAATTCTGATATATTTTAACAGTTTTCATTTTGAAATAAATTAATGGAAATCCTGTTTTATTTCCAGGACCAACTTTGTCCACCAGCACGAGCAGCTTTGAAGCCTTAGACCCTCACGACCCCAATTTAAGTCGCCTGGCGAACACCATGTTCCAAAAGACAGGAGACTACTTGTACGGCGAATTAACTGCCACCCAAGTAATAAAAAAATTAAAATTAAATTAGATCAAGCAGTCATTTTTTTTTTTAAATTCGTATTTTATCAGTTTAAATAGCAAACTAGGAAGACTGTTTCCTCACTCTATTTTATTTTTTTTTATTTCTGGCTCTTAATAATAGAAATTTTAAATTGCTAGGAAGATTACAAGTTGCTGGAGAACATGAACACAGTCACTGCCAAAAAGTACTCGGATATGCGGCAAATCGCCAGCAACGTCTCCAAGAGTCTGTTTGAGCTCAATGAGAAATGTAAGTCATCATTTTCTTTTGACCTGAGACAATAGGGAACTGCTGGTATCTTTTTGGTGTGATTGACAGTCTCTAAATGCGTCCACAGACAAAAGCCTGCAGCCGTACCTGGAGCAGATCGATCAGATTGACGACAGCGTCGCTAAACTCGAACAAGCCGCGTACAAGTTGGATGCCTACTCAAAACGGCTGGAGGGAAAGTTCAAGCATTTGGAAAAGAAATAGTCAAGAGAAGCAGCTCTTTTAATGTCTCTGAAAATTCCATTTTAACCGTTAAGTTTGTGCAAATGTGATATGAGTGATTGTAAATTCGCTGCATGGGATTTGTTTTTTATTTATCTCTCCAGATTTTGCATTTTAACACTCGAATATTTATAAAGCTGTTATGTATCTCCAAGAATAAAATAAAAAGCTGGCTTAAAATCAGAATGGATTGAAATAATTGAAATTCAAGAACTTTTTTAACATAATCGCAACAACAAATTGCTTCTTGTTTATTCATGTGCACTCATTCTACATGATATTTATTCCAGTTCATTTGATATATAATAGTTTTGCATTTTGATAAATAATACGCGGGGATTTGTCATTCACTCGATCCATGACCAGACAAGTACATTTACATCTTCATTTTAAGTGAGGTGCTCATCGAAAAACTACAGCTTAGGCATGAGATTCGTCTTTGGAGTCAGTCAAGTGTCCTACGCCATCTCCAGGGTCACTTTGTCCCTCGGGAGACCTGAAAATAAAATTTTTTTCATTAAAAGAAAATGGGATAGTTTTTGTTGAATGCTTGATTTTTGAGCTGATATTAAAAATAGTAAATTATCATGATGCCAAGTCATAAAACATAAAATCTTGATTAATTTTTTGCTATTAAACTTTACATATGATTGAAATAATTCAATAATTATACTTTTTGGTTCTAATTTTTTTTGTAATGCTAAAATAAAATTTGTAAAAACTGAAAATTTTACCTGCAAGCAAAGTCGAGGAATTCTTGCGATCCACCGACAGAGTCAAGCAGCGATTCAATGGACCCACTTGATTCCGAACCCAGGTCCTCCGAGTCGCCAGCCATGGCCGCCTGCAAGTCTTCAATTCGCTGCAGCGCCAGTCGGAGATCAGCTCTGGCCGTGGCCGCCTCGGCCTCGCACGTCTCGACTCGCATTTCCAGCTCCTTCCTCTTTCTGATTGCCTCAGCCTCCTTAGCCGCAACACTCGCCTCTCGTTCCCTGGCCTCTCGCAATTGGCGGGCCGCACGTCGCGCTGCGTCATTGGCGGCCGTTTCCCTTGCTCTGGCCGCCTCTGCCTCAACGGCCACTTTTTCCGCCTGCTCCCGGAAGCGGCCACACTGCGTTTCAGCCCTGGCCCTTGTGGTGGCCTCCAACTCGAGACGAGACTCGAGTTCTCTGATTTTGGTCTCCAAGCGCCTGGCCGTAAGACCAATGGTCGTTTCACCCTCGGCCGCCTCCAGACGGGCTGACATTTCAGCCACTTGCTCTCGAAGGGAGTTTCGCTCAGCTTCTAACGCTGCTGCTGTTGCAGCTAATTCAGTAGTAGCCGCCTAGAATTATTAAAAAATGAAATATAAATATGTACACTTTTAAATGATTCTATTTCATAATTGATAAATGATAAAAATTGATGGACGCATTAATACATTTTCTCATTTTTTGCTTCATTTATTTTGTGAAATATTGAATTGTCAAAAATTATAATATAACAATTTATTTAATTAATTAAACTAAGTTTAAATATTGCATATTTTAAGACAATTTTTGCGTAAATTTTAACCAATAATAGTTTTTTTTTTTTTCAAATAAATTTCATGAAACAGAATCAGAATCATCAATTTTTTTAGAATTATTTTTAGATCCTTCTTGCTGATTATTAGTGGAAAAACAAGCTGAAGAAAAAGAGATTTTTCAAATTTTTTTTAAACATTGAAAAATTTAAGGTTTTACACCAATAATAATTGATAATTTGTATAAATTTACCTGTTCAATACTGATCTGGGCAACAGAGGCTCTGTACTTCTTCAAAACCTCAGCCAGTTCCTCCTCGTTTTCCTCCAGCTGGCCCACAACCTCTGTTTTCGATCTGACCGCGGCCGCCGCCTTGTCCTCAGCAAGGGCCCTGCCTCGTTTCTCCTCTTCCAACGCTGCCTGCAGCTCCCTGGCCTCCGACTCGGCCGTCTGTCGCGCCTTCATGGCCACAGCTCTGGCCGCCTCGGCATCCTCCAGTTGGTGTCTGAGGGCGCGCAGTTGGCCGCGGCCGCCTGTTTCGTCCCGTTGCCTCTCCAAGAGACCGTGAGCGTCCCTGAGAAGGGCTTTGGCGTGTCTCAGCTCGCGGCGCAGCCTTTGGATCATCTGCTCGTCCTCTGGGGCGCGACCTCTGGCCACCTCAGCGGCCTCGGCCAATCGTCTGTCCAAGTCGTGCTTCTCTCGAAGCAGCCGAGTGCGTTCTTCGTGCTCAGCTTCCAACTGGCTCTCCAGGGCTGCAATCAATGCATTAATTAATAATCAAGAAAATTAATTTAAATTAACAATGCAATGTAACAAAACTGAATTGTTAACTCAATAGTAACTTATTTGTTTTCAATGTTTATCTTGTGTTCTGCTGATGTTACGGCTAGTTTTTTTTAATTAACATTCAGCAGAAAAGAAAAAAACAATAATATTTTGTAAAAAAAAAAAATTGATGAATCCGGTTTTTCATAAGTATTTAATGTTTGAAATAAAATGATCATGCGGTTGTCTTTCTATAAAAATTAATTAAAAAATAGACAGTTGCAAACTCTTATATTAATAGAATAAAAAATATTTTCTAATTTTAGAAAATTTGATGGTAGTGAATCAAATGAGAAAATGTTTTGAGATAAGATGTCAGTCAACTTTTATGAAACAAGTCACTCATTGTTTGTTTTAAATTTAGACTACTTAATATGAATTTTAAATTAAATTACACAAAAATTGTAACTCATGGAAACATTTAAGAGTTTGATAATAAATAATAAAAAAATCAAATAATTTTAGGTTTGTTTATCAGGCGTTAACTGACAGATTACCATCAAAATATTTTAAAAATTTAAATTAAAATAAAAAAGTAATTTTTGAGCAACAGTTGAAGTGCATAACCGCACTCTCAGAGATAAAATCGATCTTTTAACACGCTCCAGTTGTTTCCCACAAAAAAACCAATCGGCCGGTCCAATTGCTCACCTCGAACTTTCTTCTGCGCGTTGCCGCGGATTTCCTCCATCTCGTCGTCTCTCTGGCTGGCCTCTCGTTTGGCCTCCTTCCGCTGCTGTTCGAGGCTCATCTCGAGGCGCACCTTGGCCGCCTCCAGGAGGCCGACTTGGCCCGCCAACTCGTCCAGCTCCTCTTCCTGCTCCTTGACGCGTCGCTCGAGGGCATGCTTGGACTTGCGAAGGGCCGCGACTTCCTCTTCGGCGGCACCGCCGAACGCCAGTTCCTCGAGTTCGCGTCCGAGGGCGGCCACCTTCTCGTCGCGCATCTCCAACTCAAGCCGGCACGCCTGAAAGGCCATGGCCTGGTCACTAACAGATCAACGCACCGACACACACTCAACAACAACAGACACACAAAGAGCTGCCAACCTCAGAGACTTGAACGCTCGAGAGGCGGCCAGCCGGACGGGCGGGGGGAGTGCCAAGCCAACTATACGCGCTCTCAGGTGAGAGGCAGGTGAGTGAATGCGTTAATGGGGGAGGGCGCTCGCAACTCGTGCAGGAATGAATGAATGAATGGGTGAGGCTCCGTATTATGCGGGTCGAAATATTATCATTACAATGTCAAACTTAAATGCAACAGTAAATTTAAAGAAATTAAGGTAAATTTTCATTATATAAAGTGTTTATTTCAACCAAAAAATGCAATCAATAATTAAATAATTGTTATTTTTATAGTTTTTATTCCAAACAAAGAATAAAGATGTTTTATTAATTCTTAAGTCAATTTAAAAATAAAATGAAGATTGCAAAGTAATTTTTGTAAGAGATGAATAAATTTCAAGTTTGGACAAACAAAGAGAATTTTTACAATGACTGCCTCTATCGGTTTTTGGTATTATTATTTTACACACGAATACGTTAGCGCGTACCGTTCTTTCAGCGACCGAGGCGACGAGCGGTGGGAATTTTTAATAACTCAATTATCAAAATAACGGAATTGCGTAATTAGCGAGCACTGCATTCTCTCCCGATCGGAACTTTGGTTGTTGGTAATTAATCAGAGAAAGGATGGGAGACAGAGAAGTCGTTGACTCGAGGGAAACAATTAAATGTGAAATAATATAACTCACAGCCAGGTTTTGTTCGGCACTTGTTTTCTCGGCCGCCATCAAGTCCCGCTCCCGCAGCGCCTTTTCCTTGCTAGACTTCTCTTGTCGCACGGCCTCCTGTAGTTGGTGCATTTCGCTATCGAACCTGTACGATAACAACCACAGGATTATTCAACTCTTCCGCTGTCAAAAAAACCCAAAGCCATTTTTTTCCATAGAAAAGCAAAAAATATTCATAACAAACTGCTGAAGAAGCAATTCAATAGGAAATTTGTAGTTTTTTTTTTATAATTGCTGCTGATTGAAAGGATGTGAAAATAATTTATTAAATTTGATTATTTAATAATTATTTTGATGATATTTATTTATTCAAATAGAAAATTAGAATTAAAATTGATTTGGATTTCAATCAAAATAATTAATCAAAATAAATAATTAAAAATTAATTAAAAAAATTTAGTGTATCTTAGTTTAAAATGAATGAATTATTTAATATAATTAATATTTATTTATTTTTATAATATGCATAAATAAAATTTTTTTAAATTATATCAGAATAAAAACCATGTCATACTTTTTCTGTCTCTTCTCGAGGATGGTGTTGCGTGCGCTCTGTTCCTCAAGCATGAGCCTCGTGTCGTTGTGCTCGCCGGTGACCCGCTGGGCCTTTCGCTTCATTTGCGCCACGACTTGACGCTGCTCCTCGACCTCCTCGAGTGCGTCTGCCACTCTTTTCTCGGACGCCTTTCGCAGGGCCATCAGCTGGTCCTCGTGCGCCTCCTGTTGCTGCTGCAGCTGCCGGCGCAGTGCGGCCGCCTCCTTCACGGCCCTGTCGAGCCGCTGCTTGAGGTGTTCGTAGCCGCCGTCCTCGTCCTCGCCAGACGTGTGGGAGGCGTCGTCGCTGGCGCGGCACATCAGGATTTCCATCTCCAGCCGCTGGCTCGCCTCCCGTAACGAGCTCTGTTTCTCCTGCGCCAAAACACCGTGCGAAATTTAATTTCACGCCTGATTTTGCTTGCATTTTGACTGTTATGTTCAATTAATATATTTTTTAGTATTCTTAGGGAAAAAATTAAATTTTTTTTACTAAAATATCATGATATTTTTTTCACTTATAAAATAAAACTGAAAAATCAAGATTTATTTAGTTCTGAAAATTAATAAACTGAAATTTTTCAATTTCCCAAATTTCAATGATCAAAATGGAAATATTAAAAATCCTTTTCCATGGATCCAGTTCAATATGTTTGCTTGGCACAAAAATATCATTTCCATCTATATTAAGCAACCGCTATAACTCTTATGTGCGACAGGTTGCATACTGTCGACATACAAAAACCCATAAAACAAAACGTTTACTACAAAATTTGCGTTCTTCAGTCGTTCGAATAATTTGCAACAGTGGCAATATTTCACCACTCACTGGCACGGCTCTGTAAACATAACGTTTTCTCTCATTCTTGACGTAAGAGCCGCCGAACGCACCAAGCAAATTTACACTGGGAGCAAAAAAAGATAACCGGGACATCAGTCCGTTCCAAAAATATCCGCGCATGCAGCGCGACCGACACCCGATATATCATTTTAAACAAACGATCCACACATAAATTAAGAAAACAAACGTACCTGTGCATTTTGGAGCTCGTGCTGGAGGCGCGATCGCTCGGCCGACTCGGCTTCGAGGCGCTCGGCGGCCAGATGGGCGGCGCTCTGCTCTTCGGCCAGGGCCACGGTCAGCTCGTTCATCTGCGAACGACATTTGGGACGCGTGAGGGCGGCCGTTCGCGTCAGGAACTGGCCCACCTTGGTGGTCAGGTAGGCCGAGGGCGTGCTGGGCTGCTTGTGGGCCGCCGACGGACGCACCGAATGCGCCAGTCGGCGCGGAGGCCCGTGCAAGCCGAAGCGCAGCTCGGCCGAGAACACGACAGGGTCCATCATGGAAAGTGGACTGGACGCCGGCCAAGCTCTCAGAGGCCCAGCACGCCCACGCCAGTGACGTTTTCGCAAGGGAGATGATGTAGTAAAAATGATGAGGGGCCGTTTTAAAATACAAACTTTGACCCAGGTCAAGATTCGCATCATTTATGCTCGTTTTATTTTGGTTCGTTTGTTTGTCTTTTGAAATTTTAAATGTTTTTTTTTTTTTTTAAATATATCCTGAAGTTTATTATAATTGGTGGTGGGGAAGAAGACAGTGCTTTCTTCTTCCCTCTTAAATTGCGTAAGCGCCGGCTATTAATAAACAATGTGAGACGCTCCGAGCGCGGCATTATTGACAAGTGGAGATAAAAAGATGTTTTTATGACTGTTGAAATATGAGCAGCGCATGTGTGAGTCTATAAATAATCCAATGTATCCGTTTTACCACGCGTTTCTCGTTTAATTTTACTACTGTGATAAAAGAAAATTAATAATCAAGAATAAACTTCAAACGCTCAGTCCGATACTTAAAAAATTATAATTGTAAATATTTCTGAATATTTTGGGTTCACAGTTGATTAAACTAAAATATAAAATTTTTACATACCCTGGCTTCCAATCTCTCATTGTGCTGCTTGAGTCTGAGCTTCTCAGCTTCCGATTTGTCCAAACGCACTCGCATCCCCTCGAGTTCTTCAGTTTGCTTCCGCAACTCTTCCTCGGCTCGGTGCACATTGAGCAGAGGCGCCACTCGCACCAGCAGACGCCACCAGGGCCAATCTCGGACTTTCAGGAAGCGACGCACGTTCCTCTGCACGCACCTGACGGCGACTTCTTGCACCTTCACAAAAAGATCAACAAGTTAGTCACGGAACTAAATAAAAATATTCTTATTCATTTACTAACCTTTCTCTTCTCAAAACGCCTTCTGGCCAAATAACCCTTACAACGCGCTTGGAGTCTGGTAACATGGTCCTGCAACTTTTCGTCTCGCTGAGCCTCTAGTTGCCCCAGCACTCCGGAGCGGAAGAACACCTAAAGGGTTAGATTTTGTTGGTTAATTTTAATTCCAGGTCTCCAATTAGTTTATTAAACTCTTTATTTAACTATCAATTAATTTGTTTTAATTTAATTAATCGTTTTAAAAAGCACTTATTTATCTAAAAGACAATTTAAATGATTAATGAATTTTATTTGGCCAAATTTATATGATTTTTATTCTCCTCTAAATCGATTGTGATGTTAATTATGCGACAGACTACTCCTCCAATCACCTGCATCTCAGTGAGGTAGCGCGTGTCACCCACTTTGCGCCCGGTGTTGGCCACCACCAACCCTATTCCGCCCCCGTCAGTCCCTTCAACCTTCATTTTAGCGGCTTCCACCTGTTCCAATTTAGTCGCGTCTTCAACCTGCTCGACTTTAGTAGGGGTTGCGTCTTCCACCACCGGTTTTGGTTCGGTATTTACTGTCTCTGGGGTCTGCTCCTTGGCCGCCCTGATCTGCTCCAGCCGCTTGGACACCCTGTCGACGATCGACTCCGGCCGCGGCGGCACCGCGCTCTGCTCCTCTTTGTCCAGTTTTTGGCCCAGAACCAGCTGCCCGCGAACGGTACTTTCCGTTGCATCTCCGACTTTTTCACTCAGAACGACCTCCTTCGTCTCGATCGTGGTTTTCGCTTCCTCTTTAACTTTCGAAGTAATAGTCTTGGCTGGACTTTTCGAAGAAGATCGGCGGACGGGTCGCGCATTGTTTTCATTAACTTTTGCCGAAACTTTATCCCCCGAAGCAGCGTCTTTTCGCGCTTCTGACGCAGCGTCGTCTCGCTTTGTTTCACCGACGGGTTTAGTATTAATTAGGCCTGAATTAGTTTTTTGCGGCTCGCTTGAAGGGCCGGTTGTTTCTTTCTTGGCGGCACATAAATCAGGTTTAACAGCGTCAGCGACCGCAGCATCGACTTTCGCAACGTCTCCTTGCAACTGCGGCGGAGTATTTTTCTTCAATTTCACTTCTTCGGCTCCGTTTTTCAAAGGGGACGTTTCTCTTGATTTGGGACTTTTCTCTTTTGTCCCGTTCGTCTCTTTCGTTTTGATTGAGCCTCTCCTGCCGGCTTTCGCCTCGGGGCGGCTTTTCACGGTTCCCACGCTGCTTCTTCTTTTATTTTCCTCGGCCTTCCTCAGCACGATTTTGTTGAAGACCTCGCTGAGTTCGTCCGACTTTGGCCGCGGCTGCGGGTCGGGGGTGAACGGCCCGCCGCTCTTTGGCCTCGGCCTTAGCACGCCGAAGCCGATCTTGGGCGCCGCCTGCGTTGGCTGTTTGCCCGCTGCTAATTTCGTCGCGTCGTCCGCTTTGATTTTCTTATCGGCATTGTTCACTTTGCCACCCGATTGAATTCCGCACGCCTCGCCGTTTCGCTCGCCCTCCCCGCCGTCAACTCTGTCCTTTTCGCCGCTTGCTTTGGCTGTTTTTTCGCCACCCGGCTTTTTAAAACTGCTCACCCTTTTCACTCTGGTGCAATTGTCGCGGTTACGCGATTCTAATTTTACCGCCGGCTCGGACATCATTATTTCCCCGTCTTCGTCGTCTTTGCTCTCGGTTACGAGGAAACTTTCGATCTTCTTCATCAAGTGGTCCTCGTCCACCGCTTCATCCTCCGTTTTGGGAATATTCGCAAGGTTTTGCCCTTTTTCGTTTGGAATTTTCGGTTCTCCAGTTTTGGTCTCTTCCGGCTGGCCGCTTTCGGCTTCTCCGAGTTGCTTGACCTCCTCTCGAGACTCTTCTTCCGCTCTCGGGGGCTCGACTCGATCTGATACAGCACCGCTTTTGCTTTCGGCGGACAACGAGATAGTGTTTTCTTCTTCTTCCGCGGCTTTTTCTTCTAATTTTATCGCCGGCGGCGCGCAGCTCGGTTCCGCCTTCACTTCTTCGGTGGGCGCAGGTTGCACGGCATTCGCATTATTTATATCTGACGCGTCGGCCAACGTCACCTCTGTTGTCTCTGATTGAACTTGCTGTGGTACCTGCGCCGCTTCGATGGCTGCGGGTTTTTCCTCGGCCAATTTGTGCTCTTCTGGCAGCGATTCTAATTTTTGCGTGGGCACACCGATTGGTTGTTCAATTGGCACAAAATCAGATTTTTCTTCCAAGACGATCGCGATTTCATTTACGGTTTCACATTTAAATTCCAAAACAGGAATCGGAATAATTTCTTCTAGATTCGAGGTCGCTTGTGCGGTTTGATTATTGCTCTCCAACACAATAGCTGTTTTTTCTACATGATTAGGCACATTTTCAATATAATTGCTCGTTTCTGCTGAAGTCACTTCTGTAGACGGAGCTTCTAAAGAAGGTGCGAGTTTTTCTGACGATATCTCAATTTGGTTTTCTTGAACGGGTTTACTCTCTTTTTCTAACTCGGGAGCTGGAACTGCATTTTCTAAACTAGGCACTTCTACTTTTTCAGACAATAAATTAGTTTTATCTACTTTGGAAATAACAATTTCAGGGACTAAAGCGATATGAAGAGTGGGCAAATTTTGAGTTTCTAGTTTCAACGTACCCTGTTCTCCTAATTCACAATCAGGGGCTAAAATGGTCTTTTCTACAGAACTAGGCACTTCTAATATTTCTGATGTTTTATGATCTATGGGCGAAATTAGAATTTCTTCTACCTTCACAACTTTGTCTTTTTCTAACTCCGGTACTGGAACTGAATTTTCTACATCACCCGGCACTTCTGCTTTTTCGATCACAGTATTTAATTCTGCGTGATGAGCCTCGTTTTCAGGCACACTAGCGTTCTCCGCTGCGATGGGCACTTTTTCAATTGGCACGTTCGCGTCCGCACTTGTTGTTTGCGGCGTCTCTGGCACACGCTGCTCTTTTTCTTCCTCTATCGATGGAGCAGGTTTAATTTCACCGGCGGCTGCTTCGCTGGGGCTATTCGCAACTGCCGCGACAATTATAATGTCCCGCGGGCACGATTTGTTTTCTGTCGCCGCGTCGTTTACCTCTTTCTTTTGCTCCGCGATCACTTCGCAACGACTGGGCTCCTTTTTCGCGACTTTATCTGGCTCGATGGTTGCGACGCAACTGCTGGCCACATCTTTGTTATCAACTTGCTGCGCCGCCTCCGCCTCTTCAGTCTTTTCTTCTTTTGTCTCGGCGCTCTCCACCTGAAGTACAGGTTTATCCGTTGCTTCTTCTCCCACTTGCGGCTGCTTGTCCGGTGGGCAGCAGCCTTGCCCTCGGCTCGCTTCCGCGCTCTCTTTATGGGACGCGCCTTCCGCCTTGCCTTTGAACTCGGCGATCGCCAATTTGATCTCCGAGCTGATCTTAAGCAGCTTCTCCGTCTGATCCTCGCCGGCCGGCTCGCTCCTGACCGCCTCGGCTGCTCCCTTTTGCGGCGCGACCGCGACTGCTTCGACTTTTTCGGACTCGCCTATCGATATTGACTCACTCGCTCCCTTCACTTTTGCATTTGAAATTTCCACACTCGTTTTTTCAGCGGCGTGCGACTTTTGCGTCTCCACCTCCGTCGCGACTTCCAATTTGGGAAGCGGCTCGGGCGGTTTATGCAAAGCCTGCTCGTTGTGATTGTTCGTTTTAATTGGCTCGGCGGCGGGCGGCTTCGGAGCCAGTCGCTTTTTGCCGTGATTGATTCTGGCGGGGCTGGATTTCGGCTCCGTCTTTTTCACGGCACCCCCGTTACTCTGCGAACCCTCGACTTCATCCCTCAGTCTTTTGACTTCGTCCTGCTCCTCCTCGGGCGGCACCGAATCGCTCTTGACAGACTCGGCGTCCGCGGCAGGTCTTTGACTCCTGCGGCGCTCCTTTTCGTAGCGCGCCTCCACGATCTCGTTGATCTTGCAGCTCACCCGCTGACCTTCGTCGCCGCCGCCCACTCTGGTGCTCTCGATGCTGAACACCTCGCGGATCAGCTCCTTGTTGTCGAGGATGATCTGGCCGGTGCGCATCTTGCGCACGTCGGCCTCTTCCTCGTCGGGCGCGGGGCCCCGCGCGGGGCCCAGCAGGGCGCTCAGCCGCCGGAACATGAGCAGACAGCCGAGGTAGAAGAGCAGCACCGCGGCCAGCAGAGGAGCCGCCTCGTCTGCTGGCTGGCGCGGCCGGCTCATCACTGATGATCTCGCGACCCGGCGCACTTGCAGGGGGCGACACCATCAAGGCCGTCCACTATTTCGTCGCCTCGGGCCACCATCAGATGGACCAAGCACCACGTGAGCCCACGCTCCGTCTTCCTTCTCGTCTTGTTTACCGCGATACACTGCCGGCTTGTTTTCCTCTGATGAGCGAGTGAGGCGTTCTTTTTACTTTTTTCTCTCGCATTTCGCTCGCAGCGCCTTTTGTAATGATACGCGAGCGGTGATCAGAATGGCGTTTGTGTTTGTGTGTGCGGACACATGAGATGAATAAATAAAAAGGCACCCTACGCAACAACAACTCCGTGTTTGGCGTCATGTCAGCAGATACGTGTGCACCAGCGGCCACAATTGAATGAAAAATGGGATCGTTTTACTACTTTGAATTTATGAGGCTGTAAAAACCGCAACTTGACGCCGCCTTGAAAGCAAACGCGGGTTCCTATTCAGTGAATCTATGAGAGAAAACAAACTGGCCAAATAACAGCTCTGCCCGCAGAGACTAAAACAAATTAAATTTGAAACTCACTTTGGTGAGGCCGATTCGCCACTGGCTTTCCTCCAGCCACTCTATTGCTGTCAACGTCTCCTGGACGGCCTGGCGTTCGCCGTCGCTGCCCATTGGGCTGGTGGGTCGCTCGACCAAGCCCAGCAGGCCAAACTGTCTGCGAAACTCTGCCAGAGGAACGTTGTCTGGGAAGCCCTGCTTGTACAGACGGGCGGCTGGAAGCACCTGACTTCCTCTCAACTGGGATCGCAAAAGGGCGACATCAATATCATCACTATCCTGAAGGTCCTTGGCAACTAAGCAAACTATAAAACGGGGACGAGCTCTGCGCAGAGTTTCTATTAACACGTCCTAAAACAATAAAACACTGCTCAGAAATTTGAAAATATAGTCTTGAAAAAAATTATGATTTTTCCGTTTACTTTTTTTAATACAATTACTATTATACAATTTTTAATTTACAAAAATTTTACTTACTGATTGAGCAAGCATGGTTCGAACAGAATTGAGGCGGCCGGGCCTTGTTCGTCGAACAGTCAAGGTGCCATCCATAAGCCCACCAGGCAACAGTGTCGACGCTGGTCCAGCAGAACACTTAGCAAATGAACTCATCTGCCTGATTGTCTCTCTGTTGAAACCAAATACGTTAGTGTGGCGGCAAAAAAGGGGGCAAAAAATTCAACTGCATAGAAAGTTGACACCTCATGAAACCAGAACTTTCGTTTTCACTTTGTTGTTTCGCAAGTATTGGTTTTCACACGAGGTCAGGAAGATAGGGATTAATAAAAATATCAAGTTTCAGCCTGGTTTCAGCAATTAGCTACCGACTGCTGACTTACTTGTTGGAATCCTGCAGAAGTGTACCCGACACTCTGGTCAACTGACTCTCCTTGGCCTGCGCCAGCCACTGACTCGTGTCGTAAGCTACGCTGCATGTGCCGTGCAAGTGGTTGATTGTGACTTCATTGGCCCCAGTGCTCCAGGCCATTCTGCGGCCATCTAAAATTAGATTTGGAATTTATTTATTAATTGATGAATGGAAAAAGTAAAATTTTATTAGATTTTTTATAAAGTTCAATTGTTTACTTTTTGTATTAATTTTTTATTTTTTATACATGATTTTAACTAATCACCTTTATCAGTTTCTTTTGTAAGCCGCTCTATAACAGTGGCCTCGCTGGTTGCCGCTTCCTCCAGTTGTCCAAAAACGGCAGTTTCTAAAAGATTAGCCACCCCTGTTGCGTCCGCCTCTTCGTCGATGTCAACTGTCACTTCCTCATTATCGTACAATTGCATCGGGCCCTGGATAGCGGTTTCATGCCACAAAAGATGCAGCCTCTCTGCTAAGTAATTGTGGCACAACCCTGACCATCCCTGTGACCCACTTGTTTGCAGACCAGGCGCGTCCAAAAGTAATAAGGTGGCTGAAGTATTTGTTTGGCGACTAAGACCTCTATTGATTAAAGTAGCAACCGCATGAAGCACCTGAGAAAATAAATAAATAAAACGTTAATTTCAGTTTAACAATCATTCATTTAATTATTTTTTTATAGACTAACCTGTCCATAAAGACCTGCAGCAGCCTGCGTTACAGGTCCAAGGCAAGGGGCAGCGAACAGAGTACGCTGAAGGTCCTCCAAGCTCAGGCCCAGCAACTGGGCAGCTGTTTGAGCACTTTGAGGTCGGAGGAACCTGGTAGTCGCCTCACCAGCCGCTCCCAGATGCAGAATGGCCGCCAGCACCGTCCACAGAGAGTTGGCCTCGACTTCCGTAACTCCGAGAGCTGTGAGGGCAGCACTAAGTCTGTTGAAGTCTGCAGTGGCTCGAGGTCGTTCCTCGGGAGCAGCAGAAGGGTCGACAAGAATGTTTGGAAGAGCAATCAGGGCGTCGAGACTAAGTTCTCGACGAAGTGGTCCCTCAGCACCGAGTAAAAGGCGATAAAGTACATGGAATGCCAGGTCGTTTGCGCTGGAAGCAGCAATCCGAGTTTTTTCAGCAAGCAGGAGCTGGAAATTTATTCAGATTAAACAAAAACATCAAAATTAGGATAAAAATTAAATAAAAAAAACCTTGGATGGGCTTTGTGTGTTGTAGAAAAAATACCTGAACATTAGCAGAAGCAACCTGCCCACTTTGGTCCACATCAAGGCTGAACAAACATGAAACTTTGGTGGCGCTCGTCGAGGTTCCGCTTTTTGCTGTGCAAAAGGCCTCAACCACTGACGCCGCTGCGATCAGCCTATCCGCAGTCAGCTGGCCACCAGCCGCAGTCCAAGCAAGGAACTGCAGGGCATGTCTTAAACTAGTAGATTTTCCAGCACCTGATCGGCCCATGAAAATAAGTGCCTGGTCCCTCCTGGAGGCCAGCAGGGTTCTGTAAGCAGCCTGGGCAGCACCATAGACGTGAGGAGGCCACTCCTGTCCGCTGATTCCTCGGAAGTGCGAGGCCAACTTGTCAGAATAGGCCGCCAAAGGACCTTGAGGATTTACGATGAGGAGAGCAGGTCCAGCGCGAATGTGGTGTAGATGGGCGGCCGCTCGCATTCTGATGACATGCAGAGCGGCCGCCTCATTCAGGAAGGGCAGGCCGCTCAACTCCTCGGCCAAATCAAAATCAGGGGAGTTGGCCTGAAAAGATGGTTAAAGGATAAAGTGATTTAAAAAAATTACAGGATTTTCTTTTTTAAATCATGCTTGGTTAATTTTTCATGCTAAATTCAAATTTGATAATTTTCATCTGGACAGTAAAACTGATTCAAAAATTAGAAATGGAATTTTGTTAGTAATTTTAAAAATCAAGTATTAATAGCATTAAAATCTTTTCTTCGAGTTGTTGGAAACAAAAGTATGGGTGATTTGTAGGATTAATAGTTCAAATTCCATAGTTTAAAAAATGATTGTTTTCAAGATTAATGCAACATTGGATAAAAAAAAGTAAAATATTTACATAGGACAATAATGGTTCACAGCTAGAGAGGACAAACAAAAATTCTTGGGTAGTAACAAAAAAAAAAATGAAATAAAACCCAAACATAGTAATAGATCCTTACAGTTATTAAATTGAAATTTACCCCAACCTGAACCCTAAAATAATTAAGATAAGAACTTTACTTCCAATAAGAACTTCTTAATGATATTTCAAATCACCTTTTCGACATCATCTTCGTCTACGGTGGCTTCCTGACCGGTAGCCTGGATTATAACTCGCACAGCCGATGAATCTGGAGTGGTTGGAGGTAATCTGGTAACTTTTGTGTAGCCGTGCCTGTGAACAAGCCAGTCCCAGCTCGCTTCGTTGCCTCGCCTTGCCTGGAGGTCGCAAATGTATGCAAGAGCGTGAGTCACAAGTTGTCAAACATGTAAAAATTCTTTTGTGCTCACCTGCAAAAGTCGGCGACTGTTCTCCCTATTGCTCAATTCTACTAATTCAGGCACTGGTTGCACCTAAATAAAACAAAAATTAATTATATTAACAAACTTTAATTAACATATTTAAGAATAGTAATGACAAAAAATTTGATTATAAAAAAAATTGTCAAACAAATTTTTTCAGAGAGAAAATAAGGTTCAATTTTAATAATAAAAAATTAGTCAACAAAACAAAAGAATCATTTTGACTTTTACTTCCGTGAATAAATAAGTTTTGTTCTTCCTGGTATTATCATTTTTTTTTTCAACTTTTAATTGAAGCAAAAAAATGATTGAAACTAATTTTGAAATCAAACTGAAACATTTACCGTGACAGTGACTGCATGTCCACTGCTTCTAATCAGCTGGATAACCTCGTCCCTGGTCTTATCATCGACCCTCTCGCCGTTGACAGCGACCAGACGGTCCCCGGGCAGCAGCCCACTGTCGTGTCCCTTAGCACCAGGCTCGGCAAGAATGACTGTCCGCCGGCCTGCAGACACCGCCCTCCGCAGCGAGAATCCAAAATCACCAGACGGCTGTCTGCGGATGACCAGGTGCCTCGGAGTCGGAAGAACCGGCGGCGGTGCCTCGGGCAGCGGCCAGTCTGCCTTGGAAGGAGGTGGAGGTGGCGGGCCTCGGGGGCCTCCTCGGCGTTTCGGAGGCTTGGGTGGAGGCGGCTGGTTGAGGGCGGCCAAGAAGTCTGCACTGTAGTCGGCGGTGATGCCGAGTTTGGGCCTCGGCGCCTTGTTGGAGCGCATCTTGGCCCGCACCTCGTCCAGCCGCAGCAGCTCCTCCGGCGTCAGCCGCTTCTTCTTCTCCTTTTTCATAAAGTTGAACATGTCTGCAATTTGAAAATCAACACGTCAGCCTAGGTCGTGCACGGCCCCTTCGGCGGCCTAAAGAAAGTGGGCCGAGATTAACGAGAAGGCGCCCGAGAACCGTTAACTGGTTCCGTGACTGATTTTTGCGCACCGATTTCGCCGAACGGCGAATTCGGTTCGGTACTCACTTCAGGTGCGATTCGGCCCTACTGCATTTCGATAGAAAATTCGGTCCGAATGGGGCACCGTCCGGGACCAAAACAAACACCAGTGTCAAAATCCTGGACGCCCCGCCCTCTGCACCTGACCGAGTGACCGCGCCGATGCTGCCACCTATGAGCACAAAACCGGTTCGTCGCAAATTTCTGCTCGACAATCGATTCAATTTGCGTGCTAAACGCGCGAAAATTTATTCACAACCGGTTTAATCGTCTTGCAGATGAGCACCAAAGAAAGAAAGGCTTGAGCCACATATTTGCTTAATTGGAGAACGGAAAACCCCACCTCTCTTTTTATATGAGAAGTTCAGCGAGGCGCGCTAAAGGGTTACGGAAAGGGGACCCCTCACGATCTTCTCCTTTATTGCTGCCTCTGTAATTGAATTATATAGCTTTAATCTTATCGCAGACAGACAGAGATAGTCAATTGATCAAATAAAGTGCCCTTCGGCTCCTCTGATTATCTTTGAAATTTAGGGAGCAGCATAATATTATGCATAACATTTTTTTAGTTCCAACACTGCACAGGGTCCCCTTATTTGCTCTTGAAAATTTTATAGTGGCGGCGGCGAATCGCTGTGTTGTTTGATATGGTTAATCATAATCACATAAGTCTCTAGTGTCCTTGAGACTGTGTGCGAGTCACGGCACCCACCACTTGAGACGGATGTGAAAAATGATATATAGAAAGAGGGGCTGGTGGCACATGTGCTGAATATTAAATGCGGCGTATTACAAGATTAGGCTTTGCAAATTTTAATGAGAGCGTCTATGTTATTTAAATGAGTTAATACAATTGTCACTAATAATTACAATTAAAACAAGAACATATTTTTTTTTCAGATCGAAACGATTTTCTTAAAATAAATGAGAAACATGAAATAATTGTGTTCAAATAAATTTTATTTGGATTTCATTGGAAATGTTTTGAAACAGATGTTTGATAGAAAAATTAGCTGAAAATATCATAATAAATTGACATTTAAAGGGCATATTTGTTTGAATCAAAACAAAATCGATTTTGTTACATTATCACAAAAAAAGGTGATGTATCGGTTTATTATGCTTGGTCATGGTGAAGCAGGAGAGTTACTTGTACTTATGCGACCAGCTTGTAATCCCTGGTGCACACGATGTCGTCCACCGTCAAAGTCTGCAAAAATAATAAACAAACAAGCCATTAAACCTCTGAATTACAGTTCTCGGATATATGTGATTATTTCTTTTGCCGAGTCAAAGCGCGGAGCAGCTGCTCGAGATGATAACTAGGCACATGACTGTACGTCTCCGTTTTTAATTTAAGCTGCTCGTCTCACGCTTTTTTTATGTTCACGCGCCAACACTTTCGTTGGGGGCTACTTGCGAGGCTGAATGAGTTGTTCAAGAAGTTCACAATAAAGAATTACATAACTGTAAAAAAGAGCCAATTTCTGACTGCGAAATTATAAGAATGAGTTAAAACGCAATTATAAAGAAAACTCACTTTATCGTAAACAAATAATTTTAACGTTGATAAAAAGGAAGTTAATTTCTCTTTAATAAATTATAATTATGTAATTTAAAATTATCATTTGAGAAAACTGATAATGGAAGCAACCAAGTAATGATTCACACTTTACAATCTTCAACTCTGAAGTTTGACCAGCGCTTCAACAAGTAAAATATAATCAGTGAATTTCTTGATAAGATCATAGCCAGAGGAAAGGGTACATGAATGGGAATTTCCAATATATTGGGAATGATCCTTATTTGGATTCAGAATCAAATTTAATTTTACATTTCCATCTCATGAGACATTTTTTTTAATAATAAAGAAAACTGAATTCATTTTCATGTTTCACATTTAAATATTGATAGATACTGACCGTCTTCAGGGCGTCTTCTGACCACTCTCTGATGATGGTGGTCTCCTTATCTCCTTTCTGCACCTGGGTCAGCTTGTTGCCATCCAGGGTCAAGAGTGACTGCAAATAAGAATATCACATTTAAGCACGAGCCGAGCCTCCCGGGTCAAATCGACTGACCTTGACCTTGCGGCCGTCGGCGGTTTCCTCGTCGATTTCCTCGCCGTTGGCAAAGGTGATCTCGGTGTTCTTGAAGGTGGAGGTAGTGCGCAGGATGTACTTGTCGCCGTCCTTGACCAGCTCGACGGTGGGCGAGACGGCGTTGCCCATCTTGCGGGTCACCAGACCCACGCCTGAAACATTCCGAGGTCAAAGGTCAGCCAAGAATAGCCAAGGGAGAGGCCACGGGTGACCCAATAACAATAAATTTCAGTTTAGTGGCCGGTAATTGGGCGGCGGATCTCAATTGTATGTCTTTCGTTGAGTGGCAATAAATAATTGTCATTGTGCGATGGAAATTGAATCTCGTCTGCGGGCCGCATCATGTGATCATGCTGGTCTCCTGATTCTATTATTCCTTTCAGCGGGAGCGTGTGAGAAAATTTCGACTGCCCGCCGACACGACAAATATAAATTGATTGAGACGTCGCGTGTTATATCTACAAAGGGGGGTAACAATTTTACCACGCTCGATCGAGATTGTCTGTGTTTGCGCTTGGTGTTCGAGATAAATCTTATTTGATGAGACGAATATAATGACGCGGACAAGCCCTTTTGGAGTTTGCTTTAGAACTTTACACCGGCTTTTTTTTAGAAATAATTGGGCGCTTCCAATTTATTTAACCAAAGATAAATAAAATGCTCGCCACTTATTTGATTTTGATATCTCGAGTGGAGAGTTTGGTTCTCATATTTGTAAAATGGATTCTTATATGAGGCTGGCGTATTAGTCTATTTTTGTCCATGAGATAAGCCCACGTTTGAATCTGGTTTCATATATTTTAAATAATGAAAATTCTGGAATTTGTTGGGTTGGCGGATTTCTTTTTTCCTGTGCTTGGATATTTTACTTATTTTATAATTTTGTTTCTTTACCATAATTAAATTTTGATTCAATTCCATAGCGCGGAAAATGGTATATATTTTAATTAAAAAAAAACTCGCATGTCTCTATGAAAAAAAATTATAAATTGATTTTAATTGGAGAAATTTGTATAATTTTATACATGCATTTTTTTTTTAATTTTCTGAAGTAATAAATAAAAATTAAATTGCAGAAAGTTTCAAATTATATTTAATAAAAAGTGGAGTGACAACCCCTTCCAGCGTTGATTATGCAACCTGCAGGACTTCAAAAACGAGCGCATTGCATAAATTTCATTTTACTAAATTTTTCTAGATTTTTTTATTACTTCATTTTTTTTAATTCCTCCCTATTCTTCCTGTATCTTCCTGTAAATTGTGAAAAAAAATTAATTATCAAGGGGGGAAGAGCACCAGGAAAGAAGCTCCAAAGCTTTATCAGAAGTTACTTCCTGTTTTAAAAATATTTTTATCCTCTTTCCTTTGTGAAACCACAATTCTACATTCCAAAAGAAATAAAATATATTTTTTTTAAAAAAAACGAAAAATTTGCCTGTTTTTTTGCAAAGAAAGTAAAAAAAATCCATTTAAATTTACTGAAAATTCAAAATTTTATTCGCTTCAAAAGATTTAATGAATTGGTTATCCTTTTTCTTTAATCTTGTTTGCAATTTTTATTAAATTATTAAAATTTGAGCAGAGTTGCTTTCAAAGACACAGAAATCTTGCACAAGACGAAAAAAATGTCAAGATTGTCAAGTGTTTGCCTTATCTCAAAATTATATACCACAAAGAGCAATTTGTGGAGCTCGGCAGGAGAAAACAAGTCGGTCTACGCAACGCTTGAGTGGACCGACGAATTTTTCCCATTTCAACACACCAAGTGTACCAGACGCGCATAACATTCGAGCTATTTCAGTGACAAAAACAGAGGATGTGAAATTGCCCTGGCGGACCGCAATGCTCTCAGCTCCCCTCACATAAAAATGCGCTGCCAAACCATGCGGCGGCGTAGATAAAATCGCTTGCTTTTGCGAATATGGTCGTGTTTCCTTTCATTGTCGGTCGATTCGCTTTTATTATGCGCGGCGTGCAGATGAGGCACTCGCGCTCACGTGACGATTTTTGCAGGGAAAGGCGTGTTGTTGGTCGTAATAATGTTCGCATGACTCACGGAAAACGTAATGAAGGGTGTATGAACATAAAAGTTATGAATTTTCCTGCTGATTTCACGACGAGATTGCAATGCGACAAAAATACGGCGCACAAGAAAAATTGTCAAAATTTTCATAATTATATTTATTTTTATAATTCATTTGGTGGTAAAACTTCAAAAATATTTGCATTTTGGTTAAAGAAAATTCAAAAAAGAAATTTCCGGTTTGTCATTTATTTTTAAAAAAGAAAAAAAATGCATTTCCTGTCTTAATTTTATTAGATGTGAAGTATTTTAAGAGAAATCATACTAGGCAAGGGAAATATAATTTTAATTGAACAAAAAAATTCAAAAGTATTAAATAGATAACATCATCAATCTTTTAATTGGATTCGCGATAAAAATTTATTTTTGTCATTAAAACTGATTATGAGCATTTTTTCTTCAGTTTGAATTGGAAGTTTTTAAATATTATTTACTCCGTCAAAGAAATAAAAGAATCTTAAAATAATTGAAAAACTCATTTTGAAAGGTTGGATGGTTCAGCATCAAGTTCATTCAAGTTTAAAGTCGAAGCAAAAAAATTATCTCGTGGATATCAGTTTGAGTTTTATTTTTATGTATTTACCCTTTGAACATTACAGGGGGAATTTTTAGCTCAGTCAGTGTGCATCGTGTGCATTAAATTTGGTAGCGAGATAAGAACACTCGGCTCAAATCAGCCCCGCGTTGAGTCGGTTGAGTACACAAATGATAAAAAACGAAATCTCAGTGAAAGCACTTGAAAGCGTTTGATTCATTAGATCATTATAATTAATTGTTTGCTCTTTCGAGGGCGAGAAACGGGTGCCGGCGAATATAATGGAAAGGGCGGGGTCGTCGGTGGCGTGACTGGTTTGCTCCTGTCAGGTCACGCCACCCGAGCGGCGCCGCACATTCTACCCTCGCCGGCGAATAAAAAATGTCAAGCATGCCTATTGAGCTTTAGTTTAGGAAATTCCGGTTTGCGTTTCAGTCAGAATCGCTCGACTGGAACGGAAATTAACGCCTAATGTTGTAGGAAATAGTGAGATTTAAGGAGATAAAAGTCTATTTAGAATGATTGCTGCAGATCTTTTTAGTCCTGGTAGGAGGAGTCGCGAAGACGAGAGCCGGGCGAGATTTGAGGTGCAATTTTTTTAGAGAAAAAGCTTACCAAGGGCCTTCATGTACTCGTCGAACTTATCGCTCTTGTCCAGCTTGTACTTCTTTCCAAGAAAGTCAGCCATGGTGCTTGTGGATCGCTTTGCTGCTGGTAATAAAGTAAATCGAATTCGGCTCTTGGCTGCAGCTGCCGGCTCTTGCTCTCTGCAAAGTTGCGTAGGAGCGTAACGAAGGGAGTGGGGGACCCTTTTTAAAATCAAAAGGCAGTGGTTGGGAAAATGCGAAAGTATCCGACCGGGCCAATCAAATTCTTTCTAGCGCTATCGGTATGCAAATTTTGGAAACTAAACCGGTATTTTCGGTTATTTAGTAATTTTTTGAACTATTTATAAGGAGTTTAAGTGCCAGTAAGATCTAATTTCCTTCAATTTCTGAATAATTTATATTAATTACTAAAATTAATCAAGACTCGTTTTGAAATATTGATTTAATTAGGGAAAATATTGAGAAATTTATAAAGTCGCATAAATCGGTAATGGAAAAATTTTCAAAATTCACCGAGTGACGTCAGTGACATCTATAGCTTGAGGAAACAACAACGGAGCTTTGTTTTGGTGAAATTTCCTCCGTATTTCTCGAAATTCAGGCTAATCTGCCCATTTTTCAAGTCAGTTCGCTCCAAAAAATCATTTAGAATTTTTTCTTATTCATATTTTTCCAATTTAGAAAGCCTTGGGGCGAGTTTTGCGGCGGCTGACGTGGCTGGGTGGTGATGTGGGTCCGGGCCCTTTTTGTGGCGGCAGCCCTGGCAGGGGCCGCTGAGGCCTATTTTATCACAGTCGACGCACACAACGAAGAATGCTTTTTCGACAAGGTCGAAGCCGGCACAAAAATGGGTAATTATTGTTAATCTTCAGGTTTTGAAAACAAGCAAATAATGCCGGCTGTTGACACAGGTCTGATGTTCGAAATCGCCGAGGGCGGATTTTTGGACATTGACGTGAAAATCGTCGGTCCCGACGGAAGGGTCATCTACCAGGGTGAACGAGAGACCAGTGGCAAGTACACTTTCGCCGCCCACGTGCCTGGTGTGTACACCTACTGCTTCAGCAACCAGATGAGCACCATGACTCCGAAGGTTGTTCTCTTCAACATGGACATTGGCGAGGCGCCGAAGGAAGCGTCTGAAGACACGGAGGCCCACCACAATAAGTTGGATGACATGATTAGGGAGCTCAGTAGCACCCTGACTGGAGTGAAGCATGAGCAGGAATACATGCAGGTGAATTCACTTATCCAATGAAGTACTTTTCTCCGACAATTCTTTTTTTTTTTTAAATAATTATATTCAATTTTTTTTAAATATATTCTAAAAATAAACTTAAATTTTTTAATACTATAATTATTATAATCTTAAACTAATTTACAATATGATTTTTAAAAAATACGAATTTTTCCCAGGTACGAGACCGAATCCACCGAGCCATCAATGAGAGCACAAATTCAAGAGTGGTCATGTGGAGCTTCTTCGAGGCTCTGGTTCTCGTGGCTATGACCCTTGGTCAAGTCTTCTATCTCAAACGCTTCTTTGAGGTTAGGAGAGTCGTCTGAAAGACTTTCTTCTCACGTTTGTATTATGAAATAAATTAATTATGTCTTGTTTTGATTCATAAAATAGTGTTTCAATTTTTACCAGCTGGTGATTTTTTCAAATGACAACCAAGGTTAAAGACCTACAGGAAATTCATCTTGATAAATAGATCAAATTTAATTATATATGTAAAATCGCTAAACGCTTGCTGTGAGACAATAAAATGATTAAATTGGTTTGTTTCCTGTAAATCTTCTCACTTGTGTTCGAAAAAGAAATTTCTGGGTTTTAAACCAGGTTACTTATTATTTTGTAATGAACTATTTATATACATAAATCAACAATGGAACATTTTTTATATGGGCATCTACTTGAGTTGACTGAAGAGCGTTTTGGTCACGCAGGCGTCCAGGACATGAAGATAGTCATTGAGTTCCTCGATGCAAGTCTCGGTGGTGCGGCTCTTGCTGTTGACCCGGTCATTGCAAGCTTCGTAGCGCTCTTTCAAGGTGATCACTGCTGCCTGCTCGTTGCATTTGTTTCTCAGGGTGGTCTGAGGGTCGACCAACTCTTCGTCGGCCTCCTGGGCCTTGGCGACCTTGACAGGCTTGAGGAAATCGAAGAGAGGCATTTTTGTGCAGGCTCGGAAAATTTTGGCTGCAAAAGATCCAATATGGCGACAGGTCTGCGCACAACTGTAGTCAACTGAATTACGCACGGATTTCCGTAAAGCGTAATGTTAAAAAATACTTATCAAAGCCTTAAGTCATTTTTAATAATTTTAGGAATAATTTGATAGCATAAAATAGAAAGAATAGGAGTGGAACAGATGCAAAATGAATTATTTTTGTTCGCAACTTCGCAAGTGCGTGAATTTGATTAGAGTTGTAGCAGCCTGCCAGCAGAGACCGATTTCAATGTGTTCCTGCCGAAATCGACAATTTTTCGGCCGTTAGTCGGTCAGGTCGTGCTCTAGGGCACCCAAAACCGAATCTGGGCCCTTCGGGGGCCGTCACGCGCTAAAACCGCGTCTGCCCGGCTGTCTCCGAGGGCTACTTTGGCTGGCGTTTTTGTTTGTTTACAAATGGAGCATCAACAGCGGCCGCCCGCCGCGGTTCGCCGCAACTACAAGCTCCTCTCGGACCCTTTCATCACCAAAGGTGTCCAGAAGACGTACCGCTACAATGGGATCCCTGACGACAGAACGGCTCCCCCAATACAGCCAAGGGACCCTCGGTCAGCGCTCACTAAAATCTGGACGCGCATGGAAGTCATGGACTTACCAGTCCCGCGTTTTAAGGTTTTGCGAAATCAAAAATTTGTCAATGAAAACTTAATCAACTTTTGGTATTTTCCTTAGATCGACGAAGATTATGTTGGAGAGCCGCCGCCACTCGAGGTCACGATTTGCAACTTAAACGACAACATTGACAAGGCGTTCCTATCAGATTTGGTTTGTGTTGCAACTCTTATGAAAATTGCATAATTTTTTAACTTTTTCAAACTAAGAATTTATAATTTCCAAATTTCTCTTCTTTATAATACATTTTTATTTTTTATTTGAATATTTTTGAGAATATGACAATAATAATATTTTTTATTTTTAATCTCAGGTGCGGAAATGTGGGGAAGTGGAGGAGCTGTTTATTTACTACCACCCGCACACGAAAAAGCACTTGGGTCTAGCCAGGGTGGTTTTCGAATCGCCAAAAGGCGCACGAGCTTGCGTCTCACGACTGAATGAAGTGTCCGTCATGGGCAAACAGCTGGCAGTGACTCTCGACCCGTTCGGAGAACAGTGTCGGCACTTGTTCGAGACGCTTACACAACCACAGCGGCCTCCAACACCACCACCCCCTGAAGCTCCTCCAACGCCGCCTCCGCCACCTCCACCTCCTGTTCAGCAAGTTCAGCAGCAGCAGCCGCCTCCGCCGCCACCTTCCAATTTCTGCAATCCTCCTCCTCCACATTTTACTCACACAGGTTGGCAACCTGAGCCACCTCCACCTGAGGAGGAGTCCCTTGACCTGGACACTAGAATACAGCTGCTGCTCAGGGGAGGCGCCTTAGCCCTTGACGAGCCACCCCTTCCTCCGGAGGCGGCACCAGCACCACCTCCACCCCCACCTGAGGAATCATCACCTCCACCTAGTCCATTCCTGGGGCCTGAGGAGTACAAAAGATGGAGTATTGATGACGACAGAATGAGCCTTGCCAGTCTCAGTCCCACAGGGTATCAAAAATTTTGTCTAATTTTAACCGTAATTTAATAATTTAATCCAGGCCTGTCGGAAATGAGCCTATTTCGGAAGCCGTTCCTGAGCCCCCGTCCTTCATTCCCTGCTACCCTTACCCGTGTGACCCTTATTACCCTTACTACCACCATGTTGCGCCTCCTCCCATAGTGCCAGCTCCAATGCCCAAAGAAAAGGCCAAGCTGCCCTGGTGGGTCAATCAGAAGAAAAAGCACGCCAACGTCGTCTGTGCCGTGGTTGAAGCCATGGTGGACGAACTCCGAGACATTCTCGAGCGGGACCTTAACAAAAAGATGATTGAGAACACTGCATACAAAACATTCGATCAGTGGTGGTCCACTGAGGAACAGCAGCAGACCAAGGAGGAGGACAGGCCAAATCTGCCATTGGAACCTCTAACTATGGGCCTTGGTCTGCGGGCTGCCATGCCAAAAATGCCATCTTTCAGAGTAAGTTTTTAATTAGCTTTTTTATTGATTTATTTTATTTAGTTTATATAAATTAATGATGTGCTTTAAAAAATTTTAAAAATGTCAAAATTAACAGAGAAAGCCAAAATCGCCAGTCAGAGAGGAGAGAAAAGAAGAGGAGGATGAAGATGTCGTACGAAGAACTTCTCCCGAACCTATGTCACCTCCGAGACAAAGACGAACCACTCGACTGCCCTCTTCTAGTGAAGAAAGTAGCTCCAGCTCTAGCAGTAGTAGCAGCAGTAGCTCATCTGAAGGTAATTTATTTTAACAAATGTTAAATTTTAATGCAAATGAAATAATTAAAATTTTGTTTCATGACTGACTCATGCCTTGATTTTAAATTTGCAGATGAGAGTAGTGACGAGGAGTCAGAGTCTGAGGTTAGTGAAAAGGAGCAAGAGCCACTGGCAAAGCCTCTTCCAGTCGAGGAAAAGATGGAAGTGGAGGAGGCCGTGGCCCAAGAGCCCGTCAAAAAGGCAGAGCCCTTGCCTGAAGCCCCTGCAGCCGCGTTGGCTGCAGTGGCTCCTGTTTCTGTACCTGATCTCAGTGAGGAGACCGATGAGGCCAGCGAGACGGAAGAGATGGTCAAGGAGGCGGCCAGTCCAGAGGCCGCCTCGCCCACTGAGCGAGAAGCTACCGTGGCCATGGACCACTGCTACTCTCTGCCGCCCGACGAGGGTACCAAGAGACAGCAGGGCTTCAGCAATGACCACGGCTACACCACAGCTCCAGCACCCACACCGCCAAAGCCCAAAAAGCGGCCACTGCCTGAAGAGAAGAAGCGGCCGCCTCGGCCAGAGACGCCACCTTCTCGTCCCTCTGTCACCTTTGACCCTAGGGCGCAAGCGTCTGAATTTGGCGTTTTGTATGAATTCCTCACTCAGGGTGTCGATGATGAAGACGTGGCTCTGTTGAAGAAGAGCTACGAGATGCTGCTCGTTGCGGAGAAATATGAATGGCTCAATGACACCCATTGGGTCGACCATCCAGATATCCTTTTCATGCTAAATATTCTTATACCATTTTAATTTCTATAAAAAAAAAGAATCTTGAAAATTTTTGTCTATTTTCTATTTTTGTTAATTCTTTTTGCTGACTTTTTTCCTTGACTCCTCAGCACTGACAGACTTGAATCTAGCACCTAGCGCTGCAAAGAAGAGAAGACGAGAGGAGCAGAGGGTCCACCAGAGTGGCTGCGCCAGAACGGAGGGCTTCTACAAGGTGGACAGATTGGAAAAGGCGCGCACAAAGTACCACTTTGGCAGGAAGCAGGTCGAGACGGTGGAAACCATCATTCAGCCAGAGCTGCAGCCTAAGGCCTTGAAAATGCAATCCATCAGCAGGGAGGCCCGAAGCAACCAGCGCCGTCTGCTCACCGCCCTTGGCATAGACACTGATTCTGATCTCCTCAAGTTCAACCAACTCAAGGTTAGGACACTTTTATATTGTCCTGGAATTTATCATTAATTTTTGCTAATTATTTGCAGTTCCGAAAAAAGCAATTGAAATTTGCCAAATCATCAATTCACGATTGGGGTCTGTTCGCCCTCGAGCCGATTGCTGCCGATGAAATGGTGATTGAATATGTTGGCCAGATGGTCAGGCCAGTCATTGCTGATGTGCGAGAGGTGCAGTATGAGGCAAAGGGAATAGGCAGCTCTTACCTCTTCAGGATAGACACCGAAACAATAATCGATGCCACCAAGTGCGGAAACCTCGCTCGATTCATCAACCACTCATGCAATGTAATTATTTGTTTGATAGTTGAAATTTTTGTAATTTTAATTTTTTTCTCTTTAATAGCCAAACTGCTATGCTAAAATCATCGCAATTGAAGGCCACAAAAAGATTGTCATTTACTCTAAGCAGCAAATCAACATAAATGACGAGATCACATACGACTACAAGTTCCCGCTGGAGGAGGACAAGATCAAGTGTTTGTGCGGTGCGCCTCAGTGCAGGGGCTACCTCAACTGACTTTTTATTTGTAATGAATTGCAATCTGATTTGTTACTACACTGTGATCAACTAGTGTTACTGGAAGTTTCCTCTGAGCCCACACATTTTATTCTTATGTTTGTCAAATTATGTATCCCGCTCTACTGTTTGGCTGATAAAGTGTCATCTTTCAATCTGCGCTTTTAAAAAATCTATTGAAAAACAGAAACAATAAAAAATAATACTTTTTTAAAATAAACTACAAAATGTCACTGGTGTAACCATATTTTTCGATATTTTCATATTTCGCACAAGAAAGGCTAATTCGTTATTTTTATGAATTCCACTTTATACAGAGGTAAATTGTAATTATTTATTTTCTTTTTTATTACGATGATTGCTGAAGCCGTTAAAGACGCCAAGGCTCCACCTCATGCGAAAATTGAAGAAATAGAAAATTGTTGTTATTTTTTAAGCCACGCCCCCTACGCCCATCGCACAAAAACAAAACCAACAAAACTTTGCAGCAGCTCGTGCAAGACACGGCAGACGGGCAGAGTCGGCACACCTTTAGAGGAAACTTCAATCCGTCAAAGGTTTTCGCGAAATATTGCAGAAATGGAAGCCATGGACATAGCTGACGCTGGATTCAGTGTTGTCAGCAGCGATTTCGTAAAAGTTTTCGTGTCTGTCTCTACATCCAGCACGTACAGCGCAGAGAAAAGTTTCGCCAAAGGCATCACCATCGCAGATCTAAAAGTGAGCTCCTATTTCTAGCTTTTCCAAACTTTAATTCAAGACCCTTTTGAAAAGAAAATTGCTAAATCACACATTTTTCAGTGCAAATTGGAGCTGATGACAGGCGCTACTGCAGGCTCGATGCAGCTCACAGTTGTGGACAAGGCTGGGAACCGGGTGTGCCTTCTGGACGACAACAGCAGACTCCTGGGTTCGTACCCAGTCGACCATGGAATGGTCATTTTCGTAAGCAACACGGAATTCTCCCAAATCTAGAGTACGGAAATTAATTATAATTTTTTTAAGGTCGCTGACACCACACCGAAACATACTTTTGATTTGGACTCGAGTGAGGTCCCAAAGTTTGAGCTCTCAGATGAAAAATACTCAGAAAGAAGAGGCATGTATGGAAATGTTGGCAAATAAAAGTTAACAATTATTTTTAACCGACAGACACTGTTCGAGCACATTTGGAGAGAAACAGACTTGGCAAGTATGATCCAGCCAGGGAGGAGCAGCTGAGGCAAGAGCGAGAGGCGCTGGAGGCTCTCGAGGCAGAATTGGCTTCAAAAATTACCATTGGGAATAGATGCGAGGTTTCTGTTCCCGACCAGCCTGTTCGAAGAGGCCTAGTCATGTTTGTTGGTAGGTTTAAATTTGTAATTGAAGTCTGACGCATTTTAATTTGAAAAAACTTTTAAAGGCAATGTGCATTTTAAACCTGGTCTTTGGGTTGGAGTCAAATTGGACGAGCCCTGTGGCAAGAACGACGGCAGCGTTGAAGGTCAAAGGTATTTTACATGTCCTGCTAAATATGGGAGCTTTGTCAAAGTCACCAACATCAGAGTTGGAGATTTCCCAGAAATTGATCCGTTTGAAGAAGACGAAATGTAATCACATTTGAGCATATTATTAACAATAACAGCAAAGTTTGCTTCAATACTAAAAATGAAAGCCTTAAAAACACTAGTTTGACCCTGCCTAATTTAATTATATTTATTTTTTTACAATTCAAGTTTTATATTAATGCGACTGACTATTTTGCACCATTTCTGTAGGTTATGAAAATAAAATATCAATTCAATCCATATGCCATTTAGTTTATTGAAAAATAATTTGTCTGGCTACAGGTCGGACTTCCTTTGGGGTGATAAAATCACCAAACTTAAATTTCAATGATTAAAATTTAATTAACATAAATAAAAGGTTCACTAGCCAGGATAAAAAGAAAGCAAAACCTATAATTTGCAGCTCTGATGTCTTGAGTTAATTTTTAACCAAATAGAAAATTATGTTTTCCCTGTAAATAACCCCCAAAAGATAGCATTAAATTGAAAGTCTAATCAGGGATCTCCGTAATTTTGACCCCTTGTCTGTATCCACTTGTCGCAGAGGCCAGAAGATCAGGTCCAAGGTCCCAAACTGGACTGCTTTGCCCCTTTCTTTTTGAGTATCTGCGCTGTCTGCAGTCGCTGTCATATATTGGTTCTTCAATCGCTAATTTTCGGTGTCTAGTGTACTGTCAATCTAAATCTATCTGGTCAAAAAATCTTCCCTCGCGACCAGTTTTTTGCCTCCTTACCAAATGGAAAACCTGGAAATAGCATTAAAAAAAAAATCATTATTAAATCATCTTTATGATAAAAAAAATTAAAATTAGTATACCATTGCTATGAGAGCGAAAAATCCGCCAATAATTTTAGAAATCACATTTAATGTGACCAATAGGACAGGTGTGACCGATTCAATAAAAACTGAGACTTCTCTTATGAAAGCCAGGAGAAAGTCGAGGATGGACTTAACGGCCTGGAAGATGCCCTTTAAGGTTGTCATGATGGCAAGCAGAATAATGCGGATGAACAGAATTATATTGGATACTCTAAAGGAAAATTCCAGTTTTTGAAGAGCGTCTATGACAGTGAATTTTCAAGCCAATTGTCCTATATCAAAATGTTATTATTAATTTATTTTTGACTCAAGAGATTTGTAACAGATTTATTTGTTGAATATCCTTTGCTGGAGTCTGCATTGGAGTCGTTTCTAGGCTTCGTCAAACTTAAATCCTGGGTCTCAAGTTGGTGTTGCTTGTCGAAAGAGCTTTAAGTTGAAATTTTAATTTAATATAAATGAAACAAGAAAGTTTTTTTTATCAAGACCTAGAAAGTTGGAGATTGAAAATGATACTCCTGTTGTTGGGTTCAACTTCGACCTGCCTAATTACGAACCATTGGGGGGAGCCCATGGGACATTCAAGACTATCAGGAGGCAAATTGCAGAAAATTGTGATGGAATTCTCCTTGATAACAATATTGGACGTGTTGATTTTTTGTTCATAATATTTCATGTTAACCTCCATTTTCAAGTTCATAATCTTTTGCCTTAGCTCAGTTTCGGATTCAGGCAAAAGAATCTCATCCCTAAAATAATATAATCAAGGTTAAAAAGAAAATTACAAAGCCGTAATATGGCACACATACAATTCCTGATACAAGTTGTTCACCAATTTTCGCCCAGTGTAGAAGCCTATGAACATTATCGTGTGGAATTGATTTGCACAATATTCCTCCAGTTTGGAGTAGTACGACACTGTCATTTTGGCGAATATATTCTGCCAATTCCACTGCTTTTAGTCGGAGCGATTGGCGTTTTTGCAGTGCCGAGACAATGAAATGACTTTTGCGCACCTTCCAAGGTCATAAGAGACCGGTTTTGATGGCCCGACTTTTCTCTGAAGTTGATCTCTCTAGTGGAACGGCGCTGTGATACTGCACCGTTGTACACCGCAACAAAGCAGAGATAATTGTTCTCTTCGAGAAATGCAGGACTCGGGTCTCAAGGGTTTTTTAGATATAACTGAAAGTTAGAGGAGGGAGAAAATTATTACAGGAACAGGACTCAACATTTCTTTTGCTTTCTAATTTTTTTTTTAAATCCGATAAAAATTTCAGGCAGATTTCAAGAGTCTTCCCATATATATTCAACCAGATTTCCTCACTAGGCGCAATGTAATCAAAATTTTCTGGGTCTTGTATAATTTTATCAAGGTTAACGGTCAGCAAGACATATATAATTTATTTAAAAAGTTATTTACAAGATAATAAAAAAAAATATTACACAATTTAGCTTTATTATAAAATTAGTACATATAGTCTGTTTGCAAGTCACATTTCCATCGATGAAATGAAAATACTACAATTACAATTCAATGATTATTGAAAATTAGTTATCACAAAGACTGGATTCAAGCACGACTTATAATTTACTTTTAATTCCTCAATTTGAATTCAAAACAAGAAAAAATAATAATTAATGTTTCCTTACAAAAATTCAGAGATCAAACTAAAAGTTTAGTCAGGGAGCTCCGTAATTTTAACTCCCCCGCCGTATCTGCGCTGCCTGAAGTTGACATTTCGAGTGACTGGTGTGTTATACTGGCTGCCGTAGAAAGAAATTGCCGGAAGCTGAGCTTGCTGAGGTCTGTCTGGAGGTCGGACAGGTGTTCCATCGGGGTCAATTTTTCGTCTCGCCAGATAGAAAATGTCTTTCCAAACCTGTCAAAAGCATACAAAAAATATTAATTACTAGATTGAAAGAAAATATAATTTTTTTTTACCATCGACAATAAAATGAAAAAGCCGCCAAATATTTTGGAAATCACATTTGAGGTGCCCAAGAGGAACGGTGTTGCCGATCGGACAAAAATGGAGCATTCTCTGGTAAAAGTTAGGAGAAAAGTGGCCGTGGACTTGATGGCCACAAAGGTGCCCATTACGATTGTCATGATGACTAGCAGAGTGATGCGGAAGAACTGAATCACGTTTGACACGGTGAAGGCGAATTTCAGTCTCTGAAGGGCGTCCGACCAAATCATTTCAGGCTCGTCCTACAAAATTATTTTTGAAATTATATATATAAATTATTTATTTTAAAAATGATTTAATTTATTTACCGCAGGCTTTGGCAAATCTCCTTTGCTGGAGTCGTTGAAATCTCGTGGGTCAACAGATCTAAATTCAAATTAAATTACAATTAAATAAAAAAAAAAATAGTATATTTTTTTTTCAACCAACCTAACAATTTTCAGGGTGAAAATGACGTCTCGTTCGTTGGGCTCGACTTTGACGTGCCTGATTTTGAACCAATGCGAGCCGAAGGGGCAACCAAAAGGCAAATTAGAATAAATCATCGTGAAATCCGCTGCGAGAACGATGTTGGAAGTTTTGATTCCTTCATAATTCTCGTGAACGTCCATTCGAAGTTTGAATAACTTTTTCCTGAGCTCAGTTTCGGATGGCGACAAAATTATCACATCCCTGAAATTAGGAATATCAGTTCCAGAAAAATAATTAATTGAAAAAAAAGTGATGACACATACTTGTACCGATTCAAGTGGGGCACCCAACGCCGCTCCGTGTAGTTGCCCAAGAAGATTGTCGAGTGGAGAAGTTTTTTGCAAGATTCCTCCAGGCTGGAGAAACTTTGGTTCGGCGCTGCCATTTCGGCAAATAATATGCCAACGCGACTGCTCTATTTTAGGCGATTAATCGGATCGAGTGACTCTTCTGTGGGAAGAACGAACGGTTCTAATTTTTTAAATGAATTTCAAGGGCCTCCCTGCGCCTGAAAAGAGACGCTTTTTGTTATGGTTGTTAGTTCGTCTTTTCTCCGCACAAACTCCAGCACCTGAGATGATACGACTGGATACGACGATACCTCACTGCCGCGCACCTTTGTGAAAAAAATATAGTTTAAATTTTTATTTTTTCTTTAAAAAAGAATTCATCCTATTATTGCAATAAAATAAATAAATAAACTATATAAACTATGATTTTTAATATAAATTTAAATTTAAAAAAATATTTTTAAGTTATTAAATATTTTATATTAAAATTATATTCAACAAAATTATTCACAATATAAATATTTTATTTAAAATAAAAGTTTTTAAAAACAGTATAAAATACGCATTATTTAAACAAAATGAATCTGATCAGAATAATATGTGTATAAGATGCACTTTTTATTCGATGATTTGTTTGATGATAAAAGTTTACAGAAAAAAGAGCAGTCAATGTGATTTGATTTAATGGTTTTAATTGTCATGTTTTTATCGACTTAAATAACTTTTTTGGTTTATTCCTTAAAATCATGCCTGCACCTCCGAAAACCATGAAAAACTATTTGGAGTCTCAAGATGGGCTACAGGCAAAATAATTATTATAACTTTTTCCATTAAAATTGTTCCTTGTTTTAACGAAAATTGCATTTCAAATATCTGAAGAAGAAAAATTGCTTTTAAAAATAAGGAAAGGAAAAAGCAACAAAAAAAAATTGTTTTTTGTTTCTTTGCCATCACTTTTTAATTTTTATAAAATAAATTTTTATTAGCTTACTTACCAAGAGGCCAAAATTAATTGTACATTAGATCGATCTAGTCTTATATTACTAAAATAATCATAATCAGTCACTTTTCACTTTTCTTGAAAAATGATTCAGAAATTTTTTCATTAATTTCGTTGCAATTATGGAAACCACAGCTGCACTTAAAATCAAAGCTAATATCACATCGAGGCACGTGTCCTGGAGCCAATTCAGATCAATGCTGGTCGTTCTCAGATATTGAGCGCCTTTCTGCTTAATCACGTGCTCGGTCCAGAAAACTGCCCTCTCGAGGGGAGAATTTAATTGGTCCCTGAACGCAGTCGAGAGCTGCTTTGCCCGCTCGGAAAAACTGATAATTTGAAATTATAAATAAATTAATCAAATATCTTGAGGTCAAATTTATCACCTTTTATCATTCATAATTTTGTTTACGCTCTTGACTAATTCTTCGGCGCTCGCTGAATAGTAGTTGAGGGACAGACCAACTCCGAGCTGGACCACTTTCTGAGCGTTGCTTTGCTGGTCGCCGAAAAATGGCATCACAAGTCGCGGCACCCCTTCGTAGGTTGCCTCTTGGGTGCTCAAAAGACCGCCGTGGGTGACGAAGAGGCGCAAATTTTTTTGAGCTGAAATTATAATTTTGTGAAGAAATCTGTTTTTTGCTTTTATTTTTATCACCTAAAACGTCTCTCTGAGGGAGCCAGGAAACGATTTTGACGTTTTTGGGCAGATTTGGCACGTCCTCCGTGTCCCACCGCCAGAGAATGGGGTAGTCGATGGCGCCCATTGCCGTGGTCAACGTGGTCAGCCGCTCAGGGTCCATTGTGTCTTTCGTGATGAGCGAACCGAGACTGAACAAAATCACTCCTTTTGGGGAATCGTCAAAGAATTTTTGAAGATCCTAAACATCGTTAAAACTAAATAAAAATGTCTTTTCCTAGGTAATTTCGATTTCAAAAATTCTACCCGCAGGTAGCTTTGATTTTGTTTTATCAGTGTATTTTGACCAATTTCATGCTTGTCTAAAATTCAAATTTTTTTGGACAAATTAAGTCATTTGTGATGTAATACGTAAAAAAACTAATAAAAAAAGGAATATCATCATCAATTTGTTAATAATTTTCAAATATGCCAGGACAATTTTTTGAACTAAACAGAACAGGATTTTATCATGACTTTTTATATTTAGGGTTGAATTTTTTAATACTTATTGGTTAATTGAATTAAAATTTTTTTTCATAATTTTATAAAAATTTGGATACAGTAAAAGCGTTAAATTGAAAAAATTTGAAAATAAACTGGCAAATGAAGACAAAATGATAAAATTTCTGAACACTTACTTTATCCAAGGATTTTGCCGGCTTGATGTGAATGCCACCCACTTCAACGACATTTGGCAAGTTTGCATGGGGTGAATTTGTGATGGGGTGAGAATTGATCAGCATAAGGGCAGCTTCTTTCTCCATATTGGCCAGAGTTGGAAAATCTCCTCCAAAAATCTGTATCAAATGTAAAATTTCAAAAATTTTATCAATTTTGATTTTTTTTATAAAATTCAAATATTTTTTAACCTCTTTGACGACTTTGTCCTGTCGAGGGAGCTCGAGGTATTTCCGAGCCAATAATGCCGTCGCCGAATGCATCACATTGTGCATTCGCTCAAAGAAACTCATCTTATGAGTGTATGGCAGAAACATGTTCGGGGAGGTGGCCCAAGAGTCGGGATTGCCCATGGCCTGGTGGGCCCACTGCGGCGCCCATTGCGACGTGAAAAGCACAAGCGGCGCTTCAAAAAGTCTCGCCACAGGCACGAAACAGTCAAAGAAGAATGACTCGACAATCACAAGATCAAAAGAAATCTAGAAGAAAAGTTAATAATTTAATTAGACTAGTCAAAATAAAGCAGGTTTTGTTTCAGACACTTTTTGTGTTTCCTTCAATAAATTATCAACAGAAATAATGACATAAGATTTTGTCGATATTCATGCAATGGATATTTTTCATTATTTTATGCTAAAAAAATTTCCCTCTTTGCAATTTCTTACGGTTTTATTCTTGCCGGCCTCGATGATCGGTTTGAGGCCGGGCGAGTTGAGTTCGTTTCTGCAAAGGTCAGGCGCGATGGTCCAAAGCCAGAGACTCTCGGACAGGGGTTTGCGTTTCGGGCCAACAACGTTGCCCATTATGGAGCCCAGAACGCCTTGATCGTCCAGGTGCACGTAGTCGATTTTTCCCTTCGACGACGCGTTGAGGTTGGACGGCCACTGCAGGCCGAAAGGACTGCCAAAGGTCACCTGGTGGCCTCTGACCGCCAGTTCTTGGAAGAGCGCCTCAAAAACGCGGCTGTGGCTCTTGGCGGGGGTGGCGAAGAGGCCGAGGATTCGTGCCGCCCCACAGCGATCGGCACAAAAAAGGAGCAGCAAGGTAAGAAGTGCGCTCAAAGGGGTAAACCTCATTTTGCTAAATTAATAACAAAAATGACGTGCTGTGTAATAATAACAAAATTCAAATTAAATATTAAATAATTGAATATCATTTAATAAAGATAAATTAATATAATTTAAGTAATTTAATGGTTGGGAAATTATTGAAAAATTTAAAATTTTTGTTGTAAACTTCCTTATAAAATTAAATATTCAAAAAGATAATCAGTTAGTAGATAAATTAAATATAACCTAAATTTTGAAGTAATCAAACAATATTTTATTTTATGTTTTTTGTCAACTATTTTGGGTAAGTAAGATTTAAATTGAACTTAAATAATATTTTTTCTTACAATTACATTGAATTGTGCTTTTAAGAATGCATGTTACCTGAAAGGCTCCTTTTCGGCAAATGAAAAACTATACTACAAAAATTTAGTGCTGTTTGGTTTTAACGCCGCGAGGTCAAATTTAAAAAATAGAAAAATGCCTCTAGCACAATCGTCTTTCCAACGCACAATCAGTTCAAACTGACACTTTTACTGATTTTTCATAACTCTGAGAAATAAATGCTACGAGCCGCGCAACAGCGCAAGGAGAGCACGTTTTGCAAGATAAGAAAACGCAAATCGTTTTTGCTTAAAGCGTGTGCAAGAGTAAAAAAATTTCTCACCCAGCCAGACGTAAGGCGTAATTATTGCATAATCCTGACCGGGCCTTACACTAAATAAATTTTTTTTTTTAGTTCTCTGAGAGAACCGGGCGTCATCGATGTAAAAAAACTCGTTTTTTTACTCATTGAACTTTCTAATCTATTTAAAATAAGAGCGAGATAAAAAAAAAATAAATCACTCTTTTAAGCTAATTTTTTTTCCAAACAATTTAATTCATCAAGTTATCCTACAAAAACGTGTCTTTCTATGAGTGAGGGAAGAAAATTAAAATTTTCGTAATTGTTGAGATTTTAGATTTGTATATTTTTAGCAATTTTTTTTTTAAATTCGTGCGAAAGTGTATCAATCAAATCTAAAAAACGAGATAGTTTTAAATTTGTATTTCTTATCAAATTCACAAGAAATGCTCTAAAATTGGAGAGTTATAAACGTACTTGCCTATTATTCCTGTTATCGTTTATCAACTTACCTGCAAGGACGTCAAATGCCAAAGAACCACTCACTTCTATTATGGTGCTATTGGAGAACTTTCCGACGAACACTCGTCGTTATCTGCTGTGAAGTTGCAGTCTCTCGTCACAACAGTAACTAAAGTAATGAGAAGGACAAAATACACACACGCTGGTGCACCAAAGGCAAATATCAGAGCGACGGGGAGCGGGTCACTTGATCAAATAACTCTTGGCTACTCTACTTGCGACTTGCGACCGACAAGTCTCACTGCCAAAAAATAATTTTGCACCAACGTTCACCACATTACTAGTTAAACCAAACTGACCGCGCACAACTATAGGTTTGGCATTTTTATGCAATGCAACACTTGCCTGCGGATGAGGTCTTGTTTCATTTATCAGCATATAATGAGCTGATTAATTCCCATTGAGTTAGTTCATATTATACTCTATTCAGGGCTGAAAGGTCATTGGGTCAAGCGATTATTTAATTGAATTGCTCATTGCAATTAGGGGCGAAGGCGAATAATTTGAATAATTTCACTTTGGCCTTTGAGCGTAATGTTTGTATATAAAATATTATTTCTAAAAATAATGTGTGTAAATAGATAAATCAATTATCAGCTCTTTTATAAATTCCATAAAATAATTATAAATTATAACAAAAGTTTTACAAATTTTATTTTAATTGGTATTTGTGTAATATTTGAGTCTTATTAAGACTAATTAGAAAATAGTTTGGAATGCAAATTTATATTGATGAATTGGTCTTATTTAACCAATGAATATTCAGTCCAGAAAGCAGATAGCAGATAAGTTAATTTTAAACTTTTCCGCATCCATTTATTTCAGATTACTTTTCTTAGGTTTCTATAGATGTTCCAGTAATTATTGTTGTGAACCTTTGGGCCATCATCATTTTAATATTGTTGCATGACAATTTTTTGAAAACGTGCTTACATATGAAAATCATTTAAAATCTTTTCAATAACAGCTCATGAATAAGGGTTGCAACGCAACCGAAACTATCATAGCAGAGATTTTCTGTATCGCTCACAATAAAAAAAATAAATAAATAAATAAAGTTGCTCATCTTCACCAAGTAGGCCGGATTCCATTAAATAAAAGTATACTTTTTATGTTCAATTTCTTGAATTATTTGTGCGGCTCAACATCTTAGTTATAATTTTGTGTACTATAGGTGCTTGAACTGTGAAAATCAAAACAAAGAGCCTAGATTAATTTTACCACTAAGTGCAATATTAATTTCAATAGCTTCAAGAAACTTATAAAAAAGTGGAAGGTCCAAATTAATAAAAAAAAATTATAATAGAATTCATAATATATTTGCGTGCCTTTTGTAAGCAAATTAAATATGAGAACACACAATTAAATATTAAACACACATTTTAATAAAATCAAATTTGCATGAATAAAGCGAATTAAGTTAAACTTTTATTAGCAAAATTTATATGGAGTTCAATGCAAATTTACTTTCGGACTTGACGGCATTTTTTTTTTTCAACGATTGATGTCAGCAAAATCATCAGCACCACTCAACATTCGCGTCAGCTCGATCAAAAAGCGTCCGGCAGATTTCGGCGCGTAATCTCTCTTTCTGCGGTATATAGAGATAAGACAATGAGCACCCACCGCACATATAGTGGGTCTGTGTCGGAATAGGCGGCGATCGAGCTAATTTTACAGCGGTGTTGGCCAGCGCTGGTTCTCTACTTGCTAACTGAATTATAACGGAGGGGCCAGCGGCCGCAGCAAGACGCACGCACGCCGAGCTCCACAGCAACAGTCATGGTCAGCAACCCTTTGGGCACAAGTGCCTCCGAGCACAAGGAACACACCCCCATGCAAGTCCTCCAGTTCAAGGTAAATAATTTTTTTAAATAATATTGAATTATAATTTTATGTTTTGCAATGCCTGAAAAATTCTGAACAAAAATAGAGTCCACACAATGAAAATATAAATAAATTTTTTTTTTAAATTTATTTGGTAAAAGGTTGCATAATATAAAATAATTAAATAATATAAAAATTAAAAGCAACCGCTTGCCAATTTCAGATTATTTCAACAATTTTTATTGAAGTTTTTAAGAAATAATTAATTGTAAAACTTTGCAATTTATTGGAGAAAATGTCAAAAATTACCTGGCACCGTCGAAACTGAAAGTCCTTTCTCTAGAAAAGATGAAAAACACGCAAGACCTTGTGTAGCAGGCGCGCAAAGTCAAGGATTTTGATAATAAGACGTCAAGATTATGCAGAAAAAGCTTTTGAGAATACCAATTAACGTCGGAGAGTTTAATTAAAACAGTATATTTTCTAATTCTAGTGATTTTTCTATATTCCAAATTTAATGTGGGAGAGGTTTTTCTTAATTATTATCAAAGACAATTAGTGTGATAAAAATGACGTACTAAAATATTTAAGAGAAACAACTCGCTGTTCTTTGTAATATAATCGCACTTATCAATAAGTTCAATGGAAAAGCCAAGTTAACTGATAGGACATTTATAATTTAATCTCTTTTATTCCATCAATCAAAATTGAAATTTGCCCTATGAGAATTCTCGAATGAATTGCACCTGTAATCAAAATTTTCCTTTAAAAAATTAATGAAGAGGACATTTTGAGAAATTCTGATTTGTTTTTCTATTGAAAAGAATAATAATTAGATTTTAGAGCTTCTTTTCCAAAATTTTCAGTTCTCTAAATCAGCGTAATTTCAAATAATAACAATTTATTACTTTTTCATTAAACAGTTTATAAAGCATGTGTGAATATGGATGAAAACTTCTAGCTAGCACTTTTAGATTTACAGATAAAGAGCAATAACCGAACCCACGATATTAAGCATCAAGAAAATTAAGATTAGCCTAATGATAATTTTCGCCAGTTTGCTTTGACTAAAAGCGTTCTTGAGCCGCCGCAAGCTTTTTATGACGTTTTCAATATATATTGAATTCACTCACTGACAATGCATATGCGGCGAAGAGAAGAAGCGCTATCTCGTAACTTAATTGCGTATGACTCATGCTGTTGTTTGATCGATAAACAATTAATTTCACCTGCTCATTTTCGCATGCGGAATTTTTTGTATAATCCGGGATTAAAATAAATTTTACCTGGAAATGTGCAATTAAAAATGAATTGTATACTTTTTTAAACATTTTTGCTTAGAAAAATAAAGCTCACAATAGATAATTAAATGTTATGTAACACAAACAAATGAGAATAGGCTTTGAATAATTATTTATTTTGAACTGATCAAAACGTAGACTTGATATTATTTTAGCAGTAAAAATATTTTTATTTAATTATAGGTTGTGACGCTGATCGACAACAAGGAGGAAATTGACGAGTTCAATGACACAATCGACAAGTACATGACGTGAGTATGAATTATTTAATAAATTTCCACGGCAGTTTGTAATTTATGAGTTGTGAAGTGATGTAGCGCGTGGAGAGTGAAAAGCAGGCGAAAAAATAAGCAGCAAACAGCGCGCATAACACGATTCTTGTTATGTTTTATTTCCTTCTTCTTCGTGGCCGTAATGTGAACCACGGATTTTAATGAGCTCGAAGGAAAAAAGCTCGCTTAAGTGCAAAATTCTCGATTCGAAACCTACAAATTTACTAACACAACAGCAAATTGAGCAAATCTACGGGATCAATAGAAACTATAGGGTGTGTTCTATTGTTTTCCAAAAATTATCTCTCCTAATTCGACGTTGTTGAATAATGCTTAACCGGAAAACACTTGTGCAAATAACACTTAAAACAAAATCAAAGGCGGCCTCCTTTGGTGAAGTGGCTATTGTTATACTTTAAAACTATTTTTGTGCTAGCTTTTGTTTTATGTTACCAATTTATTGATTTCAATATTATTAATTTAATTTTACAATTTTAAATTTTATAATATTTTAATACTTTTTAAAATTGATTTTTTTCTTCTAAATTTGCAATGCTTCTACCACAGAGATAATAACCTCACAAAATTTAAATTTATAAATGAAATTATAAATAAATAAATTGACTTTGTTGAAACTTTAATTTTTATTGTATCCCCAAGAAATTTAATTTTTTGAGCACGGTTTGCTTTTTTATTTTATTATGTCACATCTAGCAATGGATGAATAAACAAGAATTAAATATAATATTTTCAGGAACCACAAGGTCGTGGCACTGGTTAAAGGCCTGAAACAAATCATAAAACTGCCAGCACGGTTGCAGCTCTTTGACGACGTCAGGCAAGTAGAGTATTTTACGTTAAATAATTCATCTCGAAAAAGGGTTAAGCACATTTATCTCGTTCATTTGTTTCTCTATTTCCGCCAATTCTCACATAAATCCAGTCGTGCGAACGAATTCCGCGCAAACCTCAAAGCGATCTCTTTCTTTGTTGCGCGATTATTTATTATTTGATTGCTCTCGTTTCAGCGACTTGAATTGAAAACTCGGGTGCCTCCGCCGCATCCGCTCGCGTTGTTTTGCCTTTTCTCGCGCACACCTCATTCATTTCTGCTGCCGTGCGCGTTTTTGAAAAGCACAGGCCGTGTTTCCGCCTTGCAATGCAACATTATTGTACATATATACTTTGGACATTAATCGCGTTCGCGGCGCTGGCAAAAGCAGGATTCAAATTACACTTCATGCAAAGCTCTTATCACAAATTTATACTAAAAATTTATGAAAATATCAAGATTTAATTAAAAATGCATTGGTAAAAGAAAAATTTTTTCTTCAAAATTTAAGGTGAACAATTTTCCAGAAATTAGAATAAATTACTTACTTTCTATGTCCCCTTGCATGGATATTATTAAACTAATTTTATTTAATAATATTTTCTTTCTCTCTTTAACTTTCAAAAAATGAGAAAGAAAGGAAGATGTAGAGCGCAGTTAGGGGCTTTTTGCGAGTCTGATTGCGATTCGGTCCAAACGTGCAGCCTAATTAAGTGGATAAAGTATTCAAAACAAGGTGTTTTTCTTAAATTTCACGCTCTGCCGTGTGTGACTAAGGACGGCCAAAACACAGTAAGTCGCACGAGTTTTTCCTATGATGCGCTACGATGGCCTTTGGAGTGACCTACGGTGAACTTGCTATATTTACAGAAGCAAGACAAAATGATAATAGGGTTTTTTTAAATGACATTTTTTTTAATGGAAATGAACAGGTGAATGGGTCGAATTTGTTTTGAAGTTTTGGAACCAAAGAAGTAATAATTATTGTTATAAATAAAAATGAATCAAAAATTTAAAAGCAAAATTATCATTATAGAATTTAGATCATTTTATTTTTTTTAGAGGGAAAAATTATAGCATTAAATTACGTTTAAAAATTTTAATTTGTACAAAATGTTTTAATTATTACAAATAAAAATACGGAAGAAAAGAAAAAAATAATTACAAATTATACAAAAATATTTATCATTTAAATTTCTTTATTAGCGTCATTAGCGTAACCTGAAATTTGCATCATTCTTATCGGCTATTACGACCTTCCCATTTAATAAATAACGAGTCACCTTCATAAAAAGTGAAAATGCGCGATTGAAGCGCGTTGCTCATCCTCAGCATTTATCTCTTTCACTAATTACATGCTGGTGATCGGAGCTGACCCAGTTTTCATCTATCCGAACTGAAAATTAGATACATTTTTACGACATGCGCGTAAACGAATATTATTTATATTTTTTGGAGAACGAAATACGCGCGCGGCGCGTCGGCTGAGTGGTCGCGTATTTTACGCCCTCGGTCCCTTTTCCTTCCGGCCCTACAATTCAGTGCAGTGGTGGCCAGAGAGTTGAACGAGTGGGATCGCGAGCTGCTGCTGTTCACCGCCGCGGCTTCCTCTGACTCGCTTTCAAAACACACATGTGCTTTTTCACTGCTGTCAAATGTGGAGTTCAGTTTTTGTGTTAGTCTAGTGCTGGGATTTAACTTCAAATGAGATGCAAAAGCACGCGTGATTTGTGAAACAAAATAGTTAACTTGATCTGTGTTCATAACAGCAGGTAAAGAAAGATATTGATTAAATAATTGTGTCTGATAATAATTTTAAGCAAGTTGATTTTTACAATTTACGTTGTAATATTAATCATGGAATTTGAATTTTATGTAAAAATTATTCTTCAATTCATTCCTAAAACCCCACCCTCCCAAAAGTAAAATAAATAATTTTAATTTTGTTATAATTGCAGTTGAAATAATGTAAAGTTAGGTTAATATTTCCATAAATTAAAAATTTAAATGATAATCACTTTTAAATTTGCAACAAAACTTTAAATTTATTTGAATATTGAATTTTTTAATTTATTAAAGTTTTTGGAATTAATATTTTGATTTGTTTTAATTTTTTACTTAAAAAATATATACCTTATTATTATCATCAACTTATCTGTTTTTTAAATTTGATAGATACTTCAAGCATTATTTAAACTATTAGTTGTTGGACACACAAAAATATAAAAAGTTGGATCTGAATTTAATAATTAAATAGTGTTAATCTTAAACGATTCAACTTCATTTGTAATTTAATTAGTCATTTAATTATCCACGCAAATGCTTTCAAGATGATACTCTAAAATAATTAATTTACCTCTCTAAATCCAAAACAATTATCAGAATTCCTCTCTTCACAGAGAGCTGCTGGTTGATAAGAATGACGTTGAAGGGTTAATTAAATGATTCCAGAAGTGTAAAAACCTGAGCTCATAGAGTACTTTTGCGTCCATTGCTCGGTCACATGATGCAAATTTTATCATACAAAAAGTGACGGTTGCGAAAATATGAGTCTCCAATTAATCTCAAGCGCCTCTCTTTGTTATTGTTCAGGGCAGATGACCGACCCCAAGGTTAGGAAGTTGTAATTGCAGGAGAGAGAGGCGAAATTTTAATTTTTCGGTGCTCAAGTTCACTGTCACTCTTGCGAGGACAATAAAGCCATGCAGTGACGTGTCCCAGTGAAAAGCGCGCACGTGTAAAAAAATGCTTTTAATTTTTTAGTGCAAAACTAGGACGCGCAGAGTGAAAATAAATTTATTTTGCCATTCCAACGTTGCAAGAGGATATTACCAAAATCGTAAAATTGGTGATTGTGTTCTTTGGCCTGATGAAGTGCATTAGAGTCGCAGGACAATGGAGGACAATTGGTTGTTAAAGTTGCCGTAGTTCCTTTTAAAAGCACTTTTGTTTGTGCGGATGAAAGTATTATTCTGTGGAATCACTTTATTTGATTTAGAAACTCTTGAAGGGCTGGTCCGTGTTGTTCCAAGAATGTTTTTAATTTTTATTTAATTTTTTTTTAAATGTTTTTTTTATTTAAAAATGAAATAAATAATGAAAATTTGATATCAAATGAAAAAAAATGCCCTGCTATAAATTTTAGATAAATTTTTACTGGATAGAAATGGTTAGAAACTTCATTTCTAAATTTTAATTCATTTTCAATAAATTTAAAATTATCCATCCCTATAATTTGCAAGTCACATTTCTTATTATATTTTAATTTTTTAATGCTGTAGCAGCGGAATTGAGCAAAATTCAAATGTACTTTTTCAATATTTACCACAAATTAACAGTTATATTTTCCTTCTAATTTAGTTATTTGGCCTTCCTTTTTTATCGGTAATAATTTCATATTACTTTTTAATATTACATTGAAACCATTTAAACTATCTATCGCAAAATTTTATTTGAACACGTGTCCTTTCGTTTTACAACACAAAGTTTTTCTTTTATTGTTGTCATTAGTTTGGGTATACTATTTATATAAATCGCTCTGAAGCAAAGTACCGAATCGGCTCTTCCTTATGTAATAATAGAAAGAAGCGTGAAATGCACCCACACAAATGTCAGCACCACCAGCTGCTGAAAGATATAGATTTCCGCAATTCGCTCGCAATCAATTTTATTAGATGGTTTTCTCTTTGCTTCTTGGATTCACTAGCTGACTTGCGTGAGAATAAAAAGTGTAAAAAATCATTACGCGTGTGTGACGAATGCCATATGATCAAAGAAAGAAAGTCTCGGCGAAAGTACAACAAATTCGTCCATCACGACAATTTATTTATTTAATAACGCGCAAAAAAAATGAAACATTTATTTCCTCAAATAACGATTTCAAGTGCATCGGAGCGCGTCCGGCAGACGATCTTTTAGCTCAAATAATATGTATGTGTGTCACTCGGGACCAGCTTTGGTATGTTAGTTGAAGCAGACTTTACTTTTAAACACGCCATAAACTTTTGAACGCACCAATTTTATTGAACTTTCTTCAATTTCACTCCTGCCAAAGGAAACGGCGCATAAATTAATTTCGCCGATAATTGACCCGCGGCATGAAAAAGGCGAAAACTCGTCGTAATCACATAGGATAGCCTTTTTAGCCAGCGATGCGTTTTTAGGTTTGGTCAGTTGAGTTATTTGCTTTTGGAGAAAGAGTGCAATTAATTTATGCCCGAAAACTTTGGTCCGATAAAAAGTAATGAACAAGCTGCTGATAACAGAGTGGCGCACGTGTAAACAGCGGTATCCATTTCGTGTGAGAGATGATTAATCTTTTTCGTGAGAGAGAAAAGTACAAGATTAATTGCTAATTGCTTTGCTTCTATAAAAAATAGAATTAATTAAAGATTATGTAAGCTATAAAATACAGCAAATTGTAAACTGAAGAAGCATAGACCAAACTAACAATTAGTCTGAAATCTAAAATTAAAATAATTGTTATTAAATATAATTATTACTTAAATTTTATTTAGTTAAAAATTAACACATTACTCTGCAATTATAATGTATTAAAATTAAATTCTTAGAAAAACAGACAAGTCTGTTTAGGTCTAAATTTTAAATTTATAATCTAATTCACGATTTAATTTGGTTCAACAAATCAAAACTTTTATTTATTACATAAGTAAAATAAATATTATTTCTTAAATTAATAAAAAAATAACCTTTAAATTTAAAAATCCTCATTATTAATGTTTATATCAAGGAACATTAAATTTATTTTTTCATTAATGAGTTGAAAATAAACGTTTCTCTATTATTTATTATTTAACAGATTTTGATTATGTCAATTGAGGAATCGGATGGGATAGCTTACGAATTCCAAAAAAATAAATATGTGTGCAAAATAAAAAATAAATTAGTTTTTATAATCTTTGAATATTTTCACAGGAATTTTTCTCGAATTTCCTGTCCAAAAATTAATTAAAATAATTTTAAATTACATTATTTAGACGCATCGTGCCGCTGAGCCAGCAAATGGAGTACAACCTTTTGGTGCCATACACCTCAAACAGGACCAGAAATGTCGAGCTCCAGCGACGAGGCCCTTCTTACGGATTTGGTTTCTCGATTCGGGGCGGTCGTGAACACGGAACCGGCTTCTTTGTTTCGTTTGTCGAAGCAAACTCGGAGGCCTTTTTCCAAGGCCTCAAGGTATGAAGAAGACGCCCGAACTATTTGCACTTAAACTCGCGTCTCTTTCTCGCAGATTGGAGACCAGATCGTCCGAATCAATGGTTTTTCAGTCGAATACGCGATTCACAGGGAAGTCCTTCAACTCATCCAGAGCAGCACCCACCTCTATCTGAAAGTTCGCAGTGAGTAAATTAATAATTTAATTAATTACAATAATTACAAGTCGCAGATTAAATAAAAAGTGTTTATTATTTTTCCAAATACACAGAACGCGAAATCAGTGCAGGCTATTTTTAAAAATGACTTCAGCCACTTGAATTGAAATCTCAACACAAAACGCGCCGCTTTGAAACGGTGCGAATTACGCATTAATCTCAGTTAATCAGCTCGCACCATCTCTTCTTGTTCGACAATATTAATGATTTTGTTCGAATAATTATGAGAAGTGCTCCGTGTCGCCAGTAACTTGTCTGCGTTTTTCTTGACATTCCATTTTGCATAGCCTGCAATCAAAGGTCGTTCCGCCAGCACGTCAAATCAGAGCAGCGCACAATCGCAGCTAACGTGATCCGAGTGAGATTAGATTGGAATATTTAGGTAGCCAGATTTGATTGTCATCCGGACTGTCATTCTATAACGCAAACACAATGTTGCCAAAAAGAAATAAAAAATTTGCTTGATTTCTGAATTAATTTTAAATTATAATTTGTATTTTGAATTGACTTTTAATTTTGTTATATAATTCTTTATTTTAAAATTTATATTTTTAATATATTTATTAAGTAAAATAATTAATTTTTATTCCATGTACAAATTTTTTTGCATGCATGCAAAAATTTTAAAATAACTTAATTAATTCATATTTAAATCCTATTTTTACAATTATTTTACAAGCTAAAATGAATTCGAATTGAATCAAACTTAATGACTTAGTCCATTTTTTAAACAGTACAGAACAAAGACTCTGATTAATTTATTTCAAAGCGGCCGCCAATTTGCATTTTTCCGCTAACATGCTCTCAGATTTCACTTTCCAATTGTATATTTTAAAATGGAGCAAACGTTTTTTACTGAGGGGGAATGTTATTTGCATCCGAAGCTCTCGATTGAAATCCATACGCACAACAGAAGCCGTACGCTTTAGGCTGGTTTCCAATTCGCCATTACGTTATTCGTTTACGCATTACGTTGTTCGTTTTGCCAAGGAAATCGTATAAGCCGTTTCCAATTCACCAAAACGATACACGTAAACGGAATCCGAGTACAGCAAAACGTATAAGCGGTTTCCGATTCGCCAAAACGTACTCCGTAAACGTATTATGAGTGCCGACAGTGGTTTCCAATTCGCCAAAACGGACTCCGTAAACGTATTACGAGTGCCGACAGTGGTTTCCAATTCTCCAAAACGTAGTACGTTTACGTGCAACTCATTCCGAGCACCAAACGTGCTTCATACGTGATACGTACGTCGTTTTAATAAAAGTGCAACTTTTTGTTTCCGCTTCTGAATCATTATAATTGGTGCTTGTAATGAATTCTTAATTATCTCATCCATTTGAGTATAAAGTCCCTCAATTAGAGTTAATTTTCCACCAATTAAGTTAATTCGGTTATGGGGGTGAGCGGGGATGAGTTGAAGGAAATTAGTTTTATGTCAAGTGCGTAACATGATTATAGGCTAAAATTTTGTGAGGAAATCAATGGTGTATTTGATTTTAATGAAAAATGTTAATTTCAACCCTTAATTAGCAATTAACTCAAATAAAAACAAATTGAAGTGCAATACATGACATTAGGGTAAAATTTGAAGCCCAAGCGATTGCCAGCATCAATTTTGCGCTATCAATTTAATTTCATCCCCTAAATTGAAAAATAATGATGTTCACACAAATTTTAGAGCGAGACATTTTTAAATGGTAAAATTTGACGCCAAATCGTTTGCCAGAAGTTATTTTGCTCTAGAAAAATAATTTCAACCCCTAATTTGAAATTTCACGAAATTAACAACAATTTCAGAGCGAGATATGTTTAAGTGGTAAAATTTGACGCCAGATCGTTTACCAGAAGTTATTTTGCTCTAGAAAAATAATTTCAACCCCTAATTTGAAATTTCACGAAATTAACAACAATTTAAGAGCGAGATATGTTTAACTGGTAAAATTTGACGCCAGATCGTTTGCCAGAAGTTATTTTGCTCTAAAAATTTAATTTCAACCCCTAATTTGAAATTAATCAAAATTAACAACAATTTCTGAGCGAGATATGTTTAAGTGGTAAAATTTGACGCCATATCGTTCGCGAGAAGGTATTTTGCTCTAAAAAATAATTTCAACCCCTAATTCGTAATTTTATGGAATTAACAACAATTTAAGAGCGACAGTTGCTTTATGTATGTAATTTTAATGCTAGATCGATTTTCAAATGTTATTTTGCACTTAATTTGCTTAATTTTAGTTTCAACCCCTGATTTCCTTATTTATTAACTATTGTTTAATTTTTTTTTTTAGTTAAGTATGGCAATCAATGTGGCCATAAATTCGCTAAATTCAACTCATATCAACAAGTCTCGCTCTTAAGTTGTTGTTAATTTCATATAATTTCAAATTAGGGGTTGAAATTATTTTTCTAGAGCAAAATAACTTCTGGTAAACGATTTGGCGTCAAATTTTACCACTTAAACATATCTCGCTCTGAAATTGTTGTTAATTTCGTGAAATTTTAAAATTAGGGGTTGAAATTATTTTTCTAGAGCAAAATAACTTCTGGCAAACGATTTGGCGTCAAATTTTACCATTTAAACATGTCTCGCTCTAAAATTTGTGTGAACATCATTATTTTTCAATTTAGGGGATGAAATTAAATTGATAGCGCAAAATTGATGCTGGCAATCGCTTGGGCTTCAAATTTTACCCTAAAGTCATGTATTGCACTTCAATTTGTTTTTATTTGAGTTAATTGCTAATTAAGGGTTGAAATTAACATTTTTCATTAAAATCAAATACACCATTGATTTCCTCACAAAATTTTAGCCTATAATCATGTTACGCACTTGACATAAAACTAATTTCCTTCAACTCATCCCCGCTCACCCCCATAACCGAATTAACTTAATTGGTGGAAAATTAACTCTAATTGAGGGACTTTATACTCAAATGGATGAGATAATTAAGAATTCATTACAAGCACCAATTATAATGATTCAGAAGCGGAAACAAAAAGTTGCACTTTTATTAAAACGACGTACGTATCACGTATGAAGCACGTTTGGTGCTCGGAATGAGTTGCACGTAAACGTACTACGTTTTGGAGAATTGGAAACCACTGTCGGCACTCGTAATACGTTTACGGAGTCCGTTTTGGCGAATTGGAAACCACTGTCGGCACTCATAATACGTTTACGGAGTACGTTTTGGCGAATCGGAAACCGCTTATACGTTTTGCTGTACTCGGATTCCGTTTACGTGTATCGTTTTGGTGAATTGGAAACGGCTTATACGATTTCCTTGGCAAAACGAACAACGTAATGCGTAAACGAATAACGTAATGGCGAATTGGAAACCAGCCTTATTTGCAAAGAACTGTTTTTTTTTTCTGGCGAATATCAAACTTCTGAAGCCAATCGAATGTGTTTGGGGACTTCTTTAATTATATTTGATCGCTCTATCGCTCTTTATTTACTTTGAGGAAGAGATAGTGAAAGATTTAAGCCCCTGAATGTTATTTTAAGGCTTTTGGTGAATGTCAATGTCAATTTTTTTTTACTGCTATTGACATGTAATTCTCTCTGGAATATCTTAAAAGGCAAGGCGGCCACTAATCTTCCTTTTTATTACCTTTTTATACTTTAAGAATCATACAATGTTATTTGCATTTTTGGCACAAAAATTAAAATGAACCTTTTTTTAATAATAGAAAATCTAATTTTTCCTAAATAGTTCGATAAATTTTAGATTATAATTAGAAATAACTTTTTCTACTTAAAGTTAGAATTCCGTGAAGCTTTTGGGGAAAATGATTAAAAATAATAATATTTATTTTATGTGTAGATAATTTTTTTTCATTATTTGCAATTGTAGTGTTTTCATGAGACGCAAATTCAATGAAAATGATGAAATTTACTCTCTGCCGCGGATGCAAATGATTTTGGCCGCAAGTGCAGCGTGGCGTGACGCCAATTTCGAGCAACCCTCGCGCGTTTCCTGTCAGCGACACCGCTCTCTCCCCCTCCCCAGCACCAAACTCTAAACTCTCTGCACCTGGCGAAAAATACACCTTGCAGGTGAAACGAAACACCCCCTTGTTCTCTTTTTACCGCCCCGCCCGCTGCAATTCATTCGAAATCAATTAGACACAGGTCGCACTTTTCGACGGGTTATTGATCGGTGCCATCACTGGTTCCTCTCTCACTCGATCAGTGATCAGCCAGACAGATACAGGCACAGACACTTTTACACATCACTTTTACCAACTGCATCTGTTGTTATATTTTCAATTAAAAATAAATTATACTTTTTCAGGCGTTGGAATGATTCCAGTCAAAGAGTAAGTATTATTTATTATTATTTAAAAATAAATTATTAATTTTTCACTGCATGTTATTAATTTTTGCACATTTTTCTTTCTTTCGTTTGCGCATGATTATTATTTTACTAACGGCACCAATTTATTTTTTCCACTTTTCCTTCTGCACGATTAGTGGCAACTTTGACATGACCGAGGAAGAACTGTCCATCTTGCTGCATTACAATAACAGACCCGAGCGGGTTTCCCTGCCTTCGAACATTGGTTCCTCCAGACGCTCGGGTGTTGACACAACCAGACACGTGCCACCCAGTCTGGGAGAAACTGGCCGTAGCATCAGTCTGAACTCCGTAACGTACGCACCTTTCGCTGCTTCTTTCACATTTTTACACGCTTTTCTCACTAACCTTTTTTTTTTAATTTACTCTGGTTTGAATTGAAATTTCACACAAAAATAAAAATTTGAATGAGCAATTGAATGCCACGCTTTTGCAGCAAGAAACACGACTCGTTGACCTGGCAGATGGTCGAAGGACAACGGTCCGTTTCACCTACCCACTCTTCAGGTCGCACTCTGACACGCACATACTCAGAGGGCTCAATACTTGACAGGCAAATCGAAGAGACCAGGGACATCAAACTGTACCTGGACCTGACCGAACATTCAAGCTTAGGCGTCAGGTGAGCATCTTTAAAATTTTCCAAAATTTTATCAAACCAAGATGATATTAAAGAAAATTGAAATGTTGGAATGAAAATTCACTCTCGTATAGGAAAATTAAAAAAGCTGAAACTAAAATAAGATGCCATTGTTGGCCAACCTTGAAACAAATAATCTGTTGAAATGCTCGCATCTCCTTGCCAAATTAATTCTAGAAATGATTAGTTCCATTGAATTGAGTTTTCAAGGAAAAAATTTCAATTTTATTTATATTATTAAATTCTTTATAACGGCTTTTTTAATAAACTTAAATCCACAAATGGATAAACAAGTAATTTTCTTTTTTTTCAAATGTACAATAAATCTGAAAATAATTTCGTCATATTTTTTGGGTAGCATCTGCAAGGGAACAAAACAGCGACCTGGAATTTTCATTCAAAGCACTCGCGAGAACAGTTTGGCCCAGGAGGCTGGATTCCTCCCTGGAGACCAAATTATCGAATGCAACGGCTCCAATTTCGAGGACATTGAATTCAAAGAGGTCCGTCTATTTACTGCACAATTATGAAAAATTTTAGAAATAATATTTTCGTCTGCAGGCTGTAAAAATTTTGAAAGATTCAAAACATCTCGATCTTGTGATCAGACGGGGAGTCGTCGGGATGGAATTTTTCGGTGAGAGTTCTGGTTACAATTCGTCATCAAGCAGTGTCAATGGTGATCACCACACAGATGGAAGCAAACGCCTTTCCTTGATTACGGAAGACCCGGAGTAAGAATTATTTTATTTGAGATTAATGATGAGTTCGATTGTGCTGACATGCAAATTTTTTCCGCTTAATTTCACAGGGACGGCGAACGTAGCCGGTCTAACAGCCGTAGAGGCCCTGATGAAGCTCTGACCGTTGTGATGGAACATCCTGCTGACACAGTTGATTCTAAGGTCGGTCATTGTGAAATTCTCTTTTGTGTGCGCTCAGCCGGGGCGATCGGTTACTACGCGCTATAAATCGCGAACGCCTGCTTTTGTAGAATGTAGGCAGCATGCACGGCTTAGGGACTTGCCAGGTTGCATAAAAAACATTAATATTATTTTTGTGGTCCAAATTGCCAAGTTTTTCTTATACAGTTTCAGTAAAAGGAAGTAAAATCCTCTTAAATATTTTTTTTTTTTTTTTATTTTTTCACTTGATTATTTCAATTATAATTTTTCCAATTTTTCGTAGGAAAATTCAGATATTTTTCCATTTTTTGAGGTATTTAGATGCAAATTTTAATTGCAATTTAAAAAATTATATAAAATATTATATTTCAGGAGACTTTGGTCCGAGTTTTAGTGCACAGAGAGGCTGATGAGGAGCATCATCACACCATGAACCCACTGGCTCAGAGCTCTTCGGGAAGCTCTCTTTCCAGTTTTTCCTCCGCCGTCAGTCTTGAAGCCAAACGCAGAGCAGAGGTAAATTTCTAAGTCTAAGCTTTAAATAATTGGATTATATAAATTATCATTTTTCCCTTGGCCTTGGCTTTTGAGCCGGGTGTTTGATATGGCGTGTTATTGAAAAGGCTAATCTTAATTATTTTTTTCTTTATCCGCGTGACAACCACCAACTTATATGCCAAATGGCGCAAATCAAATTATAATTTGTAAGCCGCCTCTTTTATCATGAATTCATGGGTAAAGAAATTAAGTAGCCAGTTTATCTCTGCAGGAAATTAAATTTGCATTCCATTCTCTAATCGTTATCGACGGAGTTTAATTAATAATTGCATTAGTCGTCGGTGAACATCTAAAATCCGAGCACTTAGCAAGCTTCTGAGTGCATTCGCCGTTAGCCATTAATCCTCCTTTTTTTATTGTTCTCAGAGGCGCGAAGTAGATGACAATATCAGCATTTCGTCGGACATGCGACGGCCAAGCAGGGACGTGACCATCAAGGCCCTGCCGGCCGAGAGGAGGGAAAAGCATGCGCAGGTTAGTCCCTCTCCTTTCCACAGCAATTGGATGATGGAACCATTAATAAAAATAAAAGCTTTTGCGATAATTATGTGACATCTGAAAAAAGCAAGTTGAGATAAAATTGAGATAAAATCTTCTTAAACATCAAATTGCTTGTTAATCACAACAAAAAATTTTAAAATCTACCATGTAATACAATCGAAAGGTTTAAACGATGCAAATGGATTTTTTTGATAGTGGAATAACAAATTATTCAAGCTTATCTTTAGTTATTTGTGATTGGCCCGCCATAGTGCGTAGAACTAAAATTGAAATTATTTAATCAATATATTTCCATAATGTTCCATCGCAAGTAACGAGTGTCGGGGACAATGAACATCAACGTAATGCAATTATCCAAACTTCTCTAAGAATAATACGTTTAGGGATTAAAATTTATTTCTTTTTAGAATTCAGTAAACTCTTGTTGAGAGAAAAATAATTTAACATTTATTTATTTTTAGCTGATATTTCCAAAATATGGATAATTTATAAATAAAAAATTTGAATTCATAGTTGCATCTACATTTTTTTTTATTCATTTTTTTAATAAACTATCAAAAGATTTGGCCTGCCTTTAATTAAATTTTTATCCTCTCATCTTAACATTCCCTTTTTAACATTTTGTTTTCTTTGCGAAAAATGTTTTCATGCTTTTAACCCAAGTTTTTTTCCACAGCTCATGCAGGAATTCCAACAAGTCCACAAGACCATGTTTTCCAGCAACAACACCAGAGAATTCAGCACCTACCAGGTGAGAAAGTTATTTATATTTAAAAATTTATTTCGCAATTCAATCAATTGAAACATTTCTCTTCCAATTAAAAAAAGCTAACAAGCAATTGTGTGCCTCTCTCCGTAATTTCAAATCCAATTAAAAATGACAGCGTAAACGTGTGTAACTGCGAAAGTGCTGCTATATAGAGTGCGATAACATCATGACACAAGAGCATGAGCAGGAAGAATCAATTTCGTGCCGCGTCTCTGAAAATGAGCACTTATTGTTTTCACACTTTTGCCAACAAGAAAATGAGACAATGACATCAGCCGACGGTTAAATATTAGTCTAGAAAGAAAGACTTTTCTCGCTTTGCATGGAGGGGAAAAGTCGGAGTAAAAAACGAGAGCGTGATTCAAATCGCGAAATTTATTGCACTTTCAATATACCGACGGCCGCATTGTTTCTGTGTTTACAAAGCGTTGATAAAGCGCCGAAACTTATCGCGTGGTGACTCTTTAATGGCGCCGCGTGCGACTCTTTATGCTCCGAGGAATATACTCGTTCCAGCAGTCGATGAAGACATGCCGCACAGCAACGAGTCCGTCAGACCCTTGGTTACAGTGCGCGCTTACGAAGTACAGTACTTGCATCTCTTGCGTTTTTAAAACCCCTTTGGGTGTTATAGTAATTTTAAATTCAACTTTTGTTTTCTTGTCGAAATGCGTTTACTAAAAGTGCACCCTCGGAAATGTGATTTGCAGGATAGGGCCGAGAGCGCGAGAAAACTTTCAGAAAGAAACGCAGCCGCCGCAAATGCAGCCACCAGACAGGTAATTAAATCGTTTTAATTAAAAATATTTTTAATATAATGCTCATTTTTATAAACTTTATTTATTAATATGTCTCAAATTATTATTTTTTAATTAAATGTAGTTCTTTATTATACATTTTTTCTGGTAAATTACAATCAGTTCATAACTCTGCAGTCATAACTGCAGCTTTACATGGTCTTAATGGGTCAAAAAAGAGCAGCTGCTTTTCATCTTGCCAAAATTGTTGTCCATTTTTATTTAAATGAATTGGAGGAAAATTGATCGGCCCTTTTTGTCAGTAATTTTTAGACAAAATAAAGAAGTTTCTTATCTTCTGATTTCTGATTATATAAAAAAAATCACTGTTTCTTCTCGAAGTTCTGGGCAAACTTTGATGTATTGACGGCTTTGAATGGGATTAACATCAAAATAACCAAAACCAATCAAAATCTATAAACTCGTAGCGACAAAGAAATAGATAAGGACCTTCTAAACTTTGTTTGTTTTCTACTTGAATTATTTTTATGTATCAAATGCTTTTAATAAACCCATTAGCCTCTTTTCTACGTCGTTTAATTTTATCAAATTGCTGGATATAAAGCAATAGTTTCACGTCAAATTTGCTCACAGTTTATTTATATGTGTGTCAGCAGATGCGACTGTAAAAAGTTTATATTGTTTGTTGACCGTGCGTATAAAAGCATAAACGAAATTCCAAATTATGAAAATGGCACCTTGTTAGGCGGGGTAATTGACTATTAATTAGTAATGATACCAATTCCACGGTCTGCAGGTGATGTACCTGGAAAGAAGGTCGAGCGAGTCCGTCGAGATGCCCTCAATGGACACGCTCACCCTGAACCGCGGCTCAAACGGCCAGATCAAGCCGCCGGCCGTCTACTTTGGCGGCAAACCCGGCAAGAGCACCCCTGGGGTGGTCACCATCAACGAGTACCCGACGGACCGACGACCGAGCCCCAACAAACTGGACTTCCTGCCGCACACCAATGGACAACACAACGGAACCCACCAACATGACGACCCGCAAGGAGCCCTATCCAGTGAACTGCACTCTACACTGTCCAGGTATAAATTATCGAATTGATTTAATGTTGAAAATGGTTTATAGCAATTAAATTGAAAGAATCGTTAGTTATTTTCTCTATATGTTGCCTACTCAATTCATTATATTTTTTATTTATTTATATTTATAAACTTATACAATTTAAATTATTGTTTATAGTTTAATTATATTTTAAAAGGATAGAAAGTCTGAATAATTCTAGAAATTTAAAAAACTTGTTTTAAAAGATAGATTATTATTTTTAATAATTTTTTTTCCTTAAAAAATTATTTCAAAAAGAAAGGGTTTAGGACTTAAAAACAGACAGGTGTTTTGCATTTTTTTATCTTTTTTTTTTAATTAAAATTATCGAGATAGTTTTTCTTTTATAGATATCTTAAAAAAAATAACTTTGTTAGCTTTATAAAGAATATCGTCAAAAACCAATATCAAAACAGCTCAACAAAAAAATAAAATTTTATTAAAGAGATGTCAATATTTATATTAATTACATTTTCATTAATTAATTAATTAATCACAATTTCACAGATCTAATCGGCGACAGTTGTCGGAGCCAATGCCAACCCCTCCGCCGCCACCACTGTCCCCGCACCTCCAAGAAAACCACCACGAGCCACCCCGACAGGCAAAAGACCAGGAACGCGAACCGGTCAGGGTAGAGGTCAACGGAGACAGCGCCGATGCCCGAAGCAGGGCCCGCACCAAGCTCCAGGCCATTCACGCCCTGGCCAGGGCGAGGTCACCACCCCCTGTGGTGGCCAAGAAGCCCATCGCCATCCCCTACACTGAACTGGTCAACGCGAGAAACCAGTTGTTGTTCGACGACGCGCTCAGGATCCAGGTGGGTTTCGAACCCGAGTCTTCGGCCGAACACAGCCCCGCGCCCAATTCGCCCCAGATTATTTACTCGCCCCCCGTGTCAAAATCGACTGCCATCGTGAATGGCGCGAATCGAGCCGAGATGATCATGGACGCGCTCTCGAACAAAGTGACAATCAAGTTTCCGAACGGCAAGAGCGCCTCCTCGGCGGGCGCGAAAGGGTTGGACTCCCTTTTGGCGACGGCGCCCCCTCCCCAGACGGCCTGTCAGGGTATTTTGAAGAGCCCCGATCACGACGATCACCCGAAGCATAAAACAGTTATTCAACAGAAGAGCATTACTTTTGGTGAAATGTAAGAAAAGAGCGTGCGATTGAAAAAAAAAATCCAAAAATACACTAACATAGTTTAATAATTAAAAAAAAAACACAAAATATTATTAATCAAATATTAGTTAGGGTTGCGCGTTAAGTCAATTAAATGCTGCATTATATATATAATTCAAACAAACAAAATTAAGCGCTACTCAAAAGTTTCAGATTAAATTAATTATTTAATGTTCACAATCAATATTGTAAAAATTTTAGTCAAACACACATTTCATTTTTTTTTTTGTCATTACTAACATTGAATTTTTTTTATTGTTGATTTTTTTTAAATAGAAAAAACTGGAATAAAAAAACAAGCTACAATTACAGATGAATTTAGACTAAACGCAAAACCCAAATTTAAACACTTATTTAAAAATTAAAAAGCGCACAAAGAATTTCCAAATTTATTCACCTTCAAATAACCAACTTAGCTTTAAAATTACTAATTATTTCTTCTCCACAGCAACCAAATCTGACACCTATGAAGTTTCATTGTAAAAAAAGCTGATATTTAGCATGAAACAATGGTATAAAAATTTCCTTCAAGCGCACGCTCTTACTTGCACCACACCGCACTCTTTCAATACTTTATTACCTTTTTGCTTCGTCCTAACAAAATTAATTCTCTAAACGTCTCTAAATTGATCGCACCTTTCATTTCAGTCTCTTTTCAGGCTTAGCACTTGTATGTTTTAAAAAAAAATCATAATAATAAAAGGACCAATTTATTTTCATTAAATACGCCACTTTTTGCAGAACTACCATGATGACGTGCATTCAAATTCAGGAGTAAATCAGCACCCCAGGTGAATAATTGGAGGACTGAATGTGAAGAGATAAAAATTAGTCGTCGAGGGAAGCGAAGATTAAAAAATTTATGCTTGAAGCCTCTTTCATAATATACATTATAATACTTAGTCCGATATATTATATTTTTGAGTAGGATATTTTTTCAAAGAAAATCAATTTATATAAACACATGAAAGTGGTAGCAGTAGCCATCAAACAATTGATAATACAAATTAATGGCCTGTAAATAATTACGGATTCAAATGAATAAAGAAAGTAATCAATAGCAATTTTTTATTATGAAAGTGTTGATTTTGGTTATTTCTTTTTGTTAGATGCTGTATTTATGGCCAATAATCAATAATGCAATAATTAACAATTTGTTTGCATCATCTGTACTTTATGTGATTGAGATTTCTAAAAAAAAGTTGGCTTATTCATTGGTGATGATCATTCCATCATTTGTATATTTGTATTTCATAGATATATTCATAATTAAATATCCTATTGAGAATTATATGAGTTGTGAATATTCTGAACTTAAATAAATTGAAAAAAAAAAAATATTTTTTGGCTATCACTAAATTTTGAGATTTTTTCAAATACTTTTATTAGTGAGTTTTCAGATGTTTTATTTCAAATAAAAATTGTGGTAAAGATGCAATTACAAAACTATGGAAAACTTTGTATACAAATCAAGCAAAACATGATTCACATGATACATAAAGAAAATCTATAACCGTATTAAAAAAATGCAAAAAATTTATTCTTCCTTGGTCTTCAATCTCCACGCTCCAATGAAATATCTGAGCCAAATCAAGAATAAATCTCGGCCCATTTGCAACCAGCTCCAAACTGGTACAATTTTTGAACCTAAGAACGCAAGTTTAAATTTGTCTTTTAGTTTATTTTGAGAAAAAAATTACGAACCATCGACTTCTGTCCAACGAACAGCAACTTCTGTGATTGGAATTTTAAACTGCTGAGCTATGTACAAAAGCTCAACATCAAATGCCCTGTAAAACACAATTTTTAGTTTTAAAATCTGGGGTTAAAATTTTTTTAGTACCATCTTTCAATGTGCATATTTGAGAAACATTTGAGAGCAGCTGCTCTGGTGAGGAGTTTAAATCCACACTGAGTGTCTCGGATGCCTCGGACTGCAAAGAGCCACACCAGGAAATGGAAGCCGTGCATCAGAAAGGTGCGGAAAATGCTTCTGGATGCAATGGCGTCATCTTCCAAATGCGCCCTGGAGCCGCAAACAATCGCCAAAGCCTTCGCTGCATTTTCAGGGCTTTGCAAATAATCAACTAAATAGAAAATTTTTGAAATAAATATGAGTTTCACGAATAAGTTAATATATACTTTTCAAGCAATCTTTAAGGCTGTCCTCCAGCTTTTCCAAATCTTCAAATTTTGTGGCGCCGTCGGCATCAGCAAACAGCACCACTGCTCCCCTTGTGCTTTGGACTCCCTAACAAATTTTATCTTGTTAATAGTTTCTGTTCCTTTTTTCAGATTTATTAATTACCAGTCGAACTGCTCCTCCTTTTCCTCGATTAGGCTGAAGTTCCAAAACCCTCACAATTTCTGGTGTGTATTGCCTGGAATAATTTTGGGCCAGCTGGACGGTTTTGTCCGTGCTGCCATCACTGACCACGATCACCTCGTACGTGAAGCCAGAAAGATTATTTTTCCGCTGACTCAAGTATTCCAGACACTCGTCCAACATGACGGACACTATAATTGCATGATTATAAAAATTTTTTCAACAAATGATTTAAAAAAGAAAATTATTTATACATACATCGAGCTTCTTCATTGTAGGCAGGAACAACTACTGATAGGCTGACTGCAGACTTTTCCTCCTCCAAAGGAAATTTAATTCTTTGGTTCTCCACCGGATCGAGGAAATAGTTTTCCTTTTCCGAACGGACGATGTTCGGATGGGGTTTGCTTATCTTCTTCAGAACCAAACACAGCTGAAAATTGGAAGATTTATAGAAAAATAATAAAAATAATTAAAATTTTCTTCAAACTGACCAAGACGAAGAGAAGGACTGCCAACAAAAGGCCGTAGAAAATCACAGTGGATAGGAATGAAATGAGACCGTCCATTTCAGCACTCGTCCTCAACTATTCATGGTTCTCGATGTAATAAAAGATTGGTCAGCAGCTTCTCTCAGGACCCACGTCGCACTCCGAAAGGTCGCGAAAAGTATCAACGTATGACACAAGTCAGCTGGATTTGTTTACTACAGCCGGCACGTCGGGTCGCTGTTTACTTGCTTGAATTTCTGTAGGGAGCGATTCTCTCGAACGCGATTTGCTGGGACCATATTATAGCGATCATCATTGCATGACCTTGTAATGTTATGCTTATGATCAAGGTCAACGTCAAATGGTGCTATAATGAGCAATACGGCGCTCAGGATCAGATTGGCGCTGGTGTCGGTATTCGCCGGAGAACGAAATTGAGGAATGGCGGTCGATAAACAAAGATGTTCGGCATCAGTGATTCTCGTCTGAAAAATGATGTTCCAAAGGTGAGAGGAGCTGCGAACTAAATCAAGCACCTTTCACCGCTTTGTATGTATTTTTTGTTTTTGAAATTTGAACCAAATCTTTTCGACCGAGCTAAATTGAGAACTTAAAATTTATAATCGGGAAGAGATTTTTTGCACATTTTTTATTTTCATTTTACGCTCGTGTAAACATGTGTGCTTGATATGTGTGATTATTTTTGTTCTAGGGCACCTTCTCTGAGCAGTAAAGCAAGTAGTTTAGAGGCGGCCGCTGAGGCTGCTGCCAAAGTCAGCGCTATGTTGATGGCCAAGGGAAAAGTTCGCTCGGGAAGTTTAAATTCTTCAAAGATCAGCGTTAAAGTAGGATTTAATTAAATTTATACAATTGTTCATAATCGAATTATTATTACTTTAGGATAATAACTTGAACAAGTCTGCCGGAGATTTATTCACGGCTGAGGTGGAAATAAACGATGCGCCCCTTTCGGCCAGAAATCTCCTCACAAGGGGTCACACACAGGACGAGATCAACAAATTCTCTGGCGCTGCTGTGTCCACTCGAGGCCGCTACATGACCTATGAGGACCGGGCTAAAAACCCAACCGAACGACCACTTTATTTGTATGTGCAGGCGTCCGAGAAGAGTGCCCTTGACCGTAATCAATCAAGATTTTTATTTTTACAAAAATTAAATTTATCTTTTTTAGTGGGAGTGCAGCGGATCCATGAAATAATTCACCAGCACATGGGCCAAGTACCGGTGCAGCCGGCTCCCAACACAAACAGTCCTTCCAACAATAAACGTCCAAAATATAACAATAACAAGTTTTCCCGCAACCCCAGTCAGCAGATGAACGTTAGACCTCCGCCTTTGATGAGCATTCAAACTTCGCCACCCTCGTTCCTGCATGTGGACAAAGTGTACATCTGCTTAGACCACGCTGGCCCGGCGTTTGATCTGAAAAATAAAGTGCTCGGCTTCAATAACACAAATTTCAACTTCATCCACAATGAGTCTGGGAGCAACTTGAGTCTGAGGGGAAAGGGCTCTGGTAACAACGATCCGGCCACAAACATGGAGTCCACTGAACCTATGCATATTTATCTCGAGTGAGTAAAATGAAATTTCCAGCCGCTGGCAAATAAATTCGGGTCCACAAACAATTTGAATGAAAATAAAAATTATTATAAATTATGTTAAAGAGATCAGCAGTTATCCTTATTTTTAATTTTTTGCCTATTTCAGGAGTTCAAGTCTTGATATGCTGCAGAAAGGCAAGGAATGTGCCCAAGATTTGGTCAATACCCTGCAGCAAGACTTCCTAGCATGGCACCAACAACAGGCGGCCCAACAGCAACAAATGGGTGCCATAGCATCAATGCAGCAACCCATCCAAGGTTTGCTTATCCTTGGTGTGATTTAATTCTTAATTTGTAACATTTAAACCCCAGCTCAATTTCAAACTGTGACTGTGAGCTCGATTGGTCAGCCGTCTGTAGTTTCAATTCATCAAGCCATACCACATTGCCAGCAAGAAATGATGCCCCATCAGCCTGGAATGCCTCCACCAATGAATCAGCCTAGTAAAATTAAATTTTAGGTAAAAAAAAATGTATATCCTAAACAAATTTTTAGTGGGCCAAATGCCGCCCGGAATGCACCATCCACCCCCACCAGCCATGGGTCCGCCTCCGACACATTTGCTGCCGCCTCCACCTTTGCAAGGACCACCACCTCCGCATCAGTTCATGGCACCTGGACAAAATCATCAAGGATTTGTGCAGCAAGCGCCTCTGCCGATGGCACCACCAAACCAGCAAAATATTACAATGGTTAGGACCCTAACATTATTTGCTATCAATATTTCTCAAACATTTAAATGCTTTTTGTTCTCAAATTCTCTATGTATGCCTTATTTTTGATAATTCTCTATCTGAGAAAGAATTCTTGTGTTTTAAATTAAATTTTTATTTTTTGTTGTGACAGGTGGTCAGCAGTCCAAGTATGGTGATTCAACACCAGCAGTTGCCACCTCCACCTTCCCCTCAGCAGAATCAGCACATGCCCCTCTTGCACGGGCCGCCCCCGACGTACTCTCAACCTCCACCTCATCCACCGAATCAGATAATTTACTCAAATCAGCCACCCCCAAATGTCCACCATCCACCACCTCAGGTGATGCCGCATCCACCTCCGCTCCCACCAGGTCAGCCTGCCATGGTTCACCATCATCAGCAACAAATTTACAATTATCCAGTAAGTAATTCTTTACTGTCTCTGGATGAAAGTTTACATTGTGAACCTCACAGCAGTATCTGCAGCCTGGCCCCAATGCTGGCCCACCCCCTGCTCCTCTGGCGGGAGCACCGGCACCTTTTCCTGGCTACCCTGGTGGTCCCCCAGCTGGCTTCAGGCCTGATTCTCAAATACTAAGGCATCCGCCTCCTCATCCTCACAAAAGGAAATTTTCCGACGCCCCCGGAGACAATGAAATGTACCAGCAGCAGGTGCGTTTTTTCAAATGATTTAGTTTCCACCAAAAACTTACACATTTTATTGATCCAGGTGCCACATTCGTTGGTGGGACATCCACCTCCTGTGCCACCGCCTGTCCATCACCTTCAGAATCCCATGAACCAGCGTGGCAATGGGTATGTATCTTAGAATATGCTCGATAATTTAAAAGTTTTGTGCTGTAAATGCAACATTAATGCGCCTCTCTTCCATCTAGCTGTGTGCTGATATTGATTCTCTGATTTTTACTCTTTCCACTTAAAAGATCTCATCCCGGACTAAGATGTCAAAATTCTAATACTGCTGATCGAAAAAAAAAATTGATTTTCTCAGAACTAAATACTGATTTCTTTGCTCGTTGCAGAGAGTTAAATTTTGGCCGTGTTAAGCCCACCCCGAAAGTGTAATTTCCGAATCAAGCTGTCCTTACCTAATAACTAGCTCAGTCAATATCGACGCCACATAAATAAAACTTGTTCAATTCGCCCCACGCCTATATAAAAGCCTCGTTCTAAACACTACATTAATAAAAGCTCTAGTTGCCCCGTTAACCAAGACCCGAAGGAATATTGCGATGGTAATATGAATGGCATTTAAATTTGTCTAATGTTCTGTTTGCCAGCATGATTGAGATGCTGATGCCAGCGCAGATGCACCAGCAGCCGCCCGGCGCCTCTCCCCCCAACAACCTCCCCATGCCCTTGCCCATAAACAAAGATCAGCAATCGCCTCCCGAAGGAGCTGCCCCGGAGAGAGACAAACAACTAATGCCACCTCCCCCTCCCCCACCCATCTCCTCCACAGGTTGGTAACTCTCAGATTCCTGTCTGGAATCTATAATATTAAAAATGATTGTTCTATCAAGTGCTGTGTCCTTAAATCGCGACTGAACATGTCACATTTCTAGAGCCCTGTTGCTGTCATTGCAAGGTGGTATTTTTTATATTTGGCTCTCACTCTTTCCTCTATCCAATAAGAGAATGTTTCCTTTTCAGGGACCTTTTTGTTTGACAGGTAGGTGCTTCTCTGTATACAGGCTCGGATAATTTCCAAAGTATTTTTGGAAAGTTTTCCGTGCGTGAAACAAACAAGAATATATTTACTGCCAGTGCTCTGCGATCACTGATACCATTCTACATTCCTAGGGATGACTCGGTTCATTCAGCACACCTCTGTGCCTTTAATTATTACAAATTAATGCAAACAATTGATTATTGTTTTTCTGTTTGTTTTTTTTTTATTTTGAGTTTCTCTTTTAATGAATTATGCAATTTTCCACCGCCTTAGCTTTTTGAGTCTGCGCAAAAGCTAACCAAATTTTACCCCCATCTATTGATTAGACGACCCTTGTGTGTACTTTTATAATTTTTTTGATTTCGTTTTCCAATTTTGGCTTTTGATTATTTTCAGTTGGTGGAATAAACAAACGTCTACACTTTTTAGCAGTGTAAAGATTCACCCCTCTGCGCACTGATTGGTTAATTAATTGGTTGATTTTGTTCCTTTCCCTTTACATTATATTCACATCAGTTTGTCTTGTGCGTGATTACACTGCTAATCTTGTGTGTATCTCTTAGCGAAAAGTACCCATAATGTTTTGTAAGTACCAGCATGGAGTTTTTTTTAACCACACACACGTACTGGCTATAACTTCTAGATTTGCAGCCTTGAAGGTGGATGATGCGGTTCTGCCCAGACTAAAAACTGCTACTAATTTAATATTTAAAAATACTTAATTAATTTTTTGTTTCAATTGGCCTGAAATGATCGTTTTGTTTCCTATATTATTACGTACATACTTTTCTTAAAACTGGTTGTTGGTTTATTGGCTATTAAATGACATGTTTTTATTCTAATTAGACAAACTTCTTATTAGAGCAAACATTATAATATACATTTTCAAAAAATAAACAAAAATGCATCTTGCTACTTCACGGAGAAGAAAACTTGCTTAATTTTACTTCAGTGTTGGAGGCGCTTTTAGTAGATTTGAAACCGTGTGTTGCAGTTCGGTTGGAGTGCTCTTGCATGTCTGACTGCTAGTTTACTATGACCAATTTATTGTTCGGCTGCATGCAATTTGTCTTTCTGAAAATTAAAAAAAAAAATACTAGTATGGTTTGGAAAAAAACGAGCCCCTCTGAAAACAGCACAACAAACTTTCAACCAACTAGAGTGTGATATATATGTGTCCAGCAATGCCCTCGACTCTTTCCAAACAAATGAAAATATCAAAAATTCCTCTAAAAAAAAGAAACGGAGTGTAGACACCTTTTTTGTGTTCTTCGCACTTTGCCTTTCATCACCAGTCACACAAACTCGCGCCTAAAGAGCGTTTTGGTTGCAGACGCAGACCCTTGGGCGACCAATTTTAAGAGCAAATTATTATATTATATATTACTTAAATTTACTTTTTCTTCATTGCATGCTATATACATATAAATATTTATTGAATATTATTTCAGAATCTTGTTCCCTTGGTAAGTGTCCAAACTGCGGCAAACGTGCATAGCAACCTTTCGTCCCCCAGAGAACAATTATTAATATTTTGTCAAAATTGCTGGAGCTGCGTAGGCTGATTGTTTCCTTTCTTGTTTAGGTGAGAACAAGCAAAACCACGGTGAACCCGACAGCAAGAAGAGAAAAATATCAGGTCATCCTGGCGTCAACCCTGTCAGACACAATGGTAAATTTCTTTTTTTTTTCAAAATACTTATACTTTCATCAGTTTAAACTTTAAAACTAAAAGTCAATATCATGTTTTAAAAATGCAGCCAAACAGAAATTTAAAAAAAAAATCTTTTTAGTGATAATTTTTAAAGAATATAAATTATTAAATCAAAAACTTTTACGTTTTTATTTTCTATTGATAAATATTGTTTTTCTAAATTTGAACATTAATTTCATTTCAGTTTATGAGTGTGACGGTCGTGATGGGAGTGAAGAGTTACCTGGCGATGACCCTAAGGGCAGCTTCAACGGCCAACGTGGCCCTCCAGGCTACAAACAATCTCAGCCAACCTTCAACCACTACTCGTCGAAGCCGCAGCTCTACTCGGCAGCTCCACCTTCGTACCAGGGCATGTACCAGACACCGCCACCCCAGCAGCCACACGGTCCACCCCCTCCTCAGCAACCCATGGGGCAGCTGATGAATCCGCCCCAGCCTCACTACAGCAACGGAGGCGCCTTCCATCCACACCCGCAGCAGCAGTATGGAAATCAGGGCATGCCCTTTTGGATGCCACCCCAGCAATAATCACTTATTTTTTCGGCAGCTGCCTTCATTTATTTTAAGGATTTTGCTTTTGATTTTTGGATTTTGATTTTCCATCAAAATGAAATTTTTTACCTTTCTTTTCATCCTGCGTATTATGGCATGTGTGCCGAACGATTTTTATTTATTGAAAATTGCAATTTGAGCATTTACGGACAGACTGATTCAATCACCTTCGCCGAAGGCAGTGAAGTGCAAAGTTTTTGTTGTTCGCAGCAACCACTAGTGAGAAAAGAAATGATCTAGCTTTTAATTAATCGCGTAGCTCCGAGTATTAACTTAAATGTAAAAAGTAGGTTTAACGGCGTCAATCGATGTTGAAAAAAAAATATAGCGTGTACCTCTCTGAACAACACCGCAATACCGCAAAATATTTAACATTTTCTTGCCGTAATTACGCATTGACTGCAATATTTTTGTGGTTCACTAACCAATAAATACACAAAATTAGGATTGAAAAAAGCAATTCGAACCAACAGAAACAGCAATTGTTTTATTTGCAGAAACCATTGTTTTTAGAAATTTTCGTCAATCTTAAAATATCAAGACTACATATTGTTTTGCAATCAGAGATCATTAAAGCTTGCATTTAGAAAATACAAACCAACAGATGCTGCTAGAACTTCTTGGCTAGATCCATGTTTCTGACTAAACTCGTAATAAAGCAAGAATGAATATTGATAATAAAAATAAATTTATGAAACTTGCAAGTTTAATCAATTTATTTAATATATAAATGAATATTGAAGACCTTGTAATTTATAAAAAAAAATTGAATAATTTTAAATTTTTAAATATTAACTAATAATCACACCTTTCTCTGCATTCTGGACTCTCTGGAGTGAAAAGAGAGAGTGTGGGTGGGAGTTCATTATTTTCATTCCTAATTTCAATGCTTCTCATTGTGCAGGACTACAGGTGGCAGTGGCGCTCCCTCCAACCCTCCCTCATTTCTTTTTCCTCGCCCCTCGCTGGCTGCCTGAGCGCTGGCGTCTCCAGAAATCCAGAAACTTTCTTGCTTCAAGATTCAGGAAAAATGGCGAAGCGGGCAAATTTATCAGCAATCAACCCTATCTCACCGAATTAAGGCGAGTAAATGGATTTTCTCGCCGCGCCGACCACTCGGAAGTTTCACCACATTCATTGACCAGGCATGTGTAATGTGTACCAAAATTGATCGTATCCATCCGAATTTTTATAATAATTTATCGTCAAAAATGATCCCTTTGTCTGACAGAAATTCTCATTGATTCTTAATAAATCCATGGTACATAAATCAGTGAGACCCTCGCTGTTTCAAACCAAAATTTTCTGTGATTCTAGACGTGGACATTCGACAGGCCAGACGAGAAGTCACTCGTCACCTATACACATGACTTTGTACTTTGTATACATTTCATCCCTGCTCGATGCGACGACAACCCCGAACGGAAGTGTCACCTCACCGCATTCATTGACTGGACCCAGGTATGTACCAAATTTTTGGATTCGACCGCGTTTTTTTAATAATTTATCGACTTAAATTATTTCCTTGATCGCTGCACTTTTCCATTGAAAAATTGAGCTTTCTTTTAAGAATTCGCACCATCTTTTTACCATACGAGAGGCCACGTCTGACAAATTCTTATGAGACCTCACTGCTTTTAAGAAGAATCAAGAATAATAAAATAATTTCAAAGTCAAGCTAAGCAAGTCATAGGCTAAGCTCTGTCCACCAAAACTGCAAAAGTGGGATATCAAATAACGAGCTGTAATTTCTTGTCAGGATGAAATAATATTTTGAATGTACTTTTGAATAATATATATTATACTAAATGAGGCGAACAATCAGCTTTCAAAAGATACGGAGCACACAATGCAGCTGCCTAAAGAAATTATGTAGTTTGAAGGTTGCTCTGTCTCTGGTCATTGCATTCATTTGAAAGGGAAAACTACAATTCTTGACCGGTTGCGGCAAATTGGATTCATGGTCTATTGTGGAGTGAATTTGGGTTATCTCCGAATCAAACGTGAGGGTAACGAGAAATTAAAAATTAAAAAGTCTTAAGATCACTTTTCAATACGTGAGGACTGACACGTTACTTCATTTGAAAGGGAAAATACAAACGTCATTATTTAATAATTAATCAATTTATTTATTTCCATTCATCACCAATCGCAAACATTAATGAATAAATTTAGGAAAGTTCATTTTGAAATGTGGTTTTTATAAATTTTTTACAGTAAATATTTAGTTTTAACTAGCGTTGTATTTACACGAACATGCAATTTAATTGCTAAATTGAAGAGCACTTTACGTAACAATCCAATTAAAGGAGCTCTCGGAATGCTGCACGTCCGCTTCCACAATTGCGACACAATTGGTTTTATTCGGTTCGTTTTCAAGCGGCGGATGAGTTCACACGCACAATACCCTTTGCAATGTTGAATTTCCATACTAGGGTCGATCGCGACTCAAAAGTTACACCACACGCATTTTCAAGCCGCAAAAGACGCGGAATTCGCAGGAAAACGAAAGTTAAATTAACACGTGTGCGCCTCTCGTCATTATTTTTTCCCAGAGGATATAGGAAACGAAAGGATGTATTTTATTTTTGAAAAGTGCGGAAAGTTCAACGGAAACCTCATGAACATTGGAATTTAATAAAAACAATCCTTTGTTATAGATTTGAAAAATAACATCATAAATAACTTCTTGGTGCGGTTGATTCAAAATAGGCTAATTAAAGCCTGTAAATTGAACATAAGAATTTGAAATTATGCAGATTTAATTTTAATTGTTGAGCGAACCGGATTTTTATGAAAAAAAAATGCTAAAATACGCTAAAATATATAATTCACTCATTGCGGCGGCGGACAGCAAAATTCTTGCCGTTTTGTCCAACTCTCGTCCTCTCGGTTCAAATAAATTGTTTTCAGCAATTGAATAAACAATGTATTGTAACAATGGACAAAAAACAACAACAATAATTATATAATATTAATAATTAAACACGGTTAAGTATAAAAAATTTTGCATTTCACGAACTTGCATAACAACTTAAACAATAAAATTGAATACATTTCATTATTTTCTTAAAATTTTCATGGCATAGCATTTTTTACAACGTGCATTTTTTTTTTTAAATTTTTGCCCTATCCAATCAAAGTACTCAAATAAAATAATAATAATAAAATTACCAAACAAAGATCTTCTACCTATCCCCAAAAATTTGACGTTTCCCATTGGTTTGATTTATGCATTGTGTATTTTTTATTTTAAAATGTGATGTGTTTTTTTACTTCATTATTATTATTTTATTAAATTGGGTTAGGTTTTAATTTAGTTTGGTTAGATAGATGAATCAATAGCCTGAGAAGGGATTTCTTTTGCATAAAAAAAAATTTGCTGACTAGGTCGCGGGCCTTGTGAAGGCGCCAGTGCTCCGTAGCTAGCTACGTACGAATTCGGAGGGGCCATGAAAGCGCCTAAAAGAGAGAATTTAACAAGCTACAACTCAATTAAACAGACTCATTTCTCCATGAATTTGTAAGTTTCAATCTTGAAATATGTGTATTCGTTTTTTGATTGTGTTGTAAAATCTCTAACTCTTTCAATTACATGAACTTTTTATTCATTAAGTTTTTTAATTTCATTGAGATCTTCTTATTTAACCATTGTTTAATTGAACAGAAATAGTACAATTTTGTAGTAGAAGTTCACGATCGAGGGTTGATTCATGGTGGATTGAATTTAAATTCGGCTTTTCCTCGATGGGTTTTTGTTGTTATTCTTAAACAATAAAAACTCACAAAAACCCATCGAGGAAAAGCCGAATTTAAAGTCAATCCACCAGAAATAGTACAATTTTCAATAACATGTATATTTCCACTAAATTAAGTTAAGATATCAATTTGTGTCAATTCAGTCAAAATTAAGAAAGATATTTGCGCACCGGTCTTTTTGAAAGGGACTATAATAATTTTTTCTAGAGATTTATAATCAAAATTCCTTAGAGCAAAGTTAAATAAAATAATTCTTAATTTTGTAGTTTTATTTTTCTATTGAGAAGTAGATGAACGAGTTGAATGTTTATATCTACTTTTGAGCAAAGAAAACTTGGGTTCCTATAAAAGGCGCGAAATGTGTAACCCGTTCTCCCTTGGTCACTTTCTTTCTTTCTTTCTTGAGAGGCGCAAGTGGCTCCGCGTGCGCTCGGGATGCCGCCGCCGCCGGTCCTGCACGCGCTAGGTCAAGGTCAGCGGAAAAAGCGCGAGAGCAAGAAATTCTCAGCGGAATTTATATAGAGAGAGACGATTTCAAGGTACATTCATTCGGAAAGAAATGTGCGAAGGAAGAAATATGCGTGCCGCCGGCCGCGCTTTCCCTCTCGCTGGGTGTTATTGCTGTTAACAACTAAACACACACACACATTGGATGAGTGCGCGTGATCCACATTTTATCTGAAAATAAGTTGCTTTAAATAGGAGGTCGCATATTTAATAAGTCATGCGTCAAAGAAAAAAAAATTGATCATTGGAAAGTAACAAAAATTAATTAAAAGGAATGGTGAGCTTAAATTGCTAGTTATAAATTCCTGCGCTCTTTAATTAATGATTAAATTAAAATAATTGTAATTTTGATTAAGTTTGCCTTTTTTAAATTTGAACTCTTAAATTATGACTCACAACCAGTATTCAAAAATTGAGAATGAAAATTAGCAAGTAGGGATTTTAAATTAAAATGTTTTCGCTAATTTTTTTTTAATAAATTATCAATTGAGAGCAGGAATTCTGAGTGAGAACTGAATTTCTTAAAATTGACCATAAATTTACAATCATATTATTTAATATATTGAACTCATTCAGGTTTTAACCAATAAATTTCAATTATTAAGACAATTCACCGCTCTGAAGATTTGTGTTAACATTTTTATAAAAAGCTGTGCAAATCTTAAAATTAACATTTATTTTTAAGCAACAAAACGAATTATTTTCTGTCGTTGTAGTGAGCAGTGGGGGAATCTTTGCACATTTATGTGGAAATGAAATAACTAAATATAAATTTATATATTGTTTATTTGTCCACATTGTTGCATAATATGATAATAATATTGTTTAAATTCAATTGTTAAAAACTAAAAATTATATTGAAATAAAAATGGAATTATTGGAAAAAACAGCACAACCACTAACAAGAATTTTGCTGAAACTTCCGAGGTTAAGAACTCCTTATTGGCATAGTCAAATCAGGTCTCTTTAACAATGAAGGTTAAAATTTACAATAATCGCAGGACTTGGCTCTCATTGTTGTAAAGACCTGATTTTGGTTATTGTTTTTTTAATTATTCTTTAACACATTGATTTGCGTGAGAATAATTTATCATTCATAGACCAAACAGCTAGCAGGAATTTTGAAAAAAAAAGTCAATTCTTCGTGAGGAACACAGTTTAGCTTTACTGCAACAAAACAGTTGAATAGTTTGTTCTCTTTTAAAAATGTTTTTTTATTCAAAAACAAAAAGGCACAATCAAATAGATATTTTTTCCCAACGAGGACAAAGTCCATTTTCCTCAAAGTCTCCTCAAATATCAATTTCTTTAAAAACAATTTCCAATACATGATTAAATTTGCTCAAAATTGTTTTTCAGTCGAATGATGGCGACCCTTTGACAAGAGCCTTCAGCAGCTGACTAAGTTGAAGTCCATCGACTTTGGCGGAAGGTGCAGCGGCGGTGGCAAGTCCCTGCCTACCTTTCACTGGCCGGCCCAACGGCAGCAATGCTGGCTGAGCCCGCCCGACCGCCTCGGCTGGCCTACATGGAACTTTTGAAAACTGGAACAGTATAAGAGGCGTATGGACCGCATCTCTCGTCCGGACTTTCTAAGCAGCAGCCTCCGGAAACACAACTCCTCCCAGTAACCAAAGAAACGAAAGGCATGCACACCTGAAGAAGGCACTCGCGCGCCGACCACCGACACCGACGGACCTCAGTAGTAGTGCGGCGGGTGCAGTTTATTCTTGCCGACATCTCCGTCCGCACACTTGTTGCGCCGCACACAAGGAACTTCGCCATCGAGCGCGCAACTCCGTCCTCTGCTTCCGCACCAGGAACAGCAAAGTTAAACAAAAGTGAGTACTTCTTCTTTATTCAAATTTGAAATATATTAAAAAATTCATCAATTTACTCAAATTAGTCGATTTAATAAAAAAATTGTCAATTTTTCTCAAATCCAAAATAGTAAATATAAATATTTTTTTTAAATTTTAAAATGATTTAATTTTTCTGTCATTTTATTTTCAAAACATTTTGTTTTCAAGTCCCGGCCTATCAAAAAAATAATTTATATTTTAATCTAACAAATTGATCAAGACATCAATTACGCTTCTTATTATTAGGTTTCAATTAATTTAATTTTTCTGAAAACATTTATTTTGAAAGAGAAGTGCAATTTTTTTTTGTAGCAAATGAAAAAGTTTTGTAAGAAATATATTTAAATATTATTTTTGATTGATCTTATAAATTAAATCTATTTTAGGAAATTATCAAACTCAAATTTATGGAATAAAATTCAATCATTTAATAAAACTAAATTGAGTTTAGAATCGATAATAATTTCCTATAGGAATAAAATAAAAATTGTTGAAGAAATTTCAGTTTTTAACTTTAAAAATCTTTTTATTATAAAAGATAAATAATTTTTTTTACTTTTGTTTAAAAAAAAAGGATAATTTTTCATCAATTCCAATAATTTTTAAATAAAAATTTAAAATATTTTAATCATGCTACTTTTTTTTAAAATACGGTAAATTGTTCCATCTAATTTAATTTATATCAATTAACGTGGCACAGAAACAGTAAATTTGCTCCAAATTATTGATTAATTGAAATTACTGCCAATTATCATAATTGAATGCAAATCGCGAATCTCCACCATAAAAAATTTTAAATTTGTTACACTTTTCTGGACTCGCCGATGCATATCCGGATTTCGCACGATTTCGCTACGAATTACGATTATTATCTGAATCAATTTCCGTGAAATCAATTTGGCATAATATTTGTGCATTCCGGTCAATTTTGACACAGATTTCACGGCGTCGTGCGTCTCTCGGTTGACAGACGCGTGCTGCGTCTACGTGTGTTTTATGGCCGATCTCTTCTCGCGCGCGCATAATTATCAATTTCTCGTTTGATTCTATACAAACCGTCCGCAGTATATAGAGTTTCTCGCGGTATATAATTAGTGAAAGTAGATTAATGAGAGTGAGTTGATGGCCAGTGGGCTGAGCGTTCCTGATGTTTAGCGGCCCCGACAACTCGTTCATCTATTTCATTTATTTTAATTTCGAGCGAAATTCGTCCGTTGCAATTAAGACTGGATAGCAATTTTATATAAACTTGGCCAACTTCCGAGAAGGGGCTTCGATTAAGGATTCAAGTCACGCGGAAATAGTGATCGTCTGGCTCACATTTGGCCCGTGATTATTATGGTTTTTTATGGAAATTAAGACTCTTGGGTTTCGTCACCTGCTCCGCATTGCGCAATAAGAAGTCACTTTCGAGATTAAATTGTGCAACGAAATTTGAATTTAATATTAATATAGGAGTGGTTTAATTTCTGCAATTTAAATATGAGATTAAAATTGCGAAACACTAATTGCTACAAAATTTAAAATTAAGGTCACGGTCCGAAATTTTCAAAATTTCATCAAACTTACTTTTAGTTTCATTTAAAAATTAATAATTTTTTTTAATTAACGATATGAAATTTGATTGGACAGAGGACAAAACAATTTAAAAAGGCCTTTCCTTTAAAGAAGTTAATTCTCACCCTTCAATGAACCTGCTCATTAATAACCGAGCAAAGGTTACATTTTATACTTCATGCTTCTTTTTCTGCGCTCGTGGAAATTACGAGTCTCACACGACACGGCCGTGCACTTTACATAACACAGGAAGCCGCTCATCATCACACGGACTAATTACTCGCGCAAGCAGATGCTCAATGTCAGGAGCACTTAGAACAAACATTGTTTGCTCGGTACATGATTTTTAACAAGTATAAAAAAATAAGGCCCAATCTCTATTTTTAATTTTCTCTCTCTCTTAATTATCGCACTTCTTGTTAACGAGTTAATTAAATAATTAGATCCGCCTTTAATCTCATCCTTTCGAATTTTTGAAACATGCAATTATCAAATTTTTGCATTTCGGACTTTCTTCGCCAATTCTTATCTTCCCACGATTAACCATTCTTTCCTCGCCTAATTGCCAGCAATAAACGCTTCCCGGCGACAAACACCAATTAAAAGGAGAGGCCCCGTTAATTCAAGATGTCGTCGAGGCCTCGTTTGAATATATGGGAAAAGTAGTTTCTCGTACACAATATTTTCGTTTTATTATTATTACTCGTGTATATAATAATTCTTTTAGAAAGCCTTGCTGAATTTCACATTTGAAAACACACGCGTGTGTTGTTTTAGCAGAAAGCCCTAAGTATTTTTTTTTTTTTACCATGCCGCGCTGAAACAACAAAAATTTTTGCGCCCAGTTTGTTTTGCCGGCGGACAATTTATGAATGCACCGGGGTGAAATTCGCGCTCTTTGCAAAAGCACCGCATGTCCATTAATTATTTGCGTGATGCAGATTGCGGCGGACCACAGCGCAAAAATAAAAAACAAGAGGGTGGACCAACAACTACGACCAACTAACTCTGTTGCGGTGTTCATTTGACCTTTTTGGGAAGATAAACCCGCACGGTCTGCAAATGAAAATATTGCCTTTGTGATTCAAAATAACAAATTCAAACAATATGGTGTTATTTTTCAGTAATTTTTCAATTGTATAAAAAAATGGCATCTTTATAATAACAGCCTTACGCGGCAGCTAATTGGATCGCCCTTAATAAAATTAATGTTTTAGTTTTGAATTTACAAAAATTAAGATCAATTAAAATAAATCTGCTGACTTTCAAATTTTCTGGCATTTAAAATCAATTTTAGCATGAATTGCATAATTTCAAGCAAAATTTATAGCACATAAAAAAAAGTTTTTTTTATGAACAATTATAAGAGTAAGAATAAGTTTTTTTCCTATAGTTATAAATTTTTCTGCTTTATTTTGTTGTAAAAAATTAAAGGAGCAATTTTTTTCAACCTCGGTTGACATTTTTCCCAGCCGTTTTAATATCAGCCTACTGTGCGCAACACAATGGATTTTTTTTATTTGCCTTTGAACAAAAATTCTCATCTCTCCGAAAAGTAATTTCGCGTTTTTTGCAAAAAAGCGCAATATAAATCAGTCACTTTATGAGTTTTACTCTTTTTTGCAAATCTCTTTGGCGTATAAAAAACAAACAAAAAGAATCATTAACTTTTTTCTCCTCTCTCAAAACTGCACTCTCGGCCGTAATAGCTAAAATAGTTTATTACCAAAGTTTGCAAACTCCTTTTGCTAGTAGTTAATTGGAGCAGCGCAAGGAGAAAATTATCGGCCAACTGTCAGTCAGTTGGAAAAGACCTAAGCTTTAATGGCGAATTTGGGCCGGGGTCGATAAGGGTGAGCTTTTTTTTATTTCCCTCTGCAAACAAGAGGGAGAAAAGCCTTTCCGAAAATAAAGAGCTTTTTTGTTTGCTCCCGGGGCTTTTCCTTTGAGGAGAAGCACGGAAACAGGAGCAGCTTTTGAAAAATAAAAAGTAAATGTGCAACACACATCCCAATCGGATATTCGGCGCACACGGACACGGTCTTTGCGGAAAGCGACGTATAAAGTAGCGATCCATCTCGCGAATGTCGGACGATGGCCACGCTTCGTTTGTCGCCGCAAACATCGCCCTCTGCGCTTTGTACACATTCCGCCGTCGTTATTTTCTTCCTGCGCTTTCTGTTTTTTAATGATCACAGTCGGCATTTTTTTCTCTTACAAGTATTTTAGCCCCGGAGCGAATTTTTGCTGCAAAAGTGAGTCTTATTTCTCCGAAAAAAAAGCAGGGCGAGAGATCACATTTGCGCAGAGAGACAGTTGGAATGTTTAATTAATAACAGAGAGTGAAATTTCAATGATTTCTCTTAGAATATGTCGAGTAAATTTCATCCTTATTCAAAACTTAAATTGAAGTCAAATTTATAGTTTAAAGAAATAAAAAGTGGCTTAAAAAGTCACATTTCTTTATTCAATCTTCAATAAATTTCGCTGTAATTCAATAATTAAATTAAACAACCTTAAATTTATATCATTTTCAACAAGCTTTTGGAACAATTTTTAATTTTTGTTAATATTTTTCAAATGAATTATATATTTACTTGGTTGTTAAGAATGAATCTTTTCCAATTTTTTGCACTACACAGAATTAAATGAATTTGAATCTGATTCTTCCTGGCTCGCTTTCTTTTTAATTTTACATCAGCTTGGAATTTTCGCATGTTTGGCGCATTTTAATTCCGTCGTGCCGCCGGCGGATTTTCGTATCAAACGAAAAACGAGTCTGGCTTCTGAGAATGCAGAAGATTTATATATTTTACATCCGTAGCGGTGGCCACAGGTGCAGAGCATTTGGAAATTTCTGCTCTTAAATAAAGATCAGCTCGCTGCTCGCAGGTGGTGCAGAGGCGGTGATGAATCAGAATCACTTTTCTTTTTATGACTGTCCCGAGCATGCAGGGCGGTCCCTTTTCTCTCTTTCTCTATTCTCGAGAGATGCCCTTTCCGAGGATCTGCGCGGTGGGAAAATCCGTGTGCGAGAAAGAGACGCACAGGATTTCCCTTTTCAAATGCTTCTCGTGAAATCATATTTTTTTTTGTCCAGCCCAAATATATCACACCGAGCCTCCGAGCAATCCGATTACTTTTTTTAAGGTGCGTGTGAAAGAAAGTTTAGTTGCGCGCACGGATTGCTTCTTTCCTGCGAGTTGCGTGGATTTATCACAATTTCGTGTTTCCTTTTGATGTACACTCCTGCGTAACTTTGCGATAATATTATCCCAAGAGTGAGAATTAAGTGGATGACACGGCAGTAATTACGTAATTTCCAAGAGTGAAAACGACGAGCGCCTCCGGAGATGTATTGGACGAATTATAAAGCGTGATTTGATAAAATTATACATGTGTGGTGAAAGAAAGCTCTAGTTGATTATTTCAGACAGGCGCTGCCTTGATATTGTGTAACTTTTTAATTCCGTGAATCGTCTCTCTTGTTGTTTTTGAAACGGATTCAAGTTCTCTGAAGTGTATAATCGAGTTGTCAATATTGACACGGCCAACCGAGAGTTAAATAACTCTTCCATGCGCTTTCAACACAGCTTTAGTTCCCAGACCTGACAATTTCAGGCCAAAAGAAAACTTTCTGACAAGCCTCTAATGGGCCTCGTGGTAAAAGTTTAAAAAAAAATTAACACGGAATTTCTGGAAACTTTCTTTCTTTTGATCAGGAAGAAAATCTGAATTGTAGCAGGAAAAATTAATTTGCCGTTGCATCATTAAAGAAACGTATCGATGAGTCGGTCTTGCTAACGAGGAGGATTACCGGCGGCTTTGCTGCGGTTTAGATATTAATTGCCAACTCAATGACCGATGCGTTTCTCTTTTATTTGTGTTTAATTGAGCAACGTGGAAGTCATTGTGCGGTAATTGTTTGTGCAAGACAATAAAAATGAAAAGTAGGCTCAATTGCCTACATTGATTTAACTTCAATTATTCTACCGTAAAAAAGCATAAAATTGATTTCCAATAGATTATTAAAAAAAATTGCCGTTTCCGTTTTTCCATTTTTGTAAAAAATAATAATAATTCCTGCAAACAAATTTTATTAAGTTTGAAAGGGCACTGAGATTGATTTTGTCATTTAATTCGTTCAGTTTCTACTTGAAAATAGTTAAATTTTGCACAGTTAAAATGAAACTAACAATAAGGAAAAATACATCAAATATTTTCTACAGTAAATGAAATTCTTCCTTATTACAAATCCTTATAAATAATTAGTATGTTTCTCACATTTTATAAGGACTGATTTATATTTTAATGGAAAAAATCTTTTAATCAAAATGATTTGTCCGAACAAATTCTCCAATGGCATGACTAATCGCCAGAAAAACCCAGTTAGTTCCGGAATAAATAAAAACAACCGTGACCTTTCCTTGTTTTTCCATTTAAGAGAGCCGGAGAATGACTAACGGTCTCTATATTTCTTTACACTCGTTGTTTACAAGAGCAATTACTTTCGCTCTCTGCAAAACAACGTAATCCGCGCGTTTGTTTTCCTGCGCTGCATCCGATTTCGCCTCTTTCTCCGGATCTATGTCGGCCCACGCCGAGCAAGAGAGCAACAGAAAGTTAATCCAAACAATTTCCGAACGCCTTATAAAGAAGTTGGGCGTCCGATGTGTACTTTTTGCACGCGTAAATCAACCTTGCAACTTTCGGCCGCGCAGATCCGGGACTACTTCTTGTTCCGAAAGAGAAAATCCGCCCGGCGCCTAAGCCGCTTTATAACTATTTGTGGGGACAATTTTTTTTACCTAGATCGAGAAACTTTTATTGGTGAAATTTATATCGACGTCTAACCTTGATTTTGGTGCGCACCTCGTTAGCCGGTTAATTTCTTTTTGTGTTCGCCGAGATCTATAAAACAATTGAGGCGTGACTTTGGCGAGTTATTTATAAAACCGCGTGTCCGGCACAATACACGTGTATATATATAAAAATAATACCAAGTCTCAAGGTGAAATTAATTGATAAAAAAGAAATTCGCCGCCGCCTTTCACCTTTTATGTGTATCGGCGGCGGAGGAGCAGTAGGTGTGTGGCACGCTCTATAATTTGACGAGCTGAAATATTTTTAAAAGGAGACGCAGTTTCTTCTATGGGAACATCATCGAGTGTGTATAATATCTTTTTGCCTCGCAGCCACAAACGCGGCAGGTGAAAGTAGCGTGCATTAACAACTGCCGCCCGCTGCTTCACATGTTAATATAAACGATGGATGGATGAAAAGAATCCACACTTATACACATATGACGAGCATTTCCTTTCTATGACCTTAAACTTTCATTCTCTCTCTCTGCGATAAACGCGACAATGGGAAAAGCAACACCCCGCGAGCCCTGTACGCGCCCATAACTTTTTATAGTTATTATTACATGGGCCCCGTTTTCATCAGACACCTTCTTCCTTTCGTGGGTTCACGCTTAAGTATCGGATTCCCCGTTCGCATGCTCGCAGGTAGTTTCCTCCGCAAGAATTATTGTTATAGCCGGCGCGGTCCCAATATTTTGTGCATCTCAAATCGTGGTCAGAAGTAAAAGTTAAAGATTCTCTTTTCGCCGAAGACAAAGAGAGGTGCGGTGAGAAAATCGAATAGTGAGAGAGAAAGACGTTTTTGCGCCAATTTCGTGCTATCTTCTTTCTAGAAACTAGCCAAGCGACAAATAGCACCTACTTTTTTTTAATTATCCTTGCTGCGGCGGAAATATACAGAAATTAAATAATATATATTAAACAGGTCACTTTGTTTCATATTAGTAAATTATTGCAGTAAATTTAAGATTAATATTTATACGATTTCCCGTATTCTTTATCTTTTTCTTCTTTGTAAAATAAAAATTTATCTAGAGAAAGTTGACAATTTTGTTTTTACTTTTTATTCAAAATAAAGAATTTCATGATCTTTAAAAATTTTATAACTAATTTTTCTTTCATTTTCGTTTTAGATGATGCGCTTTTGCGCACTCGCGCTATTGGTAGCAGCGGCCTTCGCTGACAAGTCCGAATGGAGCCAACCGATTAAAGAAGCCGACAGCCGGACAGACTGGATTCCCGTCCCAAGGCCGCGAGACCTCGACGTTGCAGCCCAAGAACAAGTCTCCACAATTTTGAGGCCGCCCTCTGAGCAGTCCTTCCTCTTCCAGCAAGGCCCTCGTCAAATCAGGACTAATTTCAATGGTTTTCCCAGAGACCAGCAAACGCCCTTCAGGTTTCCTGGCCAGCCGCCTGCCTTGAACGGGCCGCCTCCGAGGTTCATTCCGAACCTGAGGAACGCTCCTCCTCCACCCTTCCTGCAACAGGGCCCTCCTCAGTTCATCAACCAGCCACAAATTCAAGTTCCTGCCAAACCTCAGAGCCAGAATGCTTCCGACGAAGAAGTCCAATTGGTTTATGTGCCAGTCAACGCACTGCCACCCTTCCAAGGACAGTCCAACATCGTCCCTATTCAACAACGACCTCCTCAGGATTTCCAAGCGCAGTTTAATAGAAACCCGTCTCCCCCACCTTTTGCCAACCAGCAACAGCAGTTTGAGCAGCAGTCGAGGATTGCGGCCCAGAAAGACCAAGAGGAACGCAAAAGAATTCAGGACGAGGATTTCAAGAGGCGCGAGGAGCAGGAAAAGAAAATTAGACAAGAATTGGATCAAAAGAAAATCCAGCAGCAACAGCAAAGACAACAAGCCCCTCAAAATTTGCAGTCGCAGGAAAATCTTTTCCAGCAGCGATTCCCTCAACCGGCCGAGCTGCCCAAAAACCAGCCAACACCCCACCAGCCTCCTTTGGCCGTCTACTTGACCGGAGGTCGTCCCGCTGCCACCTCTCGTCTGACTGTGGAAGATGTGCTTGAAACACTCAAGGACGCTACTTCCATCCCCGTTTTGGATCAATTGCCGGACAATCTGTCTGCACCACCTCAAATATTTGTTGGTCCCGCTGAGATGCCACCTCCTGAAGGCTACGCTAAATTTAATCTGCCCTACTTGAATTCCTTGGACACCAACAGGGTGGAGCGAAAGGTCGAGCAGTTCCCGTTCTTCGTGGCTCCCTTGAGTTACAGCCCTCCTCAGGGTTACAACAAGATTCCCTTCCCGGCTCCTCACGTTGGATCTGTTGTTTTCGGACCGGCAGCCAGACACTTTGAAAGCGCCCCTCCCGCTCCTGTCCAGGAGCCGCAGCAGTTTGGAGGACAGGAAATCAGCCCTGCCATTCCTCTTTTGGTGAATTCCTTGCAGTCAGAAAGAAAGCGGCCACAGGCGCCTCCTCAGCAGCAACAGCAGGTCGCTCCAGTTGCTCCTCCTCAACCACCACCGATCTTCAACACACCCTTGAGGCACCAACCTCCTCCCCAGAGGATTCAACCCCAACCCCAGCCGCAATTCATTTATCAAGATGAGCAGTCATTTGCCCCTCAGCCACAGCCGCAACAAATTTTCCCTGCCCAGCAGCAATTGTTCTCACCCCCACCCCCTCAGCAGAATTTCAACAGGCAGCACCACCGTCAGCAACAGCACCACCGCCCTGCGCAGCAGCACCAGCCTCAGCAGCATGTCGAGCAATTCATTCACCAAACGGTGACGCCCGCTGACCAAGTTCAGCCGCAGCAGCATCACTTCTTTGAGCAGGATGCCCAGGAAATTCCTCAGAGACAGCAATTCACTCCTCAGCCTCAGGTGGTACCCCAGAGACAGCATCATTTTACTCCCCAGCCTCAATTCATCCAAAACCAGCAATTCCAATTCGCACAGGAAGAAGAGGAACCTGCCGTGGTCACTGAGCAGCAGGTGATAAACGAGGTTGAAACCACCACTACCACGACTACAACCACCGAGGCACCACAGACCACCAGACACGTTCCAAGGGTCAGAAATCACCAGCGTGTCACACCGGTTCCCGCAGTGAGGGAGGAAAATGTTGAGAGAAGGCCCGTGAACCGCGGCAGGAGGCCAGTGGCTCGCCAACGCACCACGACCACCACTCCTGAGCCGGAGGTTGTCGAACAGGTTGAGGTCGAGGAGCAGCCCGAGTTGCAGCGCACCCCCGCTCAAGCTCTTCCGCTTCAAACAGAGGCACCAACACCAAATTATCCTCAGCCGACCCAAATTTCCACTTTCAATGACTTCCAAAATTTCGCTCAAATTCCAGCTCGCCAGCAGAATTTTGACGCTCGGCCGCAGTTCCCGACATACCAGTTTGAAAACGCCTTCCGCACGCAGCCAGCTCAACCCCCTGCCTATGTAGAACAAAACGCAGTCTTCCCCGAAGAGCCCGTGGTCGAGGCCTCCCCGAGTCCTTTGGACTACCAATCCGCTTCTCCTCAGGTGCCAGTGAGACAATTTTCATCCACTCCATTCGCTCCTACTGCGCTGCCGGAGTACTACACACAGTTCACCACCACCACTTTGGCTCCTGAAATCGAAACCACCACCAAGGAAGTTGTAACCGAGGCCCCGAGCACGACAGTCGAGCCCCAGAGAACTCGCCAAAGGGTTGTTGTGCCTGCCAATACAGTCGCTGCCGACAGGCCCAGAGGTCGTGTCAGACAAAGAGTCCGTGTGACCCCATCAGAAGAAGGCGAAACTGAAAATGTTCCTCAAAATAACTCGCAGCGCACCAGGCACCGCCAGCTGGTTCGCGTCCGCACCACCACCGAAGCCCCTGAAGGCGCCGAAGTCGAAAGGGAAGCGCCCCGCACCAGCCGATTCAGAAACAACGACAGAACCCGCGCCAGACAACAGGTGGTCAGGGGGCAGCAGGAGGACCTCGAGTTGGCGAAACCGGTCAGGCAGGGCCAGTCCAACAGGGTTGCCAACGAGTCACCCGTTTTCGTACCTGAAAACGAGGAAGCGACAACCGTGAAGCAGGACCCAACCACCACCGTGGCCCCCGCCCGCAGGTTCAAAAACTTCGGCGTGGCTCAACGGAGGCGAGTGAAACCTGCCGTCACTCAGGAGGCCGAGAGCACCCCTACCAACCCTCCTCCTGCCGCCCGTGGCTCGGCTTTGAGGTCATCCAGGAGGCAGCAAACCCCTTCCTCGCCTCTGGACCGACCTGGCCGCCTTCTCCGCAAGCCCGTCAAGACGGAAGAGGAGCCGCAGTTGGACACAGGAGTGACCTACGCAAAAATCGTGGAAGCCCCTGTTGAAGAAGTTGCCAAGGAGGAAGTGGTGGAGGAGGCTCCAGTTCCGCAAAGGGTACGCGTCTCCGCCAGCAGACCCAGACAAAACTACCCTGAAAATTTCAGAGAGGACGAGCCTTACAGACCAAGACAGAGAGTGGCGCAGAGAAATAGGTTCTACCCTGAGGAGGACTCCGAGTTCAGGGTCGAGGAGAGTCAGCGGTCGGAGCAGATCAGCGTGCAGCAGCTCGACGACTCCGTCAACCTTCTGAAGGAATATTACCAAAAATACAACGACGAACACCCTGTGGAGGAAATTAGCTTCACCGAGGAGCCGTACAGCACCGACGCCCCTACCACCGACGAAATCTTTTCCCAACAGGAGGAGCAGGAAGGCACGACAGACGCCGTGCCCACGACCATCGTCGATGAAGTCCCCGAGCCCACGGTATCTTCGACGGAGCAGCCCAAATTTTCCGCCAAAATTAAGGTTGGTCCTTAAAAATGAGCTTCGCACCTTCATTCATCATCAATCCCCTCACACACATGCCACTCACACTAATCAAAACTAAAAAAAAAACGTTCATCGGCCATTCATCACTCTCTCTCATTGGAAAATCGCAGCACCGATTGCCAAAATAACACAATAAAAAATTCTGCCCCCAGGTAAATAGCGTGAAAAGAAGGATCCGTCTGAAGAAGAGGCCTCTGGCCGAAGTGTTCGACGCGGCCGAATCGCAAAACATCGCCGCCGCCAATTTGAATAAGAATTTGGAAAAAGATGAGGAAACTTCCAAACTGTCCAGTTTGGAAGAGAAGCAAGAGGTTGTTCTGCGTACGACGAGTACAACCACTCCGGAGCCGGTGACCTCCGAAGTGTCTGCCGAGAGCACGTCTTTTGCTCCCGAGGAGGAAGTGACCACCTTGGACAGCACGACGATGATGGACGAAGAGGCGACCACGACCGAGTCTTACATTCCATCAGGCAGAATCATCGGCACTTCGACCACCACGGAGATTTCTCTTGAGACGGAGATTTGCTACAAGGGCAGGTGCATCAAGACCAAAGGCGACACCGACCAGGTCGTCGATGAGTGACTCGATTATCCTAGAGAGTGAAAAAAATTAATATTTAAAAAAAAAAGAAATAATTTTTTTTAATAAAAATATACAGGCCATTCACATTGTGCGCCGGAGAGAGACTGCTATGCTACCGAGTTTAGTTCACGAAGAAATCAATACTCAGATTTATTTAAAAATTCCATAATTATTATTTGTTGTTGTTTCACATTTTATTTTTTTTCAAAGGAAAATCAAGAGAACAACTCGAGGAACCCAGTTGAAGCTCAATTATGCTATAGCTCAGGAGAGAGGAGTAAAATATTATATTGTAGTAATTTTATTTAAAGCACATTTTCTTTTAAAATAAGATGTCATGTAAATATTTTTCTAACAAAGTTGCAATAATTATTATATTCCCGTAGGTTTCGAATTGCCATTTTATTTAAATGATTTTGTGTCAAAATAAATAAATAAAATGAACTAAATATTTGCCGAAAGGTATGAATGTTTTATTTCAAATAAGTTAAAAAAAAACACCTAATTGTAAGATGGAAATTTGAATTATTTAAATTCTATGAAATTTTTAATAATGTAAATATTTAGTCAGATTAAAAAAAAAAATTAAATTTATATTATGAAATGTGATATTAATTGACAGAGAGCGAGTCTAGGCTCATGAGATATTTAATCATCAAAAAATTTAGCTTTAAAATCTTGTGAGAAAATTAATCTGAAATTACATAATTGAATTTTTTAATGATTTTATACATAACAATGCATCTTGTGCTATTTTTTCAATAATTATATCATTTGACAGTAAAAAAAAAAAACGGGAAAATGAATCAAAGAATCTATATCAGATTAACCAAACGTTCATAAATAAATTAAAAAAGTGTAATTGGAAATTATACCTGGTCAAAATAGCGCATGGCAATGTTTTCTTTATTTCTCAACAAGAATTTATGTTTTCCCTCCAAAAGTGCTATTTGCACGGCAGATACGGCTTAATGAACTTTTTACATTCATTTGCTGCCTAAAGCTATCCGGGAGTAGCACAAATGGCGCTGCAGTCAATGGTCATTGAGATGTAACAACCAATCAAAAAGAGCCGAAGATCTTCGGCCGTTTGCCGATTGGTAGTTTGTGTTGCCAACTTCTCGGTGTTGGTCGCGCCGTGCGAATAGCAGACCCGGAGCCAGAGACAATGTAAATAGAGATGGGACACTCAATGTTAAATTTCTTTGACAATACTTTATCCGCTAGAGGCGCAGCGATCGAGCTCTCATCCAATCAGAATCAAGGCGTGCTTGTGGATTGTACTTTTGCGGCGGTAAAAATCAACAATAAAAATAATGTGTGGTCTTGCTCAACAAGGTCTTGCTCCAGCGGTCAACGCACAAAACAAATATTATTTATTGGCAGTCATACGCGGAAAAATAAATTAACGGGTTACATTTCGTATGTATGGCCGCATAGCAAGTGTTTTTTAATAGAAATAATAATGATTAAAAATATTCTCTTAATTCCAGACAGGTATCCGTTTGAAAAAATTAAAAGTAAATAATGTAATATTTAGAATACTTCTTTTTACTCCTCAAAGTTTCTTTGGCGTACCAATGCACTGCACATTTAAAAATATATTGAAATAATATTTGAAGAAATTGTTCAGAATGACGTGAACAACCAAACTCACATGAAGCATCATTCAAAACCTTGTCATATATATGTCTGAATACATCTTTTGGCATACTCTGTTTAGTATGGAGCTCTGACTTAATTCTCCTCAGTTTTGAACAAACAAAGTTTGCGAAATTGTCGCTAACGTACAGCAGTTTGGACTGATTATCGCGATACTCTCTAAACATGGTATAGACCTGGCTGGGCAGTGTTTCACTGGATGTCGCAGATTCAATGCACATAGCACAATGCAAAACATTGTCCACCTTTTTCAATGCGACTCCTCCAAAATACGAATCACTTTGGCTCTGCAAGTCAATGAGTTCATCGTCCGCATCTTGAGACTCCTCATCAGATGTACTGTCTTCGCATGGTTCAGGCTCCAAAGGCAAGGTGGGGTTTTGTTGTACCTTATGGAAAGAATTTCATTACTTTTTCATTCTTAATTTTTTAAATGTACCTTTCTAAAAAATGCATCAAAAATATAAGGTGCCAGCTCACGGCAGCTTAATCCATCGTCCTCACAATTTTTCTTTTCATTGTGGAGTTTTAGATACATTAAAAGGTTAAAAAAAGCTCCAACCAAGCAAGCGCAGAAAGTCAAAACTGTGGGGGAATGTCCGCTACCACATTGCTCTCGTATTTCCCCGTTGAAATTCTCTAGAGGGTCCTGCTGAATTCTTCTTGTTAAGAGAAACTCAAACCCTCTTGCACGCATCATCGGAAAAAATAGTTTCATTGATCGAATCAGCCAAACAAGAGAGTGTATGGATGGCGTCCAGACTGTTGTCCCATCTTTTTTTCTGAACTTCCATTTCCCCACAAATAATTCAGCTTTATTCCAAAAATCCCAGTGGGCAGAGGATTCATGCAGCCTAAAAAATTGAAAATTATGATACCTATTATTTAAACCTCTCTGGCTTAATAATAATAATTCCAAGACATTATTTAACTTGGCTCCGATCAATAGCCAAATGCATGAGCTCAGTTGTCAAAGACAAATTCAATCAAATTCGTCTAGAAAATCATGATGATACTAACCGGCCTTTCAAAGGTTTTGCATGCGAATACGAGCTTCCATTAAACGAGTCGACCAAGTTGTCCATGAATTGTATAAATTCTACGGTATGACACGCTTCAGACGGGAGGAGACCTACAAAAATTTTGTTACTAATATATATTCCATGAAAATCATAATACTTGAACACGTAACAGAGGCGGCGTGGTGAATTTTCGCCCCTGGAGAATTAACATTCCGTGCCTTATTATTATTGTTAATAATTTTTTTTTATCGTCGAATGGAAAATATCAGATGCAGAAACGACCAAATTTTACTTTGGAAATTAAAATTAATTGATTATAATCGCCATGGACTCAAATATTCTATTTAAAAGGGAGACATATACATTTCGATTTGATAGCCAGAAACATTAACTCCTCAAAGGGTGAGCCAGGGTTCTAAGGGTGAAGTGTGGGAAAACAATTTGACAAAAAAGTTGGCTAGAAATAGTCGAAATGCATGGTCATAATTATCATATATAATTTTTTTAATTCATATTAGAATAATTTTTTTAAATTACACACACACCAATTTTAATTATTTGTTAAAATAGAATATATTATTTTATAACTTGTATTTTATATATTGAAAACAATTGAAAAGTACTATATACTATTTAATAATTTATTAAAATATCATCAATTTTAATTTCAATTACAAAAAAATTTAAAATTAATTAAAAATTTCAAATAATTGAAGACGAAATAACATTGAATTTTAAATTTACTAATTTTCAGTGTAATTTTTTTATTACCTTTTAAATAAAATTAAAACATACTTTTTTATTGTTATTTAAAATTTTAAAAATTTGATATCTATTTCAATTAAAATAAATTAAATATAATTTCTGAAGTTTCTATCCTCGGAGGTCACTAATAATAATTTTGTATTTGGGTGGATCCAGGAATGATTTGGGTGTGATTGTTGATGAAAAGTTACCTTTTTAACTGAATATTATAAAAACTGAATAATTGGTTTCCCGCAATAGAAATTAATTTTCAACCAGCGATAACTCTATTTCTGTTACAGAAACGACAAAATGTGTAATGACAAAAAAAGTGAATTTTGACATTCTGCATTCAATCAATATCACAGCTCGGCGAAAATTCGTGAAAGGTACAATGCGTTGGCAAGGGTCGTGCGATCTTTACAAAATTTTAGGACCTGAAAGACCATGCAAGGAGATTTTCAAAAATATATAGTTTTACCCAGTCTTACCCCAATATCTATAAATTTACGGGTTCTACGGGACGTTCAAAATTGGGTTTTTGAAAATTTCAAACGGCTGTATCTCGGCTTTCCGTGATCGCACAACAAAAATCCGGGTATGGCTGAATTCCTCTTTTCACTTTCTACAACTTTGCCGTTGAAAGCAAAATCCTAGGTAAAAGGTCAAGGTCACTTCCGATGACCTTGTGTCATTCAAACTGGAATTTGAGCATTAAATGCAAACATTTTTGAAATTCTGAGATAGCCATTCGATTCTTCGTGAAATTTTACATACAATGTGTGAAAATGGCGAAGTAGTTTTTTCTCTTTAAATTTATATTTAAAAAAAAGGATAAAAAACGTGGTTTTTTGGTGCTCGGATCAGCGATTTTTAAGAAAAACTTTAATAACTCGTTTTCTGTGCGTCTGAGGCAAAAAATGATTATGATCAAAATTGATCCCCATTAAAAGTTCTATCTAAATATGTAAAGGTCATTGACCTTTTGAAAACTTGGGTCAAAGGTCACCTTGACCCTTATCCTTCAGTGAAAAGACCCTAATGTGTGATACATGGTTGGAAAAGTCTTATCACTAGGATACCAATGGTCACCATATTTTTGTCTCCGGCTTCATTTTCGACCTAGTTATGATGGTTTTATTGTGAAAAAAGCGCATTTTCTTTCATTATATATTAAATAATCAGCTTACATTGGTGGAAAATAAAGCCAGAGACAAAAATATGGTGACCATTGTTATTTTAGTGATAAAACCTTTCCAACCATGTATCACACATTAGGGTCTTTTCACTGAAGGACAAGGGTCAAGGTGACCTTTGACCCAAGTTTACAAAAGGTCAATGACCTTTGCATATTTAGATAGAACTTTTAATGGGGATCAATTTTGAACATAATCATTTTTTGCCTCAGACGCACAGAAAACGAGCTATTTTCGATTTTCTTAAAAATCGCTGATCCGAGCACCAAAAAACCACGTTTTTTAATCTTTTTATTTTAATATAAATTAGAGAAAAAACCACTTCGCCATTTTCACACATTGTATGTAAAATTTCACGAAGAATTGAATGGCCATCTCAGAATTTCAAAAATGTTTGCATTTGATGCTCAAATTCCAGTTTGAATGAAACAAGGTCATCGGAAGTGACCTTGACCTTT